TATACACTGCCTTTTTTTGAGCCCCGAAGAAAAAACTGTCTCCGATCGACCGGGAAAAAAAATTTTCTTATAGAATTTGGCCTGTAGAATCCATAATTTCAAACAGTTCCAACATTGGGCTACTAGTTCAAAAGTTTCTAGTCCATAACTTTTGATTGAGAAGTCTGATCGAAAAAGTACGAATTGATTTGGATTCTACGCACCCAAATTAATAAGAAAAAGTGTTTTCCCGAGAAATTTTGGTGTAGTGGATTTTTGGTAAAAAAGGAAGGTTATACTATGCCTTTTTTTGAGGCTCGAAAAGAAATTGTCTCAGATCGACCCGGAAAAAAAATTTTCTTATAGAATGTGGCCTGTAGAATCCATAATTTCAAACAGTTCCAAGATTGGGCTACTAGTTCAAAAGTTACAGCCCTTTGAATTTTTTTTCGAAATTGGTTTCTAGTCTATAACTTTTGATTGAGAAGTCTGATCGAAAAAGTACGAATTGTTTTGGATTCTACGCACCAAAATTAATAAGAAAAAGTGTTTTCCCGAGAAATTTTGGTGCAGTCGATTTTTGGTAAAAAAGGAAGGTTATACACTGCCTTTTTTTGAGCCCCGAAAAAAAAATTGTCTCAGATCGACCGGGAAAAAAAATTTTCTTATAGAATGTGGCCTGTAGAATCCATAATTTCAAACAGTTCCAAGATTGGGCTACTAGTTCAAAAGTTACATTGCGCCCAAGCATCTTCATTGAGCTCTTCGCTTCCTCTCTTTGAGTGCCTTATTAATTGCGTAGTTCCCAACTTTTCTTTTTGAAAATTGTCAAAATATCTGCTTTTAGGTGAATTTCGTGTTCAAAATCCACGAAATTACTTTGATACTACTTCCGGCAGTTCCTTGTCCATCTAGACTAAATAGTCTAAAGACAAAAACTCTCCTGATGTAGAAGCTGTCCAAAGCACGACTGTAATAAGCCGTGTTTACACGGTTAATTTAACCTTTGCACCTGATGCACATAATCTAGCATCAGAAGTGCTTCTACTGATGCACTAGATTTCTCTACAAATGTTATTTCTAATCCCTTTGGTATTTATTCCAATATTTAATTTCTTTGCTAACCTGTGGTGCATTTCATTAAGCCTCTGCTTCAGCTAAGATGAGTATGAGATGACAGTTCATTTTGAACTTCAAAACTAAACATTGTAATCTGCGTTGTGAAGATCTAGAAGAATCATATAAAAAGTGTCGTTAATTCCATTTTACAAAAACTTCCACGATCTACGTTAGTTAGTGGTGGTGGTAGAATGGTACTATTTGTTTTAGTTACCAGGGTATTTAATGCTAATGGATTTCTTTATATTTGTAACGTGTTTCCTTTGAACAATCCTGGTACATTGGCTCAACAATATTTTCAGAAACAAATAAAATAAATTGTGATAAAAGCCGTATAAATTACATTTCCTCTTTAATTTATGTTACTGTGCCATTAAAGCGTTGTTTGCCCCAAACAAATGGAGCAGATACACATGCAAAGTTGTCGCAGAAATTTTTAACGAAATTATAGCACAAAGTTTGGCGCAACAAAAATAACAAATGCATTACGGACCGAGGTCAGTCCCGCTTCCGGACGCAAACGATTTCCGCTTTTCCCCATTTATACGCAGTTCAGTTTTTATTAACGTGACGCTTCATTCCATTTTCCGATCGAATTAGAGGAAATTTATGAAAATCAGTTCTTATCCATACGCCTGGTGCCAATTGAAATACCATCTCTCACCCTTAATCTTGATGATTTGCCAGGGAAAATTTGCTGTGGGTCGTTTCGAGTGCTTCATATAAGATTCCGCAAATTATTTCGTCGTAATAAAACGTAGGATGACACAGGCGCCACCGCGGCGTCACGACGACGCATCCCACGCCGACACTAACCTACAAACTTCCTACATAACGACCCTTAATACAATGTAGGTAGGTACAACTGTCATCAATTCCATTTCCTATCTTACCTCACGGGTAACTTAGGTACAATGTCGCAAATGAAAATAAATAATCACGCGGATTTCATTCGAATTCCTATTCCATTTCATACGAAATGCCGATCGTGAGTCAATTGGGAAAACACGTCCATTTCGATAGCTAGTAGGAAGTTTAATAGAAACAACCCTAGCTACCCTCTACTTTAAAGTTATAATATACTCTTTTCACTTGACGTATTATTGAAAAATGGAATTTTCACTCACAAAAGGAAAATGAGTGCATCTGTGAGTGGGGTCAAAACTCCAAATGCGAATAATTTAAATTTCTCACAGAGAGAAAGTGGGCGAGGAAATGTATGTCTTAGGCAATAAAACGGTGGATTAATTTTACGCTTTGGTTGTATACACCTTTTTTAGGAGCATTATTAAAAGTGTCCCTTGTAGGTAATCCGTCCATATTCAGGCGTTATTCGGTGTCTTTGCTCTTGAATATTGTCAGGTGGAGTCTTACACTACAGTGTTTCAAATATTTACAAAGAAAGAAATCAAGAGGAGTCCGTCTCTGTCAATCCATTTACCATACTGTCAATTGAGCCACCGACTTTTAGTCAAAGTATGATGTGGTGGATCCCCATCTTGTTGAAAGTGCAAATTTTCTTTTTCTGCATGTACCTATTGTGGTCCAGTATACTCTCCAAAGATTGTGTGATCAGCATATCATGTCGTCCAATAGATTGAGATATAATTTTTCTGGCAAATTTCGTTTTAGGAAAAAAATTGATTTTGGGCAGAAATAGGCTGTGATATTCTCGAAGTGTGGATTTTCATTGTCCCACTTCTCCCTTTACAAATTCTTTCAGAAAATACATTACTAGATACTAGATATTATGACAATATCTAGTAATTCAAGCCTTTTTCACTATTTCGATAACACAATCGAGGGCTTTTCTGAAAAATATGTGAACGTGGTACGCTTTTTTTCAGTTCACAGTTAATTCGTTCATCCGCCCATTCGCTTCTCACACTGTACTTTTTACTGGGGAGTGTTATTGATTTGAAAAGTTGTCAAAAGTCCATTTATGGCACGTTCACCTATTAACCCACTTAACACGTCGTGTGCTACTCAAATAAAGCTGTTTTGAGGCCCCTGAGACTGAAAACGTATCCAACTTAGCTAAGAGGGCCTCCAAAAAGCACAAAATATAGATTAACGATTTGGTATTTGAAAATTAAGCAGTAGAACTATGGTAAAAAAGAGCAATTTAAATACCGTACAAATGAAATTGATTAAATTAGTTCCATTGCGTGGTACAAAAGCAAAGACACGCAAAGCTGAAACGGCGCACGGTGAGTGTTCTCCCTCTACACCCCTACAAAGGAAAAACAATGGTTACTTTACGCACAACTACGAAAAATATCGCTTTGTTTGACAAAATAAATTATATCTACTTACCGAAGGGTTTGACCTTTTTCCAAAGGGAAGAATCTTTCATCGATCTGTTTGTTAACCTGCTGTACATTTCCATATAAGTGTCACAAGTTTCCGCCGCTTTTTCTCTTTTTCATTCGATAGCATGGTATCAACTTCTTTCCGTTTGAAATTTTTTTGTGCATCCGACACGCTTCGTGCTGTTGTACCGATAAAATTGATACGAAATAACGATTGTGACACGTTTTGGCAGAAACTCAGACAGTTAATTGCCACAGACTTTGCGAATGCAAAAAAAAAGTTAAATCCTTGACGGATCGTGTAAGAGAAGTGAGGTACGTATTAAAACATTATTTTAATACCTCTTGTTTAAATCACTTAGGTAAAATGCCAAAGGATTTGTACCTACCTCTAGCTTTTGCGGTCCCTGGTTACTGAATCATCCAGCATGATCAGGAAGTGTTTTATGAATAGTGTAGTACAGTTTGTTCTGACTTTTTATTTCCTTTGCTTGATACATATATCGGAAAGTAATGAAAATTGAACCAGGACTAAAAGATTTTAAATAAGCTGAGGCATTTTAAGCATAAAAAAATCGGAGGAGTTCGCATAATCTGCAGAACCTTAGGAATCTAAAGAATTTTAAGAAAGACATGTATCATTTTCCATTTGTGGATGCTCTTCTGACACTTCGTTTTTGAGAAATTCTGCCTCCTCCCTCCCTTTACATGTCTGACATAAGCGATTCGGTTTCTCTTATTTAAAAAAAGACGTGGCATTAAAATTTCAGGAAGACCGCACTGCCAATAAAAAGATTAGTTCTGTTCGGATCTACGGTTGGATCTTACGATTTGTAAAACAAGAGAAACTGAGAAAGGACAGCCAATTGTTTAACAACTTGTAACAGATAAAAGGGAACGATTGAAAGTAAAGCGTTATCCGCAAGGACTCATTCGCGTGGAAACTCGACTTTTGTGTGCAGAAGACAAGAAGGATTTGTGAGAGCCTTGAAAAGGTTTATTTCCATGTATGGAAGATCCAATACAATTTTCTCAGACAACGGAACAAATTTCGAGGAAGCGGATAATTGGTTTATTATTGTAGACTGTGACGAGTTGAAGAAAAAATGCGACATTCGACAAATGTAATGGACCTTCATCCTTCTAGGTTTGGTAATTATTGGAAAACATTAATTCGATTGGTAAAGAACCTCCCCAAGATTATTACTAGATGAGTACTTGTCTGGCCAGCGTTGCTATAAAAATAACCATTAAATCATTAAAATACGTTGAGGAAGAATCATGAAGTCGCGACGTTATGGAGAATGAACACACTTCATATCCTTCCAGAACCAAGAATAAATTTATTATATTGTGTTATTTTATATTATTTTCTAATTGTTGATGATTTAACAGGAACTTTTTTAAGAGGAACACCCGAAGTTGCAGAACGTAGGCAACTTCAGTAAATAATGCAAAAGTTACCCATATTGGGACATCCTATATGTACAAACCTTGACAAAATGTATTTCCCATTGTTGCTTGAAGTTGTTTTCATTATTTATCAATTTTGAAAACAAACACATACATCATCTCATAAATAAACATTCGAATCGTCTTGTTAAAGGTTATCCAAACCGGTTAAGCGCATAATCCATCAATTCGGTAAACAAAGAAATCGCTTATTAAATTTATGACAGTAGAGTTACTAAGATGGGAAAAATTGTGCTTCTATTTACATTAATCAGCTTCCATTTCATTTATGGATACGGTACGTACTGAGAAATTGGATCATTTAAAATCCCCTTTTCATTTGCAGAGCACGTCTGCGAGGAAGGAGGGATGAAATTCAAAAAAGGGGAGACGATTACCGTTGAGTGCGAGCAATTCACCTGCGAGGAACCGGCTATTAATTTAATGGTCGGAAAAAAGTGAGGTGAATTTTTGTACGATTCGGGATAACTTCGGAATTTTGCAGGTGTAACACAAGACCGGAACATGACGGGTGCAAGTTTGGGGAAGGCGATCTCTCGCTTCCATTTCCAGATTGTTGCCCCAAGGAAGTTTGTTAAAACACATACGAAATAAATGCTACTCATAATATATTTGTTGTGTTTCCTTTTCGTTAGAAAATTAGTAGAGGTTCCTGATTTGACGTGCAGATGGCCTAGCAAACATTGCGCGGACAGCATTGAGGGTATGGTTTTGAGTAATCGGTACTGGATAAACGGCATCCTCGAGGTGGCGATGAGTAGGCGCAACTAAAACAGTCTTTCGTTAAGAGTGCTACAGAAATACTAGCCGTTTTTTACGTGAGTCCAGTTTGTCGGTTTGTGACGGGATCCTGACAAGTGACCTCCATGCATTTACCCGGGACCGATATCGCCTGTCCTTTTCCAAACTTTATCCCATCTTTTTTGCACATTTGGGCATCTACACAAAGAGTTAATCGAATTATTTAATTAAGTAGGTTATTACCTGCGATAATAATGCCAGAGCACACAATGATTAAAACGATAATAGTTTGACGTGACATTTTTTGTACTGCTCGTGTCTTTCACTCTTTATTATTATACCTACTCTTCATACGCATAAATGTAAATTTAATTACAGATCAAATAACTGGTTAGGTATTTAGTGTATAGAAAGCCTGCAGTACGGTGTGATTGCATCAATTACAAGAAATTTGATGGAACTCATTACCATAATGGACCTCTAACGGGAAATAGTAATGCGTAGGTATTCACTAAACAATTTCATTATCTTGGAGCGCCGTAAAAAGTCTAGGTAACCTTGCCTCAACTTGCATCACAGATAATACCTTTTTATCATTTTCCTTGTGATTCATTCCATTTTGACGAATACTAGTGCAAAGTTCCCTTGACAACGTAAGATTAATGCACGATATTCCATTTGTGATAAGAGTTGTGACCAAATCGCTAGATAATTCGCCCATAATCCAGGCGGTAATCCTTTAATCCTTCAGCTCTTTAATCACTTTAATACACCGCGGAATTGCAAAAAAATTACACACCCTTAATTAAAAAATCTAAGACAAAATAACCTCATTTTGACAAACTCAAAAATTGATAGATAATACCTAAACAGGGCTGTTACTGCCCAAGCCTCAGAATGTCTGTGCCTCTGAAGGTAGACCTTATCAAATATCAAAGTGCGTAAATCCATATTTTGTCTGATAATACAGATTTTGTGCCCGATCTATAGTGACAATCCTCAAAATTGTATATCTGTACCTTCTAAGTCACTTTTTCTATTGCCAGAATCAAAATAATCTATCGCACTTGTTGCACAATACAAATTCTGTGTCAAGACAAATCGATTTTTTGAAGCAAAAAGTATCCAAACTTGTAATGAATATCTACACCAACTTGTGCACATAGTTGGCAAATCTTTCCGATTAATTCAGATCGATGCTACACGGATCCGCCAGCGTCGATTGACGTCTTGAAAGTCAACATTCACGAAACCCTTGCCGAGATGCGGCCCTAAATGTTGGAAAATGTCTTGAAACATTGGGTCGACCCAATGGCGTATTGTGAGGCCAACCATTCTTATCTTAGATCCTTTTTTAATATTCTTTTCATACCTCTTCTGTAGAAATAAAATAAGATTGAGCTGAGTGGACGTCCCTGTCTCAATCCTTTACTTGTCCAGCCTTTTTCCCTCATATCGTTATCCTGATTCTTGTCTCTCCATATATTAACTTGCCGCCTATTTTCCATTTTCTACCGTTTTCCCTTTTCACTCTGCCGAACGCTGCCTTCTATGAAAAATGTTACTTTACTTCAGCCCCATTTTTTTCAATTATTTTTCCACTAACCTGTGTAGTACATATTGTTGTGTATCTCAGTTTAAACACCAAAAATAATGACGGCATACACCCTGTATATGAGAATATTGCAATTTATTAAGTGTAAATCTGAGGGATTATCTACGAATAAGTACAGACAAGGTTTATTGTACTTGAATTTGATATCTCAGTCTATTTTTTTCTTTTAGAATTGTTTGTTGGCGATGAGGAGTCTTATTGGACGAAATTTAACTAACGCACGTCTTCTTATTAACGTTAGAAGAGATAAGGTGTATAGAAGAATTGCGTGTTATTTCGGCGTAAGTGGGGCCGCGTTTCTTTGAAGCTGTTCTGTTTCTCCATCATTACTTTTTCTTTTTTACTTATTTTTCTGTTCTCTCAGCCCTTTGTTCTCCATGATTACTGTATAATGTGTTTCTCTCTTCTCTACACTCCGTGTCTCACCCCTATCCATTATTTACATGTTTCCACGTTATTGGTTTTTAATACCCTAATTTCTATCGGCCAGTGATTCTATCCTTGAAATTCTTCTCCCTTCTCAATCTTCCTTCCATGAATGTGAATTGCTCGTCCCTATCTCCCTCCATATTTCTGTTTAAAGGTCTCTATCCTCTGTTTTCTGATAATTACAGTACCTAACACTGCTTCCGCTTGCACTCTTTTGTTCTTTTTCCTATCTCTACCCACTTCCATTTATTGGCTGATTTGGATTAAAAATCTTCTCCCAATATTAGTCCTTCATCTTCCCTTTCATCCACAATATTTTCTATTTTTAATGAATTTTTAGTTTCAATGCAATTTTTCCAAAGATTTTAATCATCGTGTAAAGTCATATGATAATTTGTTCTCTCCGTTTTGTGAATATAAAGAAAATACACTTTTCTATGCAATAACAGTTACACTGTCACTCATTTATATGTCTAATACGAGAATTACTTTTTAACTCTAGTAGATTTACAATTTAAGTGGCAGATGATTATTATATCATAAAATTTAGGCATTAAAAGTTTTGAAAGTCGTCTTTTTATCTGCTTATTAATTTGATTGATTGTGCGGATTAACCTTTGGATATCTACATTTACTTTAAAATAGAAAGTGGCGTACTTTAAGAAAGGCTAGGGGTTGACGATTACGTAATTAGGGATTCTAGTTGACTTGTTTTACCACAATCAGGCAAAGATGTAGAAATATTTGATGCAGCGCAAAATACACAAACTGAATAAGACCTAAATAAGAGAATTTTAATTAAACAACCCGTAATTCTACCAATTTATTTTAAACAGAAAAACTACTTTGGAGACGTTGTTTGATTCTTCAGGGAAAAAGTAAGTAATTACTTTGCGCTCTACAATCGCCTAGAGTGTGGCATTAGTGAACGGGTTGCAATAATTGAGAGAAGAAAATAATTACATACTTACAAAAATGGAATCAACAAGAGAATACTAATCTGAGCCAGTTGGGGTCATTACTTTCTCAGTCTGTAATGGTTGGTCGATATACCTACACAGCTTTTTCTGTGTTGACGCAAATCACAAGTAATGACAAAAAGCCAAAGATCCCACAAAAAAATGTTAGTTTCCCAAAATGTGCACCACTACCCAACCATCACCAGTTTTGTTTATTTTGAGGCAATATTTACACATAGCTCAATACCCTACTCCATTGAAATGCGGTCTGTAAATGTGAATTTTTAATCTAAGGTTATAATGCTGTACCAACGTTTCCAACTGAGTTCCATGGTGAATTGTACTCGTTTTTTGGTGATTTCTGTGCTTGTTTCCAACAGTGAAACGAAATTTTTAATTTGGACGTGGAAAGGAGGGTTTCGTTTACAAACTAACTGAACAAAAAGTCGCATAATTGGTGCTTAATATCTGCATAAGAAAAAAATCCTCAAAGATCAATAATCCACGCCTGAAGGGGATAATCTAATCTTTGCACGAACGTATTATTGCAACGTAAGTTTAGTTAGTTACGTCATTTATTTATATACTAATTATTGCTGAATTTATAACGTTCCTTTAATAGATTGATTTACGGTTAATTATTATTTATCTTACATTATACTTATATTTATGACGCATTTAGAAGAAGAGCACAAATTTTTTTATTTATCATTTGGGCATCGATGTTAAAAACACGATTAATTCATTTTACTTATATAGCAAACATAGCTTCTACAACGGTTTCGATTCAGCATATCACATTTCATGTATGAATGAGTCACAGTCACTTATCGTCGGTGCGTAATACTTTATCGAGTTGATGGTACCTGGGAGAATGTTCTAGAAGGATCGCTACATTATTTATGGAGCTCATAGTTTTCTCGAAAGCGGTGAATAATTGGTGCTTAATTTCTGCATAACTGGTGCACATAGAAAAAGGCATTCCTGAAAAAATCTTCGATTAGGTACTAGAATTAATAATTAATGAAGGGAAACATTTTGTTCTAAAGGCGTTTGATAATTGACTACTTAGGGTATAATCATAATGCATCATTTATAACAATCCTTGAGACTAATAATATATCGCAGCGGCTCCACGTTTGGCGCCAAATTAATAGTGTTGTGTGCAATGGTATGCGGTCAACTAAACCACCCACAAAGCTCTTGTCTAGCTAGTTAGCACAAACAAAGTGAGAATTTTTATCATTTCTCTTCGTACCTTTAAGGCATCTGCTACAAAGAAAAATCCCAATATTGACCTAAAGGAATTATGACTGTAGCCTCGATAAGCTTCCAAAAATTCCAAAGAATTAACTACACAAACTTTGATCAACACCTGATTCTTGGACACGAGAAAAAAAATTGACATGAAACCTCTATTCGGGCATAAATTACTTTAGAAACATGGAATGGAAAATTCCTGAGAGAAAAAAAGCTTACAAAGCATGTTTGGACACATTTCCCGCACGCAGGCGTTCGACAATTAAATTAAGGAAATAATTACTTACAGTGTTGTTTAACAGGGTGCGTTAAAAGATTTAAATCTAAAGTAACTCAAGTCACTTTTTTTTGACCGACCAAATGTATACGAACAAAATTTTTGAGCACAAATCAGTATCTTCTAACGTATAAGGTACCCTAAACAACTCTCAAATAAAAAAATTACATCACCCTACTAATTTTTATGGCTCTTTTATGCCATAACAAGCTGCCATTGATACATTTTAAAGTTACCCTTCAGACATCTATGTAACTCAATGTAAAAAAACCCTTTCGTCCACATTTTCAATCTAGCTAAGTACGAGAGAGACATTAGTCTGATTCCCTTATCCCACTTAACCCCCTCGCTTTTCAACTTGGCACATCTTAAACTGTGTAGAACTGTAAGCAAAGCTAACAAATCAAATAAATCGCCTTTGGAGTTTCCATCCTCGACTATTAAACACAGCATCAAAGATTTTTACTGCACCCTCAAAAGTGCGATGATTCAAATTGGTATAAAAGTTCAAGGTAGTAAGGTACTCGTATAATGGAAATGAGTAAGTAAATAAAATGTAAATGATCCTCATGAATAACTCACATAATGTCAGCGCCAGTTTATGAGTGAACGATACGTACGACATATTAAATCTGATAAACTGGCCGACAATGCGACAAAAATATATCTTTGCAACAAAACGCGCGGCATTTTAATACGAAATAGATTTACTAAACGTAGCAAAGCTATAATATCCCACCCTTATTTTCAAAGCTCTAATAATAGCGGTTGGCGCCAGAAGGCTTGGCGACGTTTGAAAAACCACTCTCCGAGTTCGAGTTCCTCCGCTCAGTTCAACACTGGACTGAAGTCTTCCACGAGTGCTGGTTTTCCAAATTGTGTTCTTGGTGTTTTGTTGAACAATGAGGCGGGCCTGGAGTGTCGCGATCGCTTTGACCATTTCGTTTTTATGCAACATTCAAATTGGTAAGTGCGTCGTAGGGCTTCCGGAAAAATGCGTCATTGATTTCAGCTTATCAATTAACCTTGTATGTTTCGAATCAAGTTGAGTAAATTGATACAGTTTTATTAATTCTAGAAGGCGGTCGCGATTTGGGTGCGGATAATTCATTGGGGGTGTTAACCTTTCACTTTTGCGTGTTAACAATTCAGACACTTGTTGATTTGTGCCTTTAGGAAACGTTCCACTATTTATTGACGTTTTTTTACGATATCTAGACCGTGCGTAATTTGAATAGTACACCCTACACTGATGGGAAATAGCGAATAGCAGACGTTGAAAGCAGTAAAAGATCTAGAGGATATTGTGATCAGAGCCAACTGTGTATTTGGACATCGGAGGTGAGATAAGTTGGTTGAAACAATTAAAAAAAAGGGCTCAATTTCTTGTAAACTTTGAAAGGCACAAACTTTTACCAGATCTTCACGTTTTTACCCTCAAAAAGATAGAAGTGATCAGTGTATCTAGGAGACTCCATATCTTAGTGACCACTTTTCTGGTTGAAATGGTTCATAGAGCGCCGAAAATAACAAAGGCATCTTTGTTACGTTTATGCTGTAGAAAAGCTGTCATGTCAAAAGTGCATAGGGGTTTAAAGTAGCTCTAGGTGGCGACTATTTGTAGTGTTCTGGGCACGAAGGCTAATGTTTGCGTTACAAGCAATGTACCTTCGTAATAAACTGCAGTTTACCAAATAAAAGGTTGAGCGTTACATTTTATTATCTTTACATTACACCGTTTTTCTCTGTAACTTTATTCCCACCATAATTTGAGCCGTATGAGTTTTTTAGATACAGCAGAGGTGGATTAGTAAAAATTGGGGTCTATTTTTTACATGTGATTGATGTGATTTACATTTGTTAGCCCTTAAATAAAACCAATTGCCATAATTTTAGTATTTTTTAAACAAATAATTAAAACGTAGTCGATTTCATTAGATAAACGTAGCACGGACGGTTTAGTTTAACTGAGGGTGGCATTTTTAGATATTGCGAGCGAAATAAGTTCTACAACTATCTCTTAAATAAAGTCAAAACGCTCATTTTTGGAAATAATTTGTCTCCAGAACGAATAACTGGTAAATTACGGTTTTTCTCTGGGAATTTTGCAGTTTTCTTGAATTACTCTGAAGTTACTGAAAAATCTAGACAAACTAAGGTACGCTACATTCCACCCCGACTGTCTGCGATTTATATCCAGTGACTATTGCCGAGATGGATATATCATGGCACTGCAATGTTTCCGGAAAACTCTAAAAAGCTTTGAAGAAATTTATTCATATACTTATACATACTACAATCAAATTTCCAACTGACAAAAATTGTAATGCTAAATATACTGCTGTGCGGTCAAATTGAAATTTAGAATTTTTATGATCTCTCCTCGTACACCCACGGAATTCGCTACAAAGCAAAATTCTCGATTGACTTCCGAAAATTCCAAAGAATCAATTACAAAAATTGCACTCTTGAGACAAATCTTGGACACAAATAGAGATAATCTGAACATGAGAAGTGTCTAATCGAAAAAGTACGAATCGTTTTGGATTCTACGCACCAAAATTAATAACAAAAAGTGTTTTCCCGAGAAATTTTGGTGCAATCGATTTTTGGTAAAAAAAGGAAGGTTATAACACCGTCTTTTTTGCCCCGAAAAAAAAATTGTCTCAAAACGACCGGGGAAGAACATTTTCTTATAGAATGTGGCCTGTAGAATCCATAATTTCATAATTTTGGATTCTACGCACCAAAATTAATAAGAAAAAGTGTTTTCCCCAGGAATTTTGGTGCAGTAGATTTTTGGTAAAAAAGGAAGGTTATACACTGTCTTTTTTGCCCCGAAAAAAAAATTGTCTCAAAACGACCGGGGAAGAACATTTTCTTATAGAATGTGACCTGTAGAATCCATAATTTCAAACAGTTCCAAGATTGGGCTACTAGTTCAAAAGTTACAGCCCTTTGAATTTTCTTTCGAAATTGGTTTCTCATAACTTTTGATTGGGAAGTCTAATCGAAAAAGTACGAATCGTTTTAGATTCTACGCACCAAAATTAATCAGAAAAAGTGTTTTCCTGAGAAATTTTGGTGCAGTCGATTTTTGGTAAAAAAGGAAGCTTATACAGTGCCTTTTTTTTGCTCCGAAAAAAAAAATTGTCTCAGATCGACCGGGAAAAAACATTTTCTTATAGAATGTGGCCTGTAGAACTCTATCTGGGTCGTACAATGGATACAAATAAACGCACAATGAATTTCCTGACTATGACAAAAGAATTTATTTCGAAACTCATATGCAATAAATCTTCATGAAAAACGTGAATAAGAGGCTTGCTCAACATATTCATCACCAAATCAAGAAGACCTCTACGACGAAAGATGTGAGCGGCAAACGGGCAGTGGTTCGAAAATGAACGCGAGGAAAAAACATACAGGGATTTTAATCCAAAATAACCTTTGGGAACACTTTGAGGAACTAAAAAGCGTAAACTATAGAATCCAAAAATGGTTGAACTTCACAAGCCTTTAGAATAAAAGCGAATTTCAAGGTATTACAAAACAGCAAGTAAAAGACCGAGACCCGTATGTTTGGATCCTTTCGAAGTAGGTGCCCCGTGTCAGCGACATAATTAATTGATTTAGATATCCAAAAGGTATGCTAAAACCTAAGCCAATGGTACTGTGAGTCGATTCCAAGATAAATTATGTGAGAGCGAAGTAATAAATTATTAATTTTCTTGTCTTGACTATTTTTAAACAGATATAAATAAATTCGTGTAATCTTTCATCTAAAGCTATATATATTACGGTATGATATATAGCTTATTGAATGCGGTGTTATCAGCGATCCATAGACAATGAGATTTACACGTAATCTTTAGCGATGATATACAATCAGCTTAAAAAAAATTCGAAACAAACTGCAGCCTGATGACCAAACACTCCATATACTTACCTCCAATAAACCATAGGCAAAACAGTGGATAAATTCGTTAAACAGATTAGTTAAAACTTATTCTTAAACATACTGGGCCGATCCGGTGATTTTAATAATAAAAAAATCATAAATGGTATTAAATTAGGAACTAATGGAGAAAAAATCGTCCATATTTCACAAAATTAAGATTTATTCCTCGCGTAGGTATTACAATAGTTGTAAGTTTTTTGTCACCTATTAAACAGCTACTTATTGCTTTTTGACGTTTTGTTAATTTAAAGGTATTTAAATATGAAATGCAATACATTAGCCAGCCAAGCGTATGGCAAGGTTTTTATAATTTTACCGCATTAGAAAAATAAGCTTTCTAATGACGTGTCACATGATATATGTCGCCATTAAAGAAAATCAAGATGGATGTTTCAGTCAAAAATAATGTGTCAAAAAAATTTGTTTAACGTCAAAATATGTGAAATAATTTCTAATGGAAGCATTCTAATTTTCATGTCTATATTTCAAACGGTTCGAACTATAATATACCGTGTTAGTGTAAAATCTGGAACTTTTAGTAAACCTTTTTGGAAAAAATCCCCGAACACGTCAATTTTTATCTTAAATGAGACATATTTTACTGTAGTTGTCACTTAAAGATCGTCTTTTATTTTTGAGATATAACGTAAGCGATAATTATAATTAATCATTAAAGTTTTAAAACTTTAAATTATCTCGAATATTTTAAACTACAGTATCTGTTAGAATTTCATGGTCTTTCCAAATTCACCATAAAAAATAGGGTTTCTATTAAAAAAATTATTGTTAATGTTATATCTCAAAAACAAAAGACGATCCTTAAGTGACAACTACTGTATAATATGTCTCATTGAAGATAAGAATTGACTTGATCGAGGATTTTTTTTCAAAAATGTTTACTAGAAGATTCATTGCGCTAGTCCTGGACTTTATATACCCGCACTCTATATCTAATATATACATATTTTCAACACAATGACTTATGGAATAAGTTCAATGGCTCTAATTGCAATAGTGAAGCCCAGCCCTAGTTACCTCATCTGACAAAAAATTCATGCGATAAAATGTGCACTTTCTGAAATGTAGTTAATTCCTAATCTAATGACGCTAATTTTAACAGGAGAATGCAATCCAAGATGTTACATCTGCGATTCGGTGTCAAACGCAAACTGCATGCATCCGAGGGAACACAAAATGAACACAAACGCCTGTAATCCTATAAACGTGGACGAAATGAAGGTGGCAATCGACAAGCACGAAATCACCCAGCTCGCCAAATATTTCGATGTCGAAATAGATAAGGGAGACCTTGGCGTTCCGTTAAGCTGCATGAAAACAGTGATTAAAGGTAAGTTAATTTTGATGCAGCAACATGGGGAGTGTAATTTTGGTCCATGGCACTCTGTAGAAGGATTTGGGGTGATCTCATCGATTCATGTGTTTTAAAAAGGGAGATGTGCCACAAAAACAACAACATCGATAGTACTTATGTTGGATGAAGTAGGTCATCCAGATACCTAATTGATAAGAGGGTACTATTGAAATTCTACTTTCATCGTACTCAGTGGCGTCGCCAGTGGGTGCACAATTGCCGTGGGAATTTCTTACTTAACCAGCGTCTGTACTGGACTACTACTTAAGAAAACTCGGAGGTACCCGGTAGTGGTTGCTTGAAATCTAGCACTTAGTAAGACATCTATCGTAGTCTAACAGTGTCTTTCATTTCAGTTCACGACAAAGAGATGACATTTAGAGGATGTCAGCTGGCACCCAAGGACAACATCGACCTCTGCAAGAAGCTAATCGACGAAAGAGAAGACATAGTGAAACACTGCAGCTTTTGTAACGAAAACGGATGCAATGCCGCATCGCTCAAGTCAATATCCGTCGCTATGAGTTTGCTAGTTTTGCCATTGCTAATATTAATTTAATCTGTTGTTACCATTTATGACCATTCTATCATCATAATCTATTCTAAAATCACACATTTTACGATGCGCTTTGTCAGTGTAAAGAAAATGATTTTACAAAATATGACTGGGCGGACATATTGCTGAATGCGCTTCATGTGCAAAAGGTACCAACGAAGTTATGTATCGTAGGGCCTTAGAGGAACAATCACAATCACGTAAATTTATTACTTTTATAGAAGTAGTTATAAATGCATAACGAAACTATTAGCCATGATTGCCTAATGGAAAGTTCTCAAAGGTGCCACCTGCACCTCAACTAGGACTTACCATACTATACATTTCTGTGTGTAAGTAATTCCATTGTAATTCTAATTGAAGTTAGTTGGTAAATAAATTTTATTGTACTACTATTTTCACTCCAAAAACAGTTTACAATTTTTGTAATACTTTGTCGAACCCTCTACCATTAACTGCACGTTACTATTTACGTGTATTATCCGCTATCAGACTTCAATTTGGAGAACTTGTTCAGCTAATCGTTATCATTTATAAGATAATCTTGCAGAAAGTCTAATTCTAGTAGCTTTACACCTGCGGAACGATTAGTAGACAAAATGATTTTAAAACAGTATGTTGTGGCATTGATGCTATTGGGGTTCGTAGTAAAAGCGAGTAAGTACCGGCATTGTTTCACATTATCATCCCTATTGCGAATCTGGGGAACAGTGTGCTTGTTTTGCATTTAAAACGACCCCGCGTGCGTGAATAGTCGTGTACTGTTACCAGGAACCAATACTGTGACCTCTTACCTACCAGGTCACCTTATTTAACCAATTTTTTCGTACTCACTTGTTGCGTTAAAATCCTAATATTGTGATCCCAATAATAATTCCATACATTGCAGTATGCACACTTCGGCCAAAAAACAAGTGTGAAGTGTGCGACCTCTGTAATTGAATCATAAAGTGTCACCAGCTATAAAACTTTAATATCCTTACAACTAAAATGTAACAGTGCGATACATACATCCCACAAATTCTGTGATGCATACAGAACTCCACTTGCAGGACGGTATTATTTATAATAAATATAATTAAGTTCAACAGAGTATTTATTAAAAAATAACTTAACGTTTTTACTAAATGAATTGAATTACCTTATCTAAAACAATCTTTAATTGATCTGTACTCTGAATTGTTTGACTATTATCGACTGCATATAAATGATTCTTCAATTATATTTGGACAGTCATGCTCATGCGAACGATCCATGTAATTACGTAGATTAGGTAGTAGTGATAACGGAACTCCACTACCCTTAGAATAAAGTGTCACCGTTTTGTGGAGGTGATTGCTTATTCTTAAGTTCTAGACCACAATTTTTAATTCTATGTCTAAATACAAACAATACGATACAAATAACAATAAGTAAATAAAAGTTGCGAAGATCTGAACTGTCTTCTTCCTTCAGTTTGTGTGGGTTTTCTAAATGATTTAATTCGAGCGTTACGGTTTTACTAACATGGAATATGGTTGAACGTAGTATCTAAGGTGCTGGAAAGTGTTTGGAATGTCTGATCTTCGAATCATTAGTTTCTTATTTTCCGCAGTTAAAATAGAGGTGTTAAATACATATGTAAGCGTTGTCGATTAAGTCATTACAGATTTTTCTTGGAGTCGTCATGTAATTACACACACCTAGAAGTTAACTCATACACTCACTCACAACAGGTTTATTTACACATATTGCTATACTGTTTACTGTTTTACAGTTTTCATCCGTCCATAGCTTTTCTAGTCTGCCTTCTAGATTAGTACCTGGTTGTGAGGACTGGATTAGGGATAAGTTCCTGTTAGTTGGTAACGTGTAGGTTTAAAGTGCAGTTTACTTTATGTGGTTTTGCTTACAATTTCTCGTATGATTTTTCGTACGATCATTCATTCGATTTTCGTTAGGGGTTGTTTTGGTCGTTTTCTGTTTACATTATACGATATAGGCTACCAACAATTACGAATAAGTATGATCGGACCCTAAAACTTGACCGTAAAATCACATAACGTAAACTGCCGCTTTGCAGTCGTATTCAAGCGATGACACAATGATAGCTAAATCTGTATATGTGAACCGTAAAAATGGAACTAGTTGTGACAGCTTAACGGATTAGGGAAGGAGGGGGGGGCGACCTCACAAGCACATCGTCGCGCTATGTAGGTTCACAAAAAGTGTCTTTGCTACTAAGTCAAAAAAAATGTTGACTTTAAAAATTTGTTTACATATAACTTGTCTGTCTAAAACAACTAACCTAAAAAACTAAAAAAAATTCAGGGGTGGACGCCCCCCCTCCACTATCAGACCCACCGGTGCCCGCCCCTATCGACGTAACTCTGTTAATCTATCACTGGGTTTCCCTAATAAGAGGAAAACCAAACATGTTCAACTAAACCTTTGATACTAAGAGCAACGTATCACACTAGGAGATGATATATTGATAATTGTCTAGTACCGCTGCAAAGCCAGGATAACGTAAGTATATTTCTGTGAAAGATGCCCCATCTGACCGATTTCTTCATAAAAAATTTACAAGATACTTCTCACACTATCCTCAAATGCGTTAGTAAGGGAAAGAATCAGAAGCACAAGTCTAAATAAACTCATAAAGAGCGTTTAAAGCAGCGGCAGGGCACCACCATTTTACCCCACGGGGTCATTGGATTTGACCCATTTTCAATAGGCTTATTACTTGTGGCATGTAGGTCAACTGTGCAAAGTTTGAACCAAATCGGTCCAAGCGTTTGACAGTTATCGTGTTCACGGACAGACGGACAGACGAACACCATCGACTCCCCTATAAAGCTTGCATCCCTATTCTCTGCCGCTTAATAAATACAGCACAGACTTTATACACATTAGAATGTAAATGATGACCACTTCCATGAAGCAAGTCATCACCGCATATCCTTATAACAACATTTTTCCAGATAGGCGATTCTACTGCCATCAGTGTCGAGCAAATGCATGCAAAGAGGAAGTATTGTCACTACAAGAATGTAGTTTACAAAACAACAAGCTGCCATACAATTTCAAAGTAGAGATAAAGAGCAATGACAAAATCATCCCGCTCTGTGCTCACATAGTGTATCAAACAGGTAACATGAACCCACAACAGATCTTCAATAGGTAACCAGTTACTCTTCCAGAAAAGCTAAGAATCCCCGTAAAACAATGTCTTTTAGTACCATCCACCATGCAAGTATGCCAGCAAATAAATCAAACCATGCGATCAGACGTGAGACTAGACGAATGCACCTTGAAAAAGCCAGATAGATATTTAGCGATCATAGGTGCAGCGAAAGAACCTCAAAGCAGTTTTACCACAATGTTAAACGCAAGCACTACCCATCCAAGAGCTCCTAACCCAATCACCGACACATCTAAATCTGGAAGCACCGCTGCAATAATGGATAATACTATCATATCAAGCGCTACTAATCCACCCCCGGACAATATTATACCAGAAAGTGGAACTGGAACAACGGATAGCGCAACTACTATTGTTGCCAGCGCTACTAATCCACCCACGGGCAAAACTACAACACCAAGCACTACTGTTTCAAACATGGAGGCTACCGAAAGCAGCACTACTGTAGTTTCGAGCCCAACTTCTGACACACCAAGCACTACTGTTGGAACCACGGAGGCTACGGAAAGCAGCACTACTGCAGTTTCGAGCCCAACTTCTGAGACACCAAGCACTACTGTTGCAACCGCGGAGGCTACGGGAAGCAGCACTACTGTAGTTTCGAGCCCAACTTCTGACACACCAAGCACCACTATTGCAACCACGGAGGCTACGGAAAGCAGCACTACTGTAGTTTCGAGCCCAACTTCTGACACACCAAGCACTACTGTTGCAACCACGGAGGCTACCGAAAGCAGCACTACTGTCGTTTCGAGCCCAACTTCTGACACACCAAGCACTACTGTTGCAACCACGGAGGCTACGGAAAGCAGCACTACTGTAGTTTCGAGCCCAACTTCTGACACACCAAGCACTACTGTTGCAACCACGGAGGCTACCGAAAGCAGCACTACTGTCGTTTCGAGCCCAACTTCTGACACAGCAAGCACTACTGTTGCAACCACGGACCGGAAAGCAGCACTACTGTAGTTTCGAGCCCAACTTCTGACACACCAAGCACTACTGTTGCAACCAGGACGCTACCGAAAGCAGCACTACTGTAGTTTCGGACCCAACTTCTGAGACACCAAGCACTACTGTTGCAACCACGGAGGCTACCGAAAGCAGCACTACTGTAGTTTCGAGCCCAACTTCTGACACACCAAGCACTACTGTTGCAACCACGGACGCTACCGAAAGCAGCACTACTGTAGTTTCGAACCCAACTTCTGAGACACCAAGCACTACTGTTGCAACCACGGACGCTACCGAAAGCAGCACTACTGCACTACTGTAGTTTCGAGCCCAACTTCTGACACACCAAGCACTACTGTTGCAACCACGGAGGCTACCGAAAGCAGCACTACTGTCGTTTCGAGCCCAACTTCTGACACACCAAGCAGTTCTATTTCAACTATTGACACACCGGGTAGTACCAACCCAACAACAGATTCACCCACATCGGAACGTGAGAGTACAACGATTGCTACATCAACTAGTACCCCTATGATACCTATTTCAACAACGGTTGTGTCTGATACCACCTTTGAATGTAAGTTGCGTTAACCCCTGAATGATAATACATGTATTACTTCCATAGCTTCAACGACGGAGAGCAAAAACTTTACAACGTCTGCTGATGGTTTAGTGGTCACCTTACCCACCCAGGGCAGTTCAGGAAGGTTTATATCTAGTTTTACTGTTTTCTCGCTATTAGTTATTCAAATTGCCTGGTGGTTATCGGCTATGTAGTTAAATAATGTGATAAAACCAATCATTTTTTACTTATGGTCCCTTCCTGTACTTTTCCAACGTGTCGAGCTTCAACGTCAAGTGCTCTTTATATTGTAATTCTTGTGTCATAACATAAACTGGCTCATATAAAGCGATCATCCCTTAAGGTCTGGGAAACGAAGTAGGTCACTTTCATAATGTTTTCACTCAATATATGAACGCGTAGGGCCACATTTGATGGCACCCTGCGTCAACACAAACGCTCACAAGAAAGTCATCACTGCCCACAGCATAATGCAGTACTATAACCTTTACCAGAGCTTTAATGAGAACGGGCGGAATACTATTCCACAAGCGCCAATCACGGGGTGGCGGTACCGACACAGAAATATTTGCCCTTCACATTCGTTAATGTTGTTGCGTCTCATTTTAAGGAATGAATCTTTCAATTCAGAAGGGTTTAAATATCCCGTGAACCAATGCAGAAATTGGCGCCTACTAGTTGAGGGTGCTTTTGTGCTATGTACCATTCAACTCACGTGCTGGTGCATAGGCACTAGTAGGCAGGCTACAACACTGGGTTATTTCGTTGCAAGCACTGCGATGGGGCAATAAGGCTACAGGAGGACAAAGTTCTCGCCCCGGAGCAGTGCAGGGTATACAAGCTACCTGCTTCAAGGGAAACAACTTCTTTAGTCGATAAGTGGAGGCCCTTCTGCTGCTACAGACTTTATTCTGTCATGCTTAGCTGAGAATGAGGAAAGTGGGAAATTTGTCCGTATCTTATCATCCAATGTTTAATTGTTCACTTTCAAGATTTTTTTATGTGGATCACAGCCCTTCAGCCGTCTATTCCAAGCATGGAAAAATGTTATCCCTAACCAACGAATACTTCCCTAATCAAGCAATTTGAGGCAAAGAAAGCACGCACAAGTACTCGTAGAAAGGCAATTACGAAGGTAATTGCACTTGAGGGTATTAGACGTGTACGTAAGCGAAATCAATATCTATCCCTTATAAAATAAAAAGACAATCATCGATTTATTCAGTTAGGTTACAACCCTCCCCTTGTATGCACATTACAAGGAAGCTCCGAAGCTAAGTAAATCATGCGGCTAAAAATTATAGTTACTTTGTTGTCCATAAGCGGAGGAATAATCTGTGGTAGGTAACTGAAAATGGTACGCACTTATTAATTTCCAGTTCATTGTTTATGCACATTGATTTTAGTGTTTGTTTCGTTGGTTTAACTTTCGCATTAGAGTTGACTTCGTAATCGCTTTTTAATGTCTAATGTTTTGGAAGAACGTGCTTCGACATTTTACAGTGTCTGGTGGAGCTTTTCCCTTTATTTGCAAAAATTTGTCTTATATAGGTTTATGTAACAAGTAAATTTTTAATTTAATTTTTTTTCTACAACTTGTGCTAGTATATTTCACGAATAGAAACACTGCAAAGTCGCGCCCTTTTAAGTTATATGATAAATGCGATATTCAATACTTCAAATACTTTTTGAAGAAATGACGAATTGCGGCGAAACAACTCATTTTAGATTTCATGTGTAAAACATAAAGTCACACTAAAATTGACCAAGGAATTTAAATATGCAATAATATACAGGGGATTGTATTTAAAAAACTGCAACCTTGATATAAATCACTCTGTATAACAATTCCAATTTCGTTGAAAATGTTTTGAGGTTGTAGTCTTAAGATTCCTTCAACACTCCGACAATGGATTTTAAATAAACCCATAAATCTTCCACCCAGGCACTGTTGACCCACTCCAAATATACACATTATTTTGCGTTTCCTCCAACATCCTGTCCTCTTCCATTTCTCTTTCTAATCTTGCATTCAGTACCATTGCGTAGATTCTATACGCTGCCGTCATTATCGAAATTCCCTTATAATTTTCCATATGATTCTTGTCACATCTTTTGTAAATCGGCACTATATTACCCCTTGCTTCCATTCTTGCGGTAGTCCTTTTCCTTTTCATGCGCGTTTATAGGCTTCCTCAACTTCTCTTTAATAAGCAGAAGTGAAAATCCATGCTTCATTTCTTATGTCGTCCCTCCCTGTCGCCTTCCCTTGTTTCAGTCTCTTTAGTTGATGCCCTCTTGATATTTTGTCTCCTTCCTCCGTACCGTTTTTGTGTGTCAAATTTCGAGAAACTACTAAAGCCACTTCTCCAAACCTGGTGTGCTGATGAGCCTGGCATCCTTCGCCACACTTCTTACCTTTCTCCAGCTTTTGGGGATATACCCTAAAGCCAGGGAGACTGGTGTGCTGATGAGCCTGGCATCCTTCGCCACACTTCTTACCTTTCTCCAGCTTTTGGGGATATACCCTAAAGCCAGGGAGACTCCCTTCTCTTCTGCAGAAGAGCCGGTCCAGTCGATCGGGCTTACCCGCTTGCTAGGACCGAAGTTACGTAGTCTCCAGAGCCTGTGAGTTTTTAGCGCGGCTATGCCAATTTTGTATGGACTACAAATACGCCCATTTTTTTCAAATCATATTGTGATAACATTTGGCCTCGTTGTTGACCATAAGATCATGTACTGTATAGTCATGGTGAGAGGAACTACGATTTGTGTTGCTTGTAGTAACGGTTTCAATATTTTGCGAACGAGTCCCGAACTGTTTTCATCCCCCACATTCTAACTGCATTGAATTAAATAGGCGTAAAGCAAATGAACACGATGGGTGTACCTTTTCACAATTCCACTACCCTATTTTCCAAACGAATCGTTCATCATAATGACTTTCCCACGTTAACCATTCAGTAGTTACTAGAAGCTGACCCAAGTTGCACAATGTTCCAATATCGTCCCGAGATTCCCATGTGGTCTTTTCCCGAGAGTATCTTTCTCCATTTACCTGACAAACAGTTCATAATTGACGTGCTGAAGTTTTGCAATAGTTCAATGCAAAAATTTGTTGTGCCCAAATTTGAAAAGTGGCACATCCCGAAATTGTCGCCGAGAAAAAAGTAGGCTGATTAATTTGACCTACATCCACCTACGTGTATGAAAATCAATGGTGGCACACAAAGTTATTTCCCTTGATAATGACGAAGGTAATTTAAGTACATCGTTTACCTCATTCAATATTAAAACCGTTTGATATGGAAACTTTAGCTAACAACGGAGTGGAATCGATCGGGACGACTGGCATTCAATTGTACCTACGGATGAGCAAAATTTGTTTAAAGAGTTTTGGGAGTATTGATTCCAATGCCAAGGGCTACTCAATTACTGATTTCATTATTTATTTGGTTCCCATACTTATTGCTTAGAGTATTGACTATCAATTAACTTTAAACTTTTATAAGTCACGATCGTGACGACCATGAAAATCTTTGTGCAATAAATAGAATCTGTGATTTCCACCTTAAGAGTCCGACCTTTGGATTATATTATGGAACCCAATAATTACCAACCCTAGATTGATTTTCTTGTTAATATTGAAGTATACTGTTATCGCCCGCTGTTTTTCCACCTGTACCCTAAAGCTTCTCCGCAAAAAAGTCCAAAACCCACAATTTATAACGGAGCAGATGATTTAAAATTACGAGCAATCATTTCTAAAATATTTTTGATGCTAGTGAGAACCCTAAACACCCCCTTGAGACTCCTAAAAACTTTTAGATTCAAGCGTAAAGACTCATGGAGGAATTTTTGGAAGATCATGGACTTGACTGCGATCACTTAAGTGTTCTGAAGACCCGGCCCTTAAAGCTCTAATCTGTAAAACTTTATAATTTTATATAGACCTTTGGAATCCTTTGGATTCGATGAAAATCCTTAAAAGTTTTAAAAATGTGTTAAAGAAAAACTTACTGTATGTAAATATCTTTTTGTATGTAAGGATTTGTTGATATTCTTGTTTATTAAAATAGTGTTTAAGCATTGCAATGTTATAGCGGGTGGTTTTGAAGGGTTGAAAAGTTATAAAATGAAATTGGTAATATTATTAGCAATAACATTTCGCAATTAAAACGCTGTGATAAATTATTAATTTTTTGCGAGTTTATACCTTATTTTGATTGAACCACAATAGGGGTTGATTTTTAAAGGTTGAAATATTCTGAAATCTAACAATTATGACTCAACTCATCTGAACGTTAAGCTTTAATAAGTTTTATAGCTTTCATCAGAGGGGTAGTTTTCCACCATAAGGAATGAAGAGCGCCCATAATGTGGATTTTGAAGTGGAGGGTAAATTGAACCTAATTTTTATGCCAATCGATACATTTTGAAAAACTTGCTAAGTTTTGTACTATTTTAATCTTCATTTCTTGGACTAAAAGGCCTATAAATTCGGTAGGAAGATAACTAGATATTGAAGACTGCTTGCAACTATTTAAACGCTCTAAAAAATCTTCTAAAGGTTCACAAAAATGTTAAAGGAAAGTTTTTGTGAATCTTTAAAAGGCTTTGAGAGCGTTTAAATAGTTGAAAGACTTCTTAAAGGCTTGAAATATCTTTAAATAAAGAGCGATTCAAATATTCAACGTCATAGTTGGCGGTGATGAGGTGTTTATCGTGAACGAACCTCAATACACTTGTCAGACGGACCTGTAAATTTGATTTCGAGTTTATAAAAGTCTTCAATAATTCGAAGTGCTCCCAAAGGCATCTAAGAACGTATACAACTTGCACTTGCACTTGCTTTATAGATAAAAGCTTTAAGGGCTTTTATAAGTCCATAAAGGGTTAAAGGCTTAAAGACTTCGGAAGCTCTTCGAATGATTGCGGACTTTTATATACCTACTCTTAAATGCATTTAGAATCCTTAAAGAGCTCTAAGGGTTTTTCAAAATTTGAATGTTAAATACCTTTTAAAAATTCAAGAACCATCAAAAGCTTCTCAAATCCGCGCGTTAGCGGTTCTAAAGGAGAATATGAGGCGAAGAGACTACTTAAAGCTTTTAGAGAAAAATATTGGGTACTCTTAGAAGACCAATAAAGACTCCTACAGAATTCTTACAAGATCTCAACTTTCTATGAAACTCTTTAAAGTCCTTTAAAGCTCTATGGTAAGATCAAGTTTAGATTGAACTTCAAACGAATTCCAAAGGAAGTTATGGAAGAAATGTGAAGACCAACCAGTAGGGAAATAACAACCTTTGTCATGACTATCTTCCACCCCCTTGGTTTTCTTGCACCCATCAGGATGAAAAGATCGCAGATGATAGATTGGGATGACGAAGTACAGAAAGCAGTTATGCCATATTGGAAGAAATGGATCCAGGATTTAGAACAAGTCTCAACACTGAAGATCGAATATACAACCCCAATTCAGCTCCACATTTTCAACGACGTGGGCTCAGAACCTTTCGTAGCTCACCTTCCTCAGAGTTCATACTATAGAAAATTAAGGCTACGTTAGTTGTTGGAAAATCTTATGTTGCCCTATTGAAAAGATTCACGACAATTCCAAAAGCCGAACTTCAAGGTGCTCTGATCGGTGCCAGATGAGCTCAAATCATTGTTTCGACGTTTCAAGGATGAATTGAAATCTAGAACGTTATTATTGTGGATATGGAACACGTACAAACAGTTCAAGATGTAAGTCGCCAACAGAATTTGAGAAATGTTCCACCTATAAATTTCACATTCATTTTAATGCCCACGAGTCACGACAATAAGAATTTCAAGTTCTTTAGTGCAGTAAACAATGAACATGACTGATCAATGATATATTATATAATATAATTATATACATTGTTTTAGCTCAAGCTCTTCAGTGCCAATACTGCAGAGGAAACGCCTGCAATCAAAATGACGTACCAAGGCTGGATTGTGATGACCAAGTTAGCACCTTACCATACAATTTCCATGTTAACTCAAATTTTGAAAATCCAATAAAAGCTTGCCTCGAGTTAGAATACACGAAAGGTAGGGTGCTCAAAGTTAAGACAATGAGTTGATCGCACCTGTTTCAGGACTCCGAAGGATACCCATCAGGCAATGCTTACTGCTCTCTGCCGAGAACAACGTGTGCAATGAAATTCAGTTTTCCTTGCCCTCGTCAGTGAGGTTGGAAAAATGCAACGTAAGGCACAAACGTGACGCTGAAGAGGAAACCACCCACGTTCTGGGGACTACTACAACGGAAACGGTTTTGGAAGATGGAAGCACTGTTGCATCTACAACCACGGCACCCTCGACAGCGGACGCAGCTACCTCTACCTCACTGACGTCCACCTCACCTGTAATTGCCCCCGATGAATCCCCGGAAGCAAGAACCGTAACTCAGTTTACCGAAGTTGCAACACTGTCTAACGAAATTCCTAAAGCGATCGAACCCGTTACTGAAATGACCACGGTAATAAACCCGTCCACAGCAGGAGCACCAATTGAGTCATCAATTGCACCTGCGAAAGAGACCACTGTAGTGGAAGTTCCAAAAGCAGCCGCATCAATTGAACCACCTGTTACGCAAGACACCAAAGTAGTAGAAATTCCCAAAGCAGTCGCAACAATTGAACCGTCAATTGCACTTGTTACGACAGAGACCAAAATATCAACATCAATTGCACCTGTAACAGAAAAGACCACAATAGCAGAAGCCCCGAAAACGGCCGCGTTAATTGCTAGCTCATCCACGACCACCGTTAGGGCACAAACCACAACATCTCCATCGCACGTAGCTGTTAAACATGGAATTACCACTTCGACTATGATGACAACAACACCTGGGGGAAGCTCAAGGATATATCTCTCACTTGCCACACTTTTTACAATCGTTATTTATGTGCTATGAAGCTAAGTTGTACAAAACTGTTACAAGCACCGAATTGCACAGAAGTTTAGTACCCATTCAGAAATTATGTTGCGTCCTACATACTGTGATTTACTTATTCTATGTAAATGTTGTAAATATAAAAAGTACTATAGTCGTTGGATATGATCGGCACGATCCAACCAATTTCGTTACAAAAACGGTTAAACGTACTGAATTTGTGTGAATGAGAATTTCGACAAAAATTCTGACAGCGCCAATCGATAGCGCTGGTCGAGACCTTTCCAACGAGGGGTCGGAAGGCATATCTACGTCGCACCGTTCTCGAGAAATCCCGGTTTGAAGTTTCGACCAAAAATTCTGACAAACCTTAATATCTCGAGAACGGTGCGTCGTAGACACGCCTTCCGACCACTCGTTGGAAAGGTCTCGACCAGCGCTATCGATTTCGACAAAAAATTCAAAGGGCTGTAACTTTTGATCTAGTTGCTCGATCTTGGAACTGTTTGAAATTATGGATTCTACAGGCCACATTCTATAAGAAAATATCCGGTCGATCTGAGAAAATTTTTTTTTCGGGTCAAAAAGGAGGGCAGTTATAACCTTCCTTTTTTACCAAAAATCGACTGCGCCAAAATTTCTCGGGAAAAAACTTTTTCTTATTGATTTTGGTGCGTAGAATCCAAAACGATTCGTACTTTTTCGATTAGATGTCTCAATCAAAAGTTATGGGCAAAAAACCAATTTCGACAAAAAATTCAAAGGGCTGTATTCTACGACGATAGCGCTGGTCGAGACCTTTCCAACGAGGAGTCGGAAGGTTTTCGAGATATTAAGGTTTGTCAGAATTTTTGGTCGAAACTACAAACCGTAATATCTCGAGAACGGTGCGACGTAGGGCTGTAACTTTTGATCTAGTTGCTCGATCTTGGAACTGTTTGAAATTATGGATGATTCTACAGGCCACATTCTATAAGAAAATATTTTTTTCCGTTCGATCTGAGACAATTTTTTTTTCGAGCCAAAAAAGAAAGGCAGTTATTACCTTCCTTTTTTACCAAAAATCGACTGCACCAAAATTTCTCGGGAAAAAACTTTTTCTTATTAATTTTGGTGCGTAGAATCCAAAACGATTCGCACTTTTTCGATTAGACGTCTCAATTTAGTTCTATATGGTTCCAGTTTATCAAAATTTGATTTTCTTTGGCGATTTTGTCTTAAATTTCTCTTCTGTTATATCTAGGTAGATTCCATAATAATGTCCCATCGTACTAATCCTTTGTGATTCTTTGTGGTGGCGAAGGCGATAGTTATAGATTAGAAGTACCTAAACCATGCTGGTTATGAAATACCACTTATGATTTACGCAAAATAATTAACCATGATATCTGAACTTAACTTCAAATGAAATAAATGCACGATTTGGAAAAATTGCACTATAGAATTCTGCGCGAGACAAGGAGGGGCGACAATTTAGTTTGAATGTGGAGCAACTCGCACAAAAAAGGAAAAATTAATCCCAAAATTTATGATGGCTTGATCATGTTTCGGCGTTTCCTTGCCAAATCTGGATGGAGTAACGATTAATACGATTAAAACTAAATTTTTATAATAGCTTCATCTACGTAATCGCAGTATTCAAATTACCAATCTTAAAAAAGTTATTCTCGCGATGTTTTGTTACAGATAATTACACAATAAAATTATCGAACGGGTGGCATACAGACACATAAAGAGCAAAAACCGTATCATTTTCAGAAAAAATTAATTGGAACGGGCGGATATAAATAGAAGACCCCACTCGTTCTTTCCCAGTTCCCAACTATGTGCACATATTATTGGCGGTTATTAATTTTCGGAGTGTTTGTTGTTAATTTCTTTGGCAAAGGTAAACAACTTTAAAGTGATTTGAATTTTTATTACCGATAAATTGAGTTATAATGAGTAAATTTGTGTAGGCTGCTCTTTGGAATGCTTTGATTGCAAGTCGGATCCAAAGGGCCACTGTGGGGACCCTTTCAATTCATCATCGGTGAAGGCTGTGTCATGCGTTCCGTCAAGTTACGTGTGCTTGAAACAGAAACAGATTTTTAAGAGAAATGGTAGGCAATTTGTATTATAAGTGCTAATTATTAAGATTTCCAATCTAAAAGTCTTTAGGAAGCTTTACTTGTTTAAGAGTTTTTAAGAGAGTGGCGTGTAAGAGACCTCTATGAGTCTGTAAGGTCATTAAACGTATTTAATAAGTCATTGTGCGTCTCAAAGAACTTTGGTAGCTTTCTAGAGATCCAAAACTCGCCAGAAATTTATAAACGCTTTACAGTATTTACCTAGAAGGCTAGTATTACATTTAAGTTTTATGATCTGCACCTTTAGAAGGTTTTATACCTTTTAGGACTTTTAAGAGCTCTGTAGAGTTTGAATAGCCTTCTAGATTGTCTTAGAATCCATTACTGCTATATTAGTCTGTCAGAAATTGACTTTTAACGGTTTTTATGAGTCTCTAAGGACCTCTAGTATTTTTTACCAGTTGAGGTCACGAGTTGCCTACAGTCTCGAAGTTTTCAAAATCTACCAGAACCCCTTAAACGTTTTTGAGCCTTTACAACAACAAAAACAAAAGCCTTGTTTTGTGTAATATAGTTTTTAAAAGTAGGCCGTTTGAAATTTATGGGCCTCTTTAAGAAAAAGCCTTTGAGTGTTTACACTAAATTTTCATTTTAGTGCCTCAAAATCTTTGTTAGCCACTTTGGGACTTTAGAGTCATCAAGGAGGCTGTAAAACTGTCTTAAAACTTTTAGAAAAGTTCCCAGAGCTTTCGAAATACATTAGCGTCTTTACGAGGCCTTTGGTGGTCAATGGCTTTTAAGTTGGGTTTGTATGCGTCTTATGAGAATGAATACTTAAAAGTCTCTTAGGCCCTTTAGTAGTTTTTAAGAGCTTTTAAATATCGCCTACATCTCTGGTTCTCATCACCTCCTTCCTTGTCTTGCTATGTGGAAATTAAGAAATACATGTAGAATTGCATGTACGTATTTGATCGTTAAAAGCAACTTGAGCAATACTCAATAATTTTTTTTTCACTATCGTATAACATTCCTTACCGAATGGTGTATAAATAAATAACAATGCTAACATGTTCCCAAAAGGATTTATGGGGGAGCTCCTCATTTAAATACAACAATTTAAATGGTGTCTAGCACGCATTTGAGTTATCTTAAATCCCAGCAGAGTAATTGTAAGTTGCCGGACAACACGCGACCGGTATCGAAATTTTTAATTTTTTTAATTACAAATTACACATACTATAAAAAAGTCAACTTATTTTATCAACCCTCAGAATCTTTCCCTTAGAAACTACTTTACTGAATGCAAAAGCTATCAAGTGAAGGTTAATGATGAAATGGGGTGAAGTAAATCTATTTATTTGAATAATTTGAAGTATCTTCATGTTTAACGACACTTTATTATTAGTTTTGTAAATTTAATTACGTCGTTTAATCACATACAAGAATTAACAATAGATTTTAAAAAACTTTTGAAATGGATTAATTTAGAGCAGTAATTAAAATTTATCACTCACAGTTTATACCATATCAAGAACGCATCGATGCAGGAACTGAACTGAATCATACTTCGATTTGCTTACAGCGGGTCCCGTGATTTGAATGTTCTTGAACAAACACCTCATACTTCTTGGAAAGATTACGTCACATCCTCCTTCGTGCTTCATCGCGGATGCCTAATGTTTCATGGCGCCTCGATGTCTATGGAAACTTCTAGAATATTCTCTACATTTTTTGTTAAACTATGTAATGGAACCGAATTATCCCGCTAAAATTCTATTTAAATATTCCCGAATCCGAGCCTGGCGCGATGAAAAAGGTCAAGATTGCGCTTTTTTTCGTTTTCGTGGAACACATGTTTTTTTCTTCTCTGCTCTACATTGAAATGGGCCATAATTTACAATAAAAGTGTCAAATATTACGCTATGCGAGCTATGCGAGAAAACTTAATGATCCATATCGACCCGTCTCGAGGCACGTTCGATATTAAGAATTGTTTTCGTCTAGGATTTGCCTGCAAAGGGGAAATTTAGGCAGAAGTGTGTGTGCTTTTGTTGTGAACAGAAGTAAATCTTTACGTTGCGAATAGTGAGTGCAGCTTCGACAATTACAAAGGTGATGTACTCGTTTTATTTATCTCTACGTCTATTGCATCCCTCTAATAACGCTATGACCGTGTTAAATTATTTGCCAATTTAATTTTATCCTCGTACAGCATTGATTTGTGCCATTTATAACACATTCCAGATACCAATTGCAGTTTTAATTGTACTGGGCCTACTGGGTAATTTCTGACCGATTTACGTGTTTTGATTTATATTTAGATACTGTATGTTCCCTTAGGGGCGGTCTCCAATACAAGTATGCAGAACTACATTTTTAATGTATAATTGAATTTATTGCAGCACATTTCGTTTTTGTTTACCTGAATATGTTATTGTGTATTTACAGGGTGCCTTCATCTGGGGGCGAGTGACGTACGTTAGGTGGTTGATTGTTACATATTGCACTTGGCATTGTGAATTAATTACTTGATACCAATGTTTGCCACGACATGTTCCTTTGTATTGTTGTAATGTGATTGTACTAAAATTTATGCTCCTACTATTTATTTGAACCGGGTGATTATGATTATTAATATTTGGCGGGGTGACTTGCTTCGAATATTTACTGTGCTATATTTGATATTGATATTTGATACCGATATTTAATATCTCGATTTGACGTAGCAGAGGCTGGCTAAAGTTCAGAACTGACATACGCAGAGATATATATTTTGTGTACTGTTTTTTGTTGTGTCTTTGAAAAGAGCCATCTTGCCGATATTGCTAATCAATTCGTTTAGTCGATCCCTGTCATGTAGTGACCGAATATTGGTTTTGTGTCAGTCTTTGTTATGCCAGTGCAAATATGTTGACTTTCGACGCCTACATAAATTGTGTATATTTTGTTTATAATTTGGTATGCGTGCGAGTTTGCCGTTGGTTACTCTGTTATTTTTGTTATGTCATGATTTGTCTTTTGATCGGTTATTGTCAGTACTCATGGTAGAGAGCCTGGAGTTCAGTAATTTATAACCCGGCATTTTAAGACTAGTGGGTTGGACTGGCCCTAGAGATGTGTGAATGAATGAGTTGGGGTCCCGCTTAGTCGTACATGAGGGCGCTGGCTAGGCCCGGCCTCACTTGCGCAGGGATTCGCTAAAAGCGTGTGGCGTGTTCTCGTTGTGACCTTTTGTTTTGTTAACAATTTGGGGTATCCTTCCTATGTGAAAGGCTCTTCTGAGAGGCCAACTCCTAGCGATTTCATACAATGTTGACATGTCATGACCAGAGCAACTAAAGACTACTCGGTGTGGGATTTGGACTGGCCATCCAATATCCAAACCTATTATATGAATTTATTGTAATGTTTTAATGATTGTTTTTTTGTTATGTGTGTGTAATATTTATTCTTTAGGAATTCCAGTGGAGCCTGGGATTCGACAAGGTATTGCTGTACTTGACAACATGCATTCATGCCATTACAGATAACTAATTTTGCTCTAAAGTTCAATATTAATTTGTTAGCTGGGTTTTTTCTTGGTCAGTTCTTTTTTTCCCAGCCTATTTTTATATTTGTACTCGGTGAACTACCATTTTCTAAATTTAATCTTGCAATGAGAATTATTTGGATTAAATCTCCGTTTTTAAAGCGTGTACTTGTTTTATTTGTAATCCTTACTTGATCCTCACTCCGACAAGCAGCACATATCTTGTAGCGACTCTTAAAAACACAACGTAGGAAGTGGTCCTATTATTTGGTTATTCAGGTTAAGTAGCTTTGTCTAGACGATCACATGCCATGGGGTTCAGTTAGTTTGGGAGGGAAAGTTTTGAATTTAAATCTTGAGTTGCGCAGTCTCTCGGGACTGGCCTGGGTACACCACAACTACATTTAAAAGAACATACAATTTTTGGTAAAGTCCGTATAATTGAACAGTAGAACATATTTAATGTTCTACTATTCAATTATTACACCTTTACTGCTGTGGAATTGTGGTACTTTTTTTGTTACAACTCTTCTTTTGCGAAACAACTAGTCTGTCCGTAGTTTTGCAATAGATTTAATCATTTCACTTTCACTGAAGATTCGATAAGTTCAGCTTTATTCTAGTAACTATACCTTAACTATAACAAGGGCGCTATCAGTCCTACATGCTCCCCATCTTCATGAACTAGAACTGTACAGGTCTGAAAAACCTGACTGTTACACATGAAATCAAAACTTTCTTCTTCAAAAGAAAGTAAGTGTATGCACTAACCTGGTGTGCTGTACAGTTGGATAAACGATGAACAACTTGAAGTGTTCCCTAAAAAACGATACTTGAAACTGTAATAGATCCAGGAACTTTTGGGGCTGACAGGTTTCTAAACTATGTCAGACTACCCCAAATTCAATGCCTTCAGTTAATACCTTCCATTTTTGTTTCAGGACGAGAAATAATGGAAGTGACTAGGTCCTGCGCTCCAGACTCATATTGTCGTCTAATGATCTTCGAGCACTGCTCCCTGTGCCAGACCGACAGATGCAATCCAGCCAACGTTTCGCTACCGTCCTCGCCAGTCAATACAATTATTGCTATGTGTTTGCTAATAAAATATTTCTCCGCAAGTGGCACATTCATTACGTGAATTTCTCAAATTTTGTTAACATCCTTTGTCATTGAACAATAAATTCTATTGATTACGCTTGACATTGTACTACCCAAAATGTAATTTACAAGCAACTAGCGACAATTAATTCATTTAGATGGTATAAAATTGCAAATTAAGTTAGTAAACTCCTTGAGCGGAGCGTGGCAGTTAATCGTAAATGTTTGTAGTAGGTACGTAGTTTTTTGCTCAGAGCAATAATAACATTTAAATTATATAATACGCTCCTTAATTATACCGAATCTATTATTTGGTGCAGGGTTGACCTTCGACGCGATACAGTGTCATTCATGTCCTACAACAAAGTTAGTTCCATTGTAAAAAAATGGTTAGCGTGCACTGTATGTGGTTGATATGTCTAATTTACTTAGGGCAGACGGTGGACGAGGGTGAGTTACTTGGGCAATTCAATCGCGACCATCACACCAAGGTTAATACTATTTTATTGCAGGAGAATCCATTCTGTGTTACGTATGTGATTCGATGAATAATCCATTGTGTAACGACCCATTTAATATGAGTGCAATTGCAGTTAGTAATTGCACCAATGAAAATTTCGCCTGTCTGAAAAGGGAGAAGTACGACAAAGGTTTGTATTTTCCACACAATTACGTTAGGTGTTGTTGAGACTCCACGGTTCATTAAATTGGTGACGCAGTTTGTTATTGTGATAGCTACCTATGAATATTTCAAATTCTTTCTATCGGCGGCAACGGTCATGGTCAAAGTGTTACAAGAGCTGCATTGGATTTTTGAGAGCAGGAAAATAATTTCGGATATCACTGGCATGGTCCTCCCGCAGTAATTATCTTCTTCAAGGACCTTGAGTACAATTCCAGCGACAAGAACCTAGGCCACACTTAATCAAAGGACAATTTCATTACTATTGTTCACAAGGCTACTATGATGTTACTTCAATAATCAAAGGAAAGAGAATCGCTATTTTCGGTTGAAGATTATCTTTCTGTATACCCCACTGATTTTTCAAGAGAGAGTTTTTCTTCAAAGAATAAAATAAGTAGGTATGTCTCGACATCCCCACACTCATTTTCTATCAAGTTTAACTGAGTCGGCCCAAATCTATATCCTTGCAACCATCAACAGTCCTTGTCTCCACTTCATCCAATTATAGCTGCAATAGGTATGACGCGTCGTATTCTATGAACCAAGTCCCCACACCAACGTTTTAAGTGCATTTTTGAAACAAAATACGCTATTATATTCGTTATGGCTGGCTGTCTGGCTGTCCGACTCAGATCACAGCAATTATAATAGTATAATAGCTAGAGACCCTCTCTCTACTTCTTCACCGCCACACAATTCAATTTGTTAATATAGCAAACAAAAAGCTTGCAGAGAATTCTCAAATCATATGGAGTCACATCCGCTTTTAAGTGATGAATCCTTTATCGACTTGTTGGCGTCCTGATGTCGCTCTAGAAAATTCGCAACAGTGTTTGACACAACCGGACAACTATTTTCTTTAAACACTTGTAAGTAAGCAATAATTGTGTCTCAAGTTGACCCCCCATTTCTCCACTTCCGCTGCTATCACAATTAAAGATAAGTTTCTTGCGACAACCGTACCGCCACTTTCTATGAAACGTAACCATTTCGAGCGTACACATCTTTTCTCGCCCCTAAAGTCTCTTCCTCCACCCGTTCTGCCCCTGCCACCAAAATTAGTTTTGTTGCAACAGCTCTATAGCCATTATCTATGAACGCTTTTTGATCACTCAATAATTTTTTCACTCCTCTTACAGTACTGTCGTCTATTCCGTCCGCCACCAAACTCCAGAATTAGTTTTTTGAGACAACTCAATAGTAATTTTCTATTAGGAACGCTATTGGGTAGTTTCTTTCAACCTTTAAGGCTCCTTCCTATAAACTTCTCCATTCCTCCACTTCTTGCCGCCACAAAATCCAAAAATAAGTTTATTGGGACGACTCAAACACTATTTTCGATTAGGTTTAACGCTTCAGAGGAATTGTTTCTACCCTTAACGTCCCTTTTTATGAAATTTAATTCTTTTTTACTTTTTACTCTTTAAAATATTTTCTTCAATCTTCCCCCCATGACAGCCAAGAAGAAGTAATAACTCAATAGCCATTTTCCATGTGGCTTAATTCCTCTAAGCATGGAACAATTTTTTCGTCAATTAAACTCCCTTCCTCCACTTGTGCCGTCACCAAACCCAAGAATAAGTTTTTGCGACAACTCATTATAGTCAATTTTTGATTAAGTTTATTAAAGACATTGAGCAATTTCTTCCATATCCAAGACATGCAGCAATTTATTTACCTTTTAAAGTCAAATTCTCTGGTGCTCAATTCCTTTGATCTGGGAAATCTTCTTCTTCAAGTATTTATTGAATCTCTTCGAGCTTTTTTGGAGTATCGTTACTTTATATCTGCTTCCAATCTTCAAATCTTAGGATCCTTGAGTGTTCGAAATCTTCTGCGAGCCCATTATAAGCCTTCTTCCACTCTTCAATGTCCTTCTCTCGATCTTAATACCTTCAAACCTTGTTCAAATATACTATAGTCACGAGGGCTTTATCAAATCGCGCACCGATTTTTTATCGTCATTTATAGTCCACTTTCTCCACTTCTCCCGCCATTAATATTAAGAATAAATTTACCATTATTTAGTGATTTTCTATCAAGTTAAACTCTTACATTTTTATCTTCCTCTAATTGTTAAGCCATCACATCCCAGAACAAGCTTGTTTCGACAACTCTGTAGTCTATTTTCTATGAACTTCAGCGCCTATGACCACGCAACCATTTTTTTCACCCCTTAAAATCCTATTCTTTACTTCTTCTGCTACTACATTCAAGAATGCGCTTGTTGCGACAACCCTATAATCATTTTTAATTAAGTTTAAAACTGTTGAGCATATTCTTCCACTTCTCTCTCTACCACAACTACGAATAAGCTGGCGAACTGGCGGCTACTTCATCTTTTTTTACGTTTCGTTAGAATTAAGGCCCACGACATGCGGCTCGACATATTTTAATGTCATCAATTTTAGGTTACTTCCAAGCGGGAACCCTACAGCTATTTTCTATAAAGTGTAATTCTTCTAGAGGTGGACCAATTTTTACCACCTTTTAAATTCTCCTAGTGTGAAAAACAGAATCAATATTCATTGTGCTACAAAGCTTTAAGATATTCGTATACTGAAGGGTATTAAAAAAAAACTGTGATGTAAGTGCAAAGGCTCTAAACCTCTTAGAGAAGAATGTAGAACCGGGGGGTCTGGGGGGTATTTAGTATCCTCCACCCTCCTCGCAGGAAAAGATAGAATCAATCTTAATTGCCCTTCACAGGCAGACTGACAAAGCGCGGACAATCTTTTGGAAAATGCAATAATTGTCTAAAGGACCTTCAGAAATGTGAGGTTTATTCCATTATATGAAAGTAAACGAACCTTTATTTTCTTTTCCTTTATTTATGGCTCTATGTAGACAACACACCTTACAGTATTATTGACAATTGTTCTTTTTCAGGCATAAATAGCACTTCTCTGCACCGTGGCTGCATCCAAAAGCACTTTTGCGAAGTTTTAGCGAAAGCATCGGAGTTCTGCTACACGTGCACATCAGACTACTGCAACAGTTCCTTCAGGACTATAGCCCTATGTCCTCTCTATTTATTTGTAATTATTGTAAGCCTACTATTTAAATAAAATTCGCCCATCTACTACGGCTCAAGCGAACTAGACGTCGTCGATCGCCACCTTACAGATTTCTGTACCAAATAAATAAATAAATAACAAAATTAGCGCCTACATCACTCATTTCAAAATTTGTTACATACGAGAGTTTACGTAACAGTTTTTGTACTTCGCATTCTACAACGAAGCGATTTGTATGTAGGTGAGGTTGTGAATTTTCACCTGTTCACCTTCGGACAATAATTAATCGCCAATGTGTAAATTGCTAAACAATGGATTTTAGCAAAATGGTGTTTGTGTGGATTTTGGTGCTGTGTCTAGTACAACTCGGTGAGTAATTTCTTTTTTGGTAAATTATTTCAATAGAAATGCAACAATTAAAAGAAAGTTGTAAAAATGACGTCAAGTTTAAGTGGAATTGGTGCCAATTGCTTAAAAATAGATTTTGTTCTTAATTCAAAGCGATAAACTATTTATAAAAATTGTTTGATTTACGCGATATTGTAGTTTCGTTAACATATGAATTGGAACTGGGAGAAGAATGCGGTACCATAAACAGTTGTACTTGCAGACCATTTAAGTACGTTTTGTGATTCATTTACGTTGGTAGGTAAGATTTCTAATTTTGTAGTGGTTTCGTTAACATTTGAAGTCTTTGAAACTTTAAAAAGTTTATTCGTCGGAGGACAAAATTTTTTTAAAGGAAGGATTTGGACGAACTTTGAAATATCCTAACCACTGTTTCGCCTTCCATGATATTCTAGTGAATAGTGAGCTTTACGGTTCTTACATTTAAACTATACCCTAATGAAGCATTAGGTTTTTCCATTTGTTAACCCTTTTTAAAAAATGTTATTAAAAGAGAATGATCTAGTACTGAATTGGACTAGGTTCAAGACCCTAGAATCGTGGGTCACCGTCTCACCTTTCTAGCCGAAATGATATTGCAGAGCTCTCAAATCGCGATTTTTCGCACCACGAAATCGGCGGAAGAAAACACCAAAGGAATCGAACCCTTCACAAAAAGAAACTAGCTGAATCTAACTTACTCCCAATGTAAAGAAAAATTAAACATTGGATGGAGCGATAAATACTTCTACGTACCTAATGCTGTAATACAAATCGAGTTTTCATTTTTAGAAGAAAGAGAATTACAATTTTTCTCCACCTACACTTTGTATACAGATTTTCGAATTCTCTGTTTCTTTGTGGTTTTCAGATCCTTTCAACTCTCTGGACCTTTCCGATTCTGATTTTTCAATCAAAATCTTTAATGTTTGCTCTTTTCGTGGTTCAGGTTCCATAATTTTATTTCATTTTTTAAATTCTCCCAGATCCATCAATTTTTTATTTTTAAGTTTCTTTCAATTCTTTTGATTTTTAAAGTTCTTCCGCTTTTGATGATGCTTTGGATGCTTTCGTATTTAGAATTCATTTCACTTGTCAGTTCTTCAAATTCTTCATATCTAGAAGATTCTTCAATCTTCGTATGTCTTCAATATCTTTCCAGTTCTTGAGTTTTCATGGTTAAAGTTAAATCTAAATTTCCTTTTTGGAATTACACAAATCCTTTGAATTTTGTCAAGCGGTTACAGGCGCTGCTATAGAACAGCCCGGAATATCTTGTCCGGTCCTGCACTCTTGGGCTGAACGTGTTAACCGCCCCTCTCTAAGATCCCTCAATAATCACCCGGGCAGCTACTTTCCGGTCGATCGGCCTTACACCGACCCAGGTAGCCCGTTTTGGTGGGTTTAAAGTTACGTAGTGCCTAGAGCCGCGGTAGACGTATATCTGTTGCATGGAAGCCTCAGTGTCCCCACTTTTTGCCCCGGGTCCTTCAAAAGGATCTTACGTAGTTTTTGAACTGCAGACGAAGACCCCCCTGCTACCAAATCCTCCTTGATCCTTGTTTAGACCTCCGAATACGGTCCTTCCACCTGCGCTCTGCGATCTTAAGATCTTCCCACTTCGCAGGCAGGTTATTATTTCGAATGGCGCTAATAAAGAGCCTGGGAACCTCCTTGGCGTAGACCAAGGTACTATGAATTAATGCATAGTACGCCGTTCTCATTATTTTAAACGACGTGATACCTATGTGTAATTTCTTGACGTTGAATTTTTATTATTATTATTATTTTTAGTGGAAACTAATATCTTGTATAGGTACCTTTTTATATCCTAATTGGTACTGAGGGCTATAACTACTGCCACTTGAGCTATAGAAAATGATTAATTACCTAATTATTAATTATGCACTCAAAAGCAAATACGTACACATTCGTACGTTTATTTTTATTGAATTAAAATTCATGCAACCGCTTGGGTTTCGAATTTGGATTCACGTTGACCACCTGAGTGATGTCAAATTAGGATTCTAATGAAAATGGGTTAAAAGAAAGCGTAATGAAAATGACATAAATCAGTTACGATGAGCTTACAAAGCGACACTAAACCGCATAAGTGGTTAAACTACCCTCTAAAAGTGATTCTCATAAGCAACCTTTACAATTAATTTTGTAAAAGGCTACAAAAACCCTTAGAAAGTTATGCTAAATGCAAAAGCATTTCTGTAATGAAACTCTCTTCAGAATAGAACACAAAGGGACAAATCCACCCTGTAAAGGTAAGGGTAAAAGTAAAACTCCTACATTTACTTTTCCAATCGGATAGAGAGTCTTCTTTTTATTTGTGAAAAAAAGGAACATTAATGAACACGCCCGTAAAGGTAGATTTTTCAGATTTGGAGAATGAAGGTACAAACGTGTCCTACAGATTTAGAGGTAAAACATAAAAATAAGATAGATATCTGCAAAGGTAGTTTTTGCAGAATCAGAAAATGACTCCATATGAAGGAACAAAATTATGAGTTCTATAAGGAACTTTATAAGGTAAGGGTGTAGGGTGTGATCTTCAGTCATAAAAAAAGTTAATTGCTCATTATCGTGATTAATAAAAAATTTCAAATTTATCACCAACAATTAGCAACAAGTATCAAATTATAATAAAAAATAGTTGTCATTGAATCCCAATTAGGCACTTATCGACGTAAATAACAAGAAAACTTACAGTTAGTAGCACCAACTACCTAGTACAAAAGTGCACAAAGTCATGAGATGCTTAGAAATATACTCATTTTAATCGAGACTACAACAGCTATAAACCGTACTAGATGTGGACCAAGTAAAAATGTCGTCCTTAGGCTTATTAAAGAAAGCTAATTAAAATTACTAATTCTTCAAATTGTTGTTTGTTGTACCACGATTAACATATTCCCAGGGCCGCGATACATTAATGGTGATTATGTTAATCAATACCTTAGCACTGCAGTTTTTTCATACAGAGAGGCAAATTGCCTTCCACCCAGGTTTAATTTTTTCATGTATTGATTCATAGTTTATTCCTCTATTGTATATTGACTTTCAGATACCAGAACCAAGTAAACGTTAAAATATCTAACTCTACCCTCCACAAATCATAATGGCACTATTTGCGAACAATATGAGTCATTTAAGGCGCAAGATTTCCTGAGGTTTTAATCATCCTCATAGGAGAGTTACGTCAAGTTTAAAAATGATACAATTCAATCAATATGACGCCTTCTCCTCGTCGATGGTTCGATTTACACAAATTCTTTTAAATACAACATCAAATTCAACAAGTATAAAGAGCTACTGTAATTGCATTTCAATTCCCCCTTCGATTTTACATTTTAAGGGAGGAATGTAGATGAAAGCAGGGGCGGACTGGCCCGGGGGGGCGGGTGGCGATTGCCACCTGGCCTGTACGTCATAATAGCCCGTTGGAAATTTATAAGTATGTGCTGTATTTAGTTTCTTGCACTATTAATAAATTATTAACACGTTTCTCTAATTGGGGTTGATGTTAGGTTGTTAAAAAATTTAAAAATTCTGTTTTAATTGAAGTGTTTCCGGGTCGATCTGAGACAATTTTTTTTTCGGGGCTCAAAAAAAGGCAGTGTATTACCTTCCTTTTTTACCAAAAATCGACTACACCAGAAATCCTCGGGAAAACACTTTTTCTTATTAAGTTGGGTGCGTAGAATCCAAACCAATTCGTACTTTTTCGATCAGACTTCTCAATCAAAAGTTATAGACTAGAAACCAATTTCGAAAAAAAATTCAAAGGGCTGTAATTTTTGAACTAGTAGCCCAATCTTGGAACTGTTTGAAATTATGGATTCTACAGGCCACATTCTATAAGAAAATTTTTTTTTCCGGGTCGATCTGAGACAATTTTTTTTTCGGGGCTCAAAAAAAGGCAGTGTATAACCTTCCTTTTTTTTACCAAAAATCGACTGCACCAAAATTTCTCGGGAAAACACTGTTTCTTATTAATTTTGGTGCGTAGAATCTAAAACAATTCGTACTTTTTTGATCAGAAATGAAAGAGTATCATCAAAGAGCGCCTGAAAATCAGAGTTCACGTTCACGGATTGAACAATATCCTCGCTTCGCCATCTAGAATATCGCAAAGATAGCAATGATTCACTTGTAAAGCATGTAGCATGTAAAAATGGGCACAGCACGTTCTGATGTATTCTTGATTTTACTACTAGTACAGGAAACGAAGATCAAAAGTGAAACAAAAACACTCGTAAAAGTTCTTAGTCTGGCTGGATTAGACAATATTTAAACTTATCTATGCTGTGTTTCAATTTCTAGAAATCTAAAACATCTGGATGTCCTCCAAATATAAACCATCCGTAGTGTATCATCTTCACTATGCTTACTCAGTATGTATCATTTTGCAGGTGCCTCGCTGGACTGCTTCTCGTGTACAACTCTGAAGAGCAACAAGTGCCAGGATACCTTTGAGAAGCAAACGGCCGAAACCGTGAGATGCGACGAACCAGGCTACGGTTGTATGAAACAAATTGTATCCGCCACAGGTACGTTGCATTTTCGCTATACCAGTACGAACACGCTTCTTGTAGGTCAGCAACCCAGAACGACACACAGAGGATGCACACCACAATTGTACTGCGATTCGCTGAAGGGAATTTCTGATCACTGTTCGGTCTGCGATACGCAGCTCTGCAACTCGTCTTCGCCAACGGGACTGTCGCTACTGATTGGCTCCATTATCTTAATTGCAGCGTGGTTGATATAGAACTTTAGTTAATTGAAACTAATTTATTAAACTTTTGTACGTCTTTGTTACTACGTCCTAGCATAACATCTAATGCAATAAATTCCATTATCTCGCTAGTGAAGCGAATATTTCACATCAAAGTTCTGCGCTGTTTGCTAATGAAAACCATAGTGTACTGTGGCTATGGCTACTGTGAACCATGAAAACCGCAAAGATATACAAGATTAGATAAGTTCAAAGCTTCTGTATCAATTGTCTCCAAGTTGTACGAATCTGCTCTCAACTGCCACAATGTTGTGAGTACCCAGCACTTCAATATTGAGATCAAGTTTGCGATGTGGATTATGCTAAATTTGTGCCTCTATACTCAGGTTTCGTGCATTACATGCAACTGTATGGAATTTTTTATTTGTTAAATCTGCGTCAATTCAATGATTTTTGATGATGTCCTACTGGAGCCCATCATATGGTGTGCGGGTTTTGTGTTTTTCAACGGTTTTGCTATACGTACATCCGAATATATCGTACCGTACCGTAACTCTGGGCAAAAAAGGCACCCTCATCACAATGGTGTACTCCCTCAGTTGCATTCAACATTTCTAACATACAATTTTAAGTTTATTCAAATACTCTCGCTCAGTTGATGAAATGCGTCCGAAAAGGCGACAATATTTGTGATTGGTTTGGGTGAGGTGTTGGCTTTTTTTCGAAAACCCCGCAACAAATGCTCCTCATCGATTATTCAGATATTAGTAGACCACAGGTCGCTCAATATCTAATCGCGTAATAATGGCAGGGATTTGTATCCAGTACTCATCCTTGAGCCCGCAGTCACACCACTTAGAAACGGAGATTGATTAATTTTATTCACAATCGCGTCACGATCCTTGTGGAGAAATTTAACTATGGGCCGTTCTAATCCAGAAATAAAGTAGAAGACTGCTCGTTAAATTAGCACCCCTAAATCGGCACCCCAATTTGTTACACTGCTAAAATATTGCGCTCATTTGGGCGCTAATTCTCCAAATTTTGTATGCTTCTCGTTTACGAGAAAATCACAATTTTTACATTGGGGGTCCAACAAGCAAGAAAACCATCATTCTCGTATCCAAATGATACTACTCGTTAAACCATAGTTTTGTGCTTGTTTTGTGCTGATTTGTACGCCAATACTCAGGTTTCCTCGCGCGACGGATATGAGAATGATCCCCAATGAACAATTTTAATTTTTTCGTAAACGAGAAGCGCACAAAATTTAGGGATTGGCGCACAAATACGCACAATATTTTAGCGATGTAACAAATTGGAGTGCCAATTTAGAGGTGCTAACTTAATCCACCGGGCCGGGCGAAGAAATTGAAGCAGGTAGATTCTGATGACATTTTTCTCGCGCAATTTCCACAACCCACAGCCCCATAATTGGGGCGATTGCCACCTGCCCTGTACGTCATAATGGCCCGTTGGAAATTTATAAGTATGTGCTGTATTTAGTTTCTTGCACTATTAATAAATTATTAACACGTTTCTCTAATTGGAGTTGATGTTAGGTTGATAAAAAATTAAAAAATTCTGTTTTAATTGAAGTGTTTTACAATGAATTTACCATTTTTTGTCGTAGTATGAAAGTGCTGAAATACAATGATAGGCGACGCGCCTCGTTTGGATTGTATATTTTGTTACTTTTAATTGTCAGCTGCAATTTAAAAAAAAAACTGTATTGTGATTGATTTCCGAAAAAGGAGTATGTACTAAAATGAAGCAAAAAAATGTTTTTGTGGTGCACCGCAGAGCTCCCACCCGTTAAGGTATGTTAAAAAATTTAAATATTCTGTTTTAATTGAAGTGTTTTACAATGAATTTACCATTTTTTGTCGTAGTATGACAGTGCTGAAATACAATTAGGCGACGCGCCTCGTTTGGATTGTATATTTGCCGTTTGAAATGCGAAATGAAGGTATAGCATGTCCCTTATACCGTTTTTCACCTACTCCTCAGGGCATTAATATTACCTCTTTGCGTGTGAAACTAGGAGTGTCTCCGAAACAATTTTCGGTCAACGCCCATGCAAAATTTCAAATAGGGAAGCCTAAATAAAATCTCGAGCGGTTGATAAGATTACAGCATATGAGTGAGTAAAATAAAAATGAGAAAGTAGCATAAAATCTCACTGTTGCGTGTAGCGTACGACGAAAACGGTATTCCATTTGTTTGACCTCAACTTGGGAACCTCTCATAAAGAGTAAAACTCATTCAATGGTACTCAGTGCGATTTAAAATGGCTTCGCGGTGCCTTCACTTATTGACTGTTGTTCCCTTCATGTTGTTATTGTTATCATCGGTTGAATATGGTATGTGTAAGTGTAACTTAAAAATGATACCAATAAATTACGTAAATGTGCCCTACATAACCGTATGATGTCACACGCTTTCTTTACATTCCGCACTGGAATGTTACCATTTAATAGGTTGTAATTAATCGATGAAATCATACATTAAAACAAATCGCGTTGTATTCACATTATTGTTATCTCATCAGATAAATTCACCTTTACTTTTTCCTAAGGCCGAGGGGGACGCACCTATTTTCTAACCTTTTTGGTATATTAGTCACTAATTTAAATTATAGGTAGATAAAAATAATTGTTACCACGTGGTTTTATTTATATATCTACTGTAAAATCTAAACGTCAAAAGCATTACGTAATGCTAGATCTGGAAGTCCCCCAGAATGGAGATTGGTGGGTGACGATCACAGTTGCATGAATTTTAATTTATACAAAATAAACGGAAATGTGTGCACACCAAAACGGTTAAATTGCGTCATTTCCATTTGACCCCAAATCAAAATAATCGCGCGGTGTTTTCCGTAGCTAGTTCAAGCCTCAACTCAGCGATGACCCTTGGTACCAATCAGGATATGACAAACGCAAAATTGCATTGGTCTAAAAATAAACGAAATCGGCCTAGTTTCAAATATTGTCACGGGTTGGACGTTTTATATCCTCGAGGGATGAGGGTGAGCCCGGTGGGACTAGGGTGACGGGTCTCCTAACTTGAAATCCATTAAGGTACTCAATACAACTATTTTTAGTCGATAATTAAATTAACACGCAGTGAAGATGTGATCAAGGTTCTGTATTCTGGCGATTTTGGTGTCGGTTACATTCACTTAGTTTCTCCATTTTGCATCGCTACATCTTTTTTGTCTAATTTGTTCATTTTACTATCTATCAATTTGATGGCGGTCACTTAGTTCTTCATTGCCACTTTCAACCCCTTAGTTCCGCTGTTTAATGAGATGTTTGCGCCATAGTTGATTATGAAGACTCGCGTGGAATAGATGTAGATTTATATGTAGGATGCATCTGTCATCGTTATGTGTGAGGGACCGCTGAATATTGGTATTTAGGTATTATAGGGTGAAGTAGATCATCCGTGGAAAGGGATATTTTTATATCATTTCTGGTTTATCAGTTTTTAACCAGTTAGGACAATCCTATTGAGGTGTACCGCAACTGTACCGTTGTCTGCAGGAACAAGCAGTTCTCCATAATTCTAACTGTAGTTACCCTGAAATCCTTAACACCGAAATTTGTGAAGATATTGTCCACACAATAATCTCCTCTCGTAGCTGAGAAAATTGTCTGTACAAAACCATAACATCCCATTAAGACACAGATAGCCTGCGATTTTTTGTCCACAGAAAAATGGACAGCTAAAATAACATTAAAATTGACAGTCTTATCCAACACTTCATCTAGAACATTATAAAACAAGTTAAAATCACCATATAGAGGTCTATAAACACAGATAATTAACGCAGTTCCACATGCATTTCTATTGAAAGGTCGTTAATACACATCATTGGCTTCACAGGAATCAGATCTTAAAACATTTACGAGCAATTGAAACTGTGGATACAAGTTAGAACTTAAGAAGCTTTAGATCTCTTAGGAACTTCAGCTTTGGGGACTCTAGATACTGGGTTGACACTCTATAGGCCATTAGAGCATTGAATTTCCTTGAAACTACAGCATTTGCTACTTTAGGAATTCTATACGATGTAGAATGTGTAAAACTACAAAAAACCGTATAGAAATTTGTTTAAAGGTTTGAAACTGACCAGTTTATGGAGTTTCCTAAGGTACAACCTACTGATGAGTTTAAACGCATTAGCAATTCAGGTTTCTTCGCGAAGAAGAAAACTACTTGCTAATAAGCACATTCGTAATGATAACAATTACCATTGATTTTTCTTTTCTTCAAACAAGTAAACGCGTGAGATAACTTTTTTTGTTCATTACAGTAACATCAATAAAATGCTACTCATGCACATCGAATACGGAGAAAGCGTGCAGCGATCCATTCAACAACGTTACGATACCGGCCAGCTACTGTGACATTACAACTTCCGTCTGTGTCAAACAGGTCCTTCCGGCTCTAGGTGAGAATTTGTTGCTACCTCTAAAACTTTAATCTCGTCGATTTTCAGGAATCATTAAGGAGAGCACCTTCAGGGGTTGCGTTTCAGACGAGTATTGCAAGCTATTCTCGAACAAATCGAAATTCTGCACCACTTGTATGGATAATTATTGTAATTCGGCAATTAAATTGCAGCCTTTGACAACGTTCATACTCTTACCCATTTCTTATATTTACAAACTGTTGAGTTAACCTTGCTACTGTTACCTTCCTTTGTTTTCTTTGTATATAATTATTGTTGTAAAGAAAAGCAGAAATCGTTTTTCTCTATCTTAGTTAGAGCTACCGTTTTCTATTTTTGTAATTAATAGTTTATAGTAATTAGTTGGCGAATTACTTATATAATTTGTTATTGAGATATACAAATTTACGGCCTACTTTGACAACGCAACTGTAACATGACGAAACTTCCACTTTAAAATCACTAAAATTTCTCCTAATATGTGAATTTTAATGTACCTACCAAATAACCTCATTTGACCTACCATGAAAGTAAACTTCACTATGGAAGTTCATCAAACTCAAAATGTCAATAGATTTTGGATAAAGACACGTTGTGCTTAAGATGGTAAAACGCCTTCTACAGTTGATTTCATTGATTTGCAGTTACTTTTGCTATATTTGCAAGTGAGCCAGAGTCGTTTAACTTTAATATTTAATTTTGGGTTTAGGCGTAACAATTCATTGGGACCTATTTCTCCACGTATTTTTTTACTGCTTACAAAAAGTCGTGGTTAGTACTAATTAATGCTACATTTTAGACTCTTTTTGTTAGTCCCGTTATTTTATTAATGCTTCTATTGCACGTTTCCCATTAACACAAATTTCTCGTCCAGTTTCTGGTATAGCTTGTATTCTATGTATGTTATACGTTGGACAGTCATCAAGAACATGTCTGACAATCAAAGGATATCACATTCGTTGATGCATTTCTATTGTGGACTCTTTCCTAATAAATGTAAATGTGTTAGGTTTGTGTGTCCGATTCTTATTCTTGATAATGCAACCTGTTCTCTTATACTCGTACTTCCGTAGTGCTTATTTTCCCATAGGATAATGGTTGGCTTAATTTCCTTTAGATGATATAAAATTCAAAGATTAATAGTTAGTACAAGAGGTGATGCATTTTTTGTCGAGATAAATACTGGTTTTGGTAACATTTGAAAAAACATATTGATTGATTTCAGGGTGACCGACAGATCGTTTTTTTTTTGTTGTTTTCTGTAAGCCCTTGTTCTTCAATCGCTTCAGAAAGTTGTCACCGTGCAGTCTGATGATTTCACTTTCTTAATTAGAAATATTGAGTTTCATTTGCGAGCTTGGCGCTGAGTATAAAACCATCTGGGATTGTTAGCAAGAAAAGGAATTAATAAATAAACAATTAGATGTGGGTAACGGGATTAATGATTACCATTGTATATGTGGGAAGTAATTATTTCACAGTAGAAGGGGTTATAGTTGGAAGGTTTTTAGAGAGGAGCTGCATTAGTAAAAGGGGTAGAGTGATATTCAACGCTCCAGAGTATCTTACTTAATGAACGCTTCGAATTGAAACGATTAAACGAGAGAGGAGTTTAATTAGCGTCTTGATCCGAGTTGCTAATCAAACGAAAACTTTTAGACAATGCTTCCATTATTTCTTTGGGGTCTTCAATAGTTTCACCTTGTATTTTTAGTATTCTTGAGGGTTTCTCATAGCTTTTCTATATTATACCTCTAACCTTTCTCGTGCGTTAAAAGGTTTATTGATTTTCTATAGATTTCCCATGAAAGCTTTTTACTTTATATGACTATACACGGCGTGATTCCGCTCGTCCTTTTTTAAACGCTACAAGCTTTTCAACTGTATGATTACGTTCAAATTCTTTAAGGGCCTTGTTGTTAAAAATTGCCTTTTTACTTCGGCATTCCACCAAGGTACATGAACTAGTCCCGCTTTTCCACTAGTTTGAGTATACAAGCGGTTGTTGCGTTTATAATGACGTTATCTATGAATTGTTTAACCATATCGGATACATTGGCTTTGAAATAGCGGATTGTTTGGAATTTCAAAGTATTGCTTCCATTTGGCGTTTCTAGAATTTCTTTAGTCGTGTTTCAATTCTCAATCTCTTTTATTTTGCAGGAATAGGTTAATTGGATAGCGATCACTGTCCTCCAGATGGTGAAGTAGGTACTTCCGAAGATAGTGTTGGTGCCAAAGTTAGTGTTAAGAAAGAAAGATCTATGATTGCATTAGTAAAAGACTGAATTAAGTAACTTTCGGTGTAGTACTCTGAGGAATTTGTAACTTCCGAAAAAGGCTTTAAAAAACTGTAATTCAATGAAAATTCCCCTCCTTTGTTCACATAAGAAACAATCAAAAATTCTTATAAAACTTGCGTTTAACAAAGTTCTGTGAAAACCAGTATATTTGCTCGCTTGTAATAACAACAAACTACTTGGATTCCAAATCTGCAATTCTTGCCGTTTTTAAAGAAAATCATGATAAGTCAACTTAAATAACGTAAATTAATAAAAAAATTAATGAGACGTTTTACTACTTGTATAGAATCTTAGGAGTATACTTTGCTTACTGGATTGTACGTATAACCTTATATCAATCGGCCAGTGTCTTTTTAGCGCAATTTTAAAAAAAATACGCTATTATATTCGTTATGGCTCGCTGGCCGGATGTTCGGCTGAGATCTCAGCAACTACAATAGCTAGAGACTTCAAATTTTCACTAAAAGCTTTCTGTTATGGTGTAGATGTGCAGGCTCTAGTCTATTTTGAGTTAGATTACTTGTGAGATCGATAATTTAAGAAAATAATCTCGATATGGTTTTCGGAGGTGCTATAATTTTACCGTTAGATAGCGCTACCAGTATAAAAACTTAATTATTTACTTTGTAATTTGTTTTACAGAATAAAGACGTACCCTCAATTGAAATTAAATAAAATTAATTATTTAACGCATCCAAAATTACTCGTGAGATCGATATTATTTACCAAAATATTACCAAAAATGCGCTTTAATCATGCATACGCTGATTTACAATTTGTTTTTTATTTCTTAAGTTAAAAAAAAAGTTAATATTCCGTAAATATGGAGCTTTGCGTATTACAAACGTTTTTGGGAGAATGGACAGGCAAGTTTTGATCCATTTATAATTCTTAATGAAATGCCAAACCTTATTATACTCAATACTCTCCTCATTCGCATATACTAATCCTATTAACAATCACTATGTGATGATAGAATCTCAATTACTTAAAAAAATCATTAAAAATAAACAAATAATGGAAAACAACATAATGCCGTGTGCCGGTGGATTAATCGGACCAGAGTTGCATAATTCTAATGAGCAAGTCACGCAGTCTGCCGTTGAGTTCTTCAACGTGCACAATCCTTTATCCCCACATCCTCTAATGGTTCCTGCAAAGTTAGACCATTACCACTACTTTTTCCTTCATTTACAATTACTGACCTGCCAACGGAACAATCTGTTTAACGCAAACCTGGTTTTCATTGGGACAGTTTTGAACAGGTACCTTAGTTTGGTTAAAGGGGTCATCACAGTTTGGGACTACGTCAGATGAGCAAGTGTAACAGTGCAAGGTTGAAACTGAAAGAACAAAGAGAATTAATTATGATTGCTTTGTACATTTATCAATGCATACCCAATTGAAGTGATGTGATCATCACCATGGCAATTTGCACTAATCGAATAGACTGGGAACCCATGTCACAACTATAATTGTGACCTGAATCTCGGACAGAATGAAATTTTGTCACACTGTCCAATATTATTACACGTTATCAGCATTTCTGCTGCGTAACCAAATTTCCGGCGATTAATTAATTGCGTGTACATTTCCATAGCAATATTTTATATTTATCTGTACTGTAACCACTTATTCATACTAATTATGGCCATTACAAACTTCCAATGTATTTCTTTTGTGTAAATAAAAAATAAAGTTTGATGCGACATGTTGGCCAAGGTGGCGGAACAAGTGTAAATCAATGTTTAGCTAAGGGCCCCAATTTACTCGAACTTATTTCTGACCTCCTCTTATATGTTATAGAGAAAATCCAGTTGCTGAAACAGCTGGTATAGAAAAAGAATTTTTGATGAAGAAAATCGAAACTTTTTACGGTTTCTCAGGCGGGAGGATTCCACATGTTTTATCGACACATTAAGCGTCGTTTTTGGTGTTAACTGTAGTAGTAACAACATTATACGTTGATAATGTATAATTGCATGTTTTGATAACATCGAAGAATACATTAAATTCACGAACGAGTCAGCGGATATACGAGTAATGGCAGGGGCGAAATTTTGCCTTCGGGTGTGGGAAAGTGACGTTGATGATTTGTTGAAACAACTATCATTGTCTTGGATAAAACGTAACGACAACTGGGGAACCTTCGTAGGAAATACGGTAAAAAAGATTCTTTTACTGAACCAAAGGAAAGTCGGTAGTAAAGTTTGGATAGCATTTTTGATGATTGATCAGGAGAAATTCCGCTTCCAATGACCGGCCTAACTCATTTCGTCGTCGGAATCCTCTTGTCGTTACGCTACCTCATCACGAATTATTTACTTCCACCTTTTACTTTCTGGATTTTTCCTTGCCGTTTCCATAGCTATTTGTAATCCGATTATACATACTTTTTCTTGATCTGCATCTATTATTTTTCCTTCTCTTTATCACTTTTAAAGTTTTTTCATCCACGGTTAATGACCACTCCGATTTGCTAATGATCATGAGTATCTTTCAGTTTCACTTCCTCTTGTACTTTAATAATAATAAATCGCTGTATCACTTTGATTTATTTATTTGCTTCATTTAACTAAACGTAGCCGACAGCTTTTCGATGAACTCCCTGTAGTAGAATAGTAGCAATTTTCTTTACTTAGTTTTTCAGGTATTGTATATTGGCGACATTCAAAGCGTAAGGGTAAGTATTTGCAACCAATATTATGCGCAAATTCGTTTACGCTCGGACGGCGACGCAATTGATACCTACACGTGTCCCCAAATGACATTGTCATTAACCCAATTCCTGGCACCCCAAAATGACGTAAATATCAAGTTAACGTCATATAGCGACCCTTCCGGGGGCGACCTGTCTTAAAAGCGTAAAATCGTATTCACTTCATCCCTAAAAATGGAAAGCGTATCGATTACACGCTTAATTAACAGGCCAATAATTACACCCGACATTGGTTCTACACATACCTATCACCGACCAAGCTCGATTTTGACAAACAAAAATTTCGGTCGTGATAACCTACAAACATTATATAGACCAACCCCCATTGTCAATATAAGAACGTTGGCGCCACTAGCACTGGCGTCGTGCGTTGCAGTATAAGTTTTCCAAATTCTGCGTCGTAACGTGTGAAAGAGCCTCTTGCGAATTTTTCAGGGATTAATTAAAAATGCGTCCTAATTAGTGCACGTGGACACTCAAAATGATGCCTACCTCACACGTGTTGCCTGTACTGTTACTTTTAACAGCGCTCCAAGATTGTAAGTAAACGGCTATTGCTTTCGCTAATTTTATGTAATTACGTAAATTTATAGCAACATCGGCGATAAAATGCTTTGTGTGTTCGGACAAGTCCCCTAACTGCGGGGATCCCTTCAATAAAACGGCGCTTAGCCCGGAGATATGCGATCCTTCGACCCCCGTTTGCCTCAAGGAGAAATTTGGCGCAGGGGGTAGGTATGATGAGCGTTCATTATCGGTAGTTGCGTGCCTGCAATTACTTTTAGTATTTAGACGTGGGTTGACTTTCGAGATGTGGGCCATTTTTTAATAGAAAATCGATTCCATACGTCTTGTAAACGGTTGGTGTAGGTATACTAATGCGATCTGTTTTCTTCCTAATCGAATTTTCGTGTATATTTTGCGTGCGTTACATAATTGAGGAAAATTGCAAAGCAGCGGCCTGTGCTATCTGTATTTCTTGCATTTCTTTATACCTATCTGAAACACTATGTGTTACTTGCAGGTGGTCACTCTGCATAAAAGTATACGATATTAAAATACAGTATTAACTTTAATTTTCTGATTAGCGGTTGAATAACCGATACCTTTCTGCCTCGCTTTCTGCACATACAGCCATACAATCGGTTTATATAGTGTATATGTATGATAGATGTCTTAACGACGAAAAACTCCTAAAAGCTTCTCGGCGACTCTTAAGGACTTACAAAAGCTCCTAAACGCTCTAAAGTGCCTAGTCGCACCGTGCACTGTAGCCACACTCACTTCACCTGCCACAGTGGTCGCTCTGGTTTCGGAAATCGAATAGTGTGAAATACAGAAATAAATTGCTTGATTAAAAATGAAAGTGAAGAGAGCAGAATTAAAACCAAAAACAATTTTAATCACTTCATTACAAAAACTGAAATGTTAATAAGTACCTCTAAAGGCTCAATACTAAAAGTTTATTTTAAGAAGCGTTAAATGACCATAAAATCTAAAGGTGGGCCATTGAAGAGGAAAATGGCAGGGTCACCAAAATCTTTTGAGGGATTGTTCTAGTCTCTTAGAGACTGTTTGCAACTCCTCATAATAGGTTTTAAACCCTCTCCGAAGCGTTTAATAAAACTAGTAGTGGGGGAGCTCTCGCCAGGAAAGATTGCCGGTCACAGCACACCTTGTGTCGATTTACAATCTATGTTTTTCTTAAGATGCGAGCGACTTCCGGAATAGGATCGCGCCAATGTTGAACGAAAAGTCTTTTTGTTCAACATTGACACGATACTATCCCGGAAGTCGCTCCCATCTTTAAAAAAACATAAATTGTACATCGGGATCAAGTGTTCTATGACCGGCAATCTTTCCTGGCGAGAGGTTTATATAACACTTTGTGCACACCTTCTAGACACCTTAACACACAATTTTAGATATGGCGCCATCAAGTCTCCCCGTGTGGGCTCGTGTAATGCGGTGTTGCCTACCCACTAGACGAAATTTCTGAAAACCCACTGCGAACGGTCTACAAATAATCACGCCCGGTTAAAAACACTTTGAAAGGGTAAGAAAGTGCACCCCATCCAGGATCCAGGAAAAGGAAAATGCACACCATGAATACATTGGCGTTACAGCAGCAGGTGGGTCAACAGATGAAGAAACTGGTGACAAACATGAAAAAAGAACCCCACAAACAGGAAAATCACAATATTTATATAACATCAAAACGGGAGCAGCTGGACGTATATACCAAGAAAGTCCAGCCGACACACAAAAAAAGCGAGTTAGGTTATTAAAGACTAGGATAACTACATGGAGCAAATCTACCAGATGTACAACCAGGCTGTCGAGCTCCTTGACTGCTGGGAAAGCGAACTAGGCGTGGAGGAGAAGGTCGATGAAAAAGGGGCCGAACAGCTTATACGGATTAACAAACGAGAGGTGCGTATTCACCAATTTGATACGATTTTAACATAGATAGAAGAAGAATTGGTGCCTCCAAAATATGAAGAAAGCCATAAGGATGATTGGTTGAGCCGAAAGAAAGTAGGATGATAGAGATCCAGGGATATGAAGGAAAATTCTCCTACGAGTATTTCACGGACAGGACATACGAGATCCAAGAACGCTATGAGAAGATTCGGGGCCAGTCCAGATCTATTCTGAAAATTTCCCGGCGATGCTCAGGGGTGCCGCTTAGATGGAGTAACGATTTTCTCGGCACGAACCAATTTTGTACATCACTGCAACCCCGTAGCGACCCCCGAGTAAGATTTCTCCAGCCAGATGTCATATAAAGGGCGATCAAAAAAGGATTGATAACGCCTTTGGAAATTCAAGTTCAATATGATTTCCCGTGTAAATAAAAATTCCAATGTGACTCGATAGCAACTCTTTTATGATCGCATAGTACCTATATTTATAATTTTGCAGGTAATAATGCAATAATATAATAAATACATTTTCTGCAGCTTATGCAATTTTCAAAAGTGACAACCAGCAAATAGTACATCATTTTTCTTAGAATTTTTCTGAAGACTAAATAAATTAAATTAAATTATAAAGTCCAATCCGTAAGTGACTGTTTAAATAGTCAAGAGGACATTAACTACCATATTTTTTTTAAGTGGATTGATAAAGACACTAAACCTTCCCCATACTTCTTTTAATTATTTCAGGTATTAGATTAAAGGCATTAGGTGACAGCGACTATAGTTTCGACCCGAAGGTCATTATCAAGCTGAAATATTATAATTTGAAACAATGACTAAGCTTAGGTGACCTACCTTAAGTTTAAAGGAACATATAAAGGTGGTTGAAAACTACAAGTAATTTGAAATAATTAAAAGAAGTATGGGGAAGGTTTAGTGTCTTTATCAATCCACTTAGTCAATATCACCCCGTTTTGAGTCGTTATAAGATGGATAGCTACCAATTATATTTTTTTTAGTTGAAAGTTAGGCTCATTTGTCAGTGGAATGTTATTAGATTGGCTGATTATTCAGCAAAGATTGAAATAATAGATAATGTGGGTACCTGCTACGTAATTAGGGCTCTGCCCTGTGTAGTTTGTATAATAATAAATAAATAATTAAACAATACGTAATTTTGATACGTAGAATATACCTAATTTTTATTCGTATTTTCGAAGAAGTAAGTAAACCATTATTTAACGTATGGGAAATGAACGGGGCATTATATACCTACGTTTATGAAATTATTGCTAAAAGAACGTTCATTTATACCGGGTGAAACCGAACATAGGGAATTAACATGGGAAAAAGGTTTGTAGATAGTTGCTCCCCATGTTAACTTAGAGGGTTTATAATGACACCAATCGAAAGAAGATTTTTTTCCTCGTCTAATGATATACGAATTTAGTTCATTTTCAGGTGTATTTCTCACTATTTTATTAAAACTTCGGCAATATATCCACTTACCAAAATCATGTTAAGGCATGACTAGTAAGACTAGATTCAAACGTCGAAATCAATATAAGTTTATGTCAACTGGCATTAATTTTTTTGTAAAATGCGGTTCACTGAGGAAAAAGGATTTATAATAAACAACATTTACAGCGGAAATATTTACTCCATCAGTACGCGATATTTGTTTTCCGTGCATTTTAATGAGCGTCCCATTCCGTCTGTGTGAAAACCTATTTCAGTTCTTTAGGAAATTCCCATGGCTTAACATGATTTTGCTAATAGGGTTTATTACCGTGTTAACATAGGGAGAAACGATCTGCAAAAAACGTTTTTCCCATGTTAATTGCCGATGTTCGGTTTTAAAATATTCACCCGGTATACATATTATCGATATTATCAACGTAGAACAAGAACTCTATGGTTAATATATGAATAAAAATCGTATTTTAAACGTAGGGTATAAAAGTGGTCTACAAAAAAAACGTATACCTTACTACCTATACCGAATTTATCCTTTCAATGCGCTTTAAAAACGTTTTTTAAATATAAGTGTGTTTGCTGGTTAGTGAGGAGAAATCCGACCTAAAGTGAGCCTAAATATGCAAGCAATGTTCCCACAAATAAAAGATTACTCCTTCTCTTCGACGGAGAGATTCGTCACTTTAGAAATTCTCTGTTGAATGCACGAACCACAATATAATCTACAGAACGAACTTAATTTAAGTTTAAAATGACTCAGAGTCGCTAATTTTGATTTATTTACAGGTAAACTTGGAGGACTCCGCCGGAGCTGCATCAGTAAAGCACACTGCGACGTCCAATCAAAATCATCGACGCTCTGCTCAATTTGCAATACAGACCTATGCAACTCGTCCCCTAACGTGGAATTAAACATTTGCGTATCTCTCTGTGTGTATTCTTCACTTGCGTTTTTCTTTTACACGTAAATTTTTGCAACGCTCTGTGTATGATACTAAGGTAGATAGACTAGATAAAAATAGTTACAGCTTTAAAATTGTTTCACTCCTCCTCTGCTGTTGATTTAAAAATAAACCCAGCATTTTAATTTACATTTAAACCGATTCCAGACGCGTTACTGTTTTTTCAAAAAATAAAAGATGAAGTTATTACTAGCAATATTAATTAGTACGTCTTTTATGACTGTTGGTAAGTATTTTTGGTTTTATTTGGGCTGCTTCTATTTTTGCCTGCGCTTAACTTTACGTAATGATTTCAGGAGTATCTAAACAATGTTTCACTTGCGTATCGAACGAAAAGAATGAAAATAACTGTTCAGATCCTTTTACTGGTAAATCCCTGCATAGGCATACGTGCGATGTACCGAGCGCAGTGTGCGTTATAGAAAAAACCGCCCCCGGTGGTAAGTTGACATTACTTAAGCATTTTTACTTTTGCTTTAATATGATCCTTAACTACTGTCCATATTGCTAATGCTTAAATAGAGATTAGTTTTACTCTCGTAGCAGAAACTTTGCTTTTGTGCTTATTACCTGGCCAAATCATCAAAATTTGGTTTTTGAAGCACTTCTTCATACTGTGGCCGCCATGATTTGCCATTTGATAAAGATTGAATACTACAAGGAATGACTCGGAGTGTGGTAAATATGTACTAGCACTTCAAATGTTATTGAAGTATTATTGCACTTTTTCTTTGTTACTTGCGGATACTTAGACGTTTATACCATGTGTCTTATTTTGACTGGATCTGCCATGTACTTCAGTTGTTTTTAATGATAGAAACTTACGGTTTTCTCGACTGCGTCATTTTTTTGTGAACCTTTTAGTACCACAACCTGAATCAATATTACTACATTTTACTGATTTGGATCAGCTGCCTTAGTTACCGCATGGATACAGTAAACAAAACAAAATGGCCTACTGTTTACAAATCGTAAAAAATTTCTATGGCTAAAATTCAAGGAAATATACTTATGTAGTGATAACATAAATGTAATCAGGAAAAACAGTGCAAAAAATTGACGGTGAGGTATACACTACAGGGTGTTGTATTTAACACCAGCTGCGGCAAACACTTTTTTACTACCCCACTGTATTATACGTAAAATATCTAAAATAGGCAGTTTTTACCTTTTTTATACCTGTCGTGTGTAGTAAAATATGATAACATCCCAAAAAGTCAAACTTTTCGATTTCACACTCTATATCAGAAACAAACGTAGCTATTTTAAAGTTTCACAAACAAACGGCACAGGGCCGCGAAAACCGCGTCTCTATGTTCAAAAAACTGAGCTGAAGATACATTGCAATCTCAACCAAAATAGGACACACGGTATACTTTCTTTGACAAGACTAACATTACAATTTCTGTTTCAGAAGCGACAAGGGAACATGTATTTCGAGGATGTGTGGCATCTGATTACTGTACAGTTTCGGGCAAACATGCAAGGTTTTGCCAAACGTGTGATGTAGATTTCTGCAATTCATCGGCAGTGCTAACGGCGAGTCTGCTGATGCTTTCTGTTTTATATCTAATGAAGTTTGTAATATAAATATCAATTTGCAAAGAAGTTATTACTATTGTAAACGTCACATTTAATACGTTTGCGTTTCAGCTGTGTTTAAATTAAACGTGGTCTAAAACCTAAGACTATGGCTTAAATTTCACGTGGCAAACCACCATTAGTTACTTTCAGTGGACCCAGTTTGAGTCCTAGTTCATACACCCTGTCATTGGGTCAAACCGGATCAAACTGCCCCCACATCTGTAGCAGAAGTAAACTGAATATATGCCCAGTTGAAGTACAGTAATCGGTATACTAGACTATAACCATAGTTACTTCTAGTGATTGCTTGTGAATGATCTATTGTATTGAATTCCAATTCTAATCCTTAGTGTGTTAGGCCATCGAAAAAAATAAGCAAATAATGGAAAACAGCATAATTCCGTGTGACGGTGACTTAATCAGTCCAGAGTTGCATAATTCTAGTGAGCAGGTTTCGCAGTCCGCCGTTGAGTTCTTCAGTAACGTGCACAATCCTTCAACTCCACATCCTCTAAGGGTCCCTGCAAAATCAAGATCATTACCATTACTTTTTCCCCCATTCACAGTTACTGACCTGCCCACGGAAGAAACTGTTTAACGCAGACCTGGTTTTCAATAGGACAGGATTGAGCAGGCACCTTAGTATGGTTAAAGGGCTCACCACAGCCTGGGACTAATTCAGATGAGCAGGTGTAACAGTGCAAGGTTGAAACTGAGAAAAAAGGAGAAATAATTTAGGATTTCTTTGGTTTGCTTACCCAATTGAAGTGATGCGATCATAACCACAGCAACTTGCACTAATCGAATAGGCTGGGAACCCATGTCACAACTATTTTTGTCTGAAACTTAGACAGCATGACACTTCCATTATATGGTACCTCGATGGTACGTTATCAGCATTTCTCCTGCGTATCCAAATATCTAATTCCGGCGACTAATTATAAGTGCGTATAGTTCCATAACAATATTTATCTGTATATTGTAACCAACTAATTATGGCCACTACAAACTGTTACTGTATATGTTTGTGTAAATCATTAGTGGTTAGATAAATAACGCTACTCAAATGATATTATATCGTAGAATTCTTGTGAAATTCCGTAAACATTACGAAATTCGAAGTGCCCCTCCGTATGTGTTCTCTTTTTTCGAAAATTCGCCTTTTAAGTACCTCCGTTTCCGACAAACTTGTCAAAGAGTATTTGCCCAAAACTCGTTTTCTTTTAAAAATCCACCTTCGTCCCCAGAAAATTCACCCTCGCAGGTTCGACCTCGTAAAATTCGCCCCGAAAGGTTCGTTCAAAGAGAATCGCCGCAGTAAAAATTCGTCCGCACTAGTAATTTATTACATTATCAACAGGCTTGCGCCCAATTACAGAGTGAGAGAGAAGAAGTGACCAACCCTACATTGTCCCTCTTTTTGTCTATCAACAATTATTAACGGAGTGACGACATCCTCAAGTAAATTCGTCTCCAGAAAATTCACCCCGGACTATTAACCCCGAGGGACTCGTTGCAGGAAGTTCGCTTTCGAAAATCCTCTCCGATATAAATCCGTCCCAGTGAATTTACCCTTGAAAACTCACCCTTTCGTCCCCGAAAAATCTGTGCCTTCGGAAAATTGAGCACCGGAATAGTTTCACTCCCGTAAGTTCCGTCACAGGAATTTCGTCAATAGATACAGAAGGGAAAGTTAAAATTAAGTAGATTCTATTTATCTCTTTTTTTAAAGTTATATTTTCCTTTGGAACAAGTGCATGCCAAGACAGTATTCTAGTGCAGGTGAATTTTCTTTGGGAGAATGTACTTAATTCTGTGCTCTCTTCAATTGCAAATATTCTAGAAGTAAATCTTCCGGGGGTGAGTTTTTCGGTTGCGCCCCATATGAATGTTGTATGGAAAGCTTATAAAGTATCGATAACCTACTAGTGTTTCTACAGTAATTACGGATGACATCCTTACCCCGTAATTATTTCGCAATAGTACTACCATTGAATTTATATCAATTCAATAGTGCTACATCCGTTGGCAGATGACGAATGTTATACATAAGGTAAACGAAGGTTTATTGCAAAACGCCTTACAATATAAACAATTACTAATAGCGTACACGAACTGGTAACCGAAAAAGCCTTATTGCACAAATCCTCATCGCAAGTAATGCAGTGCTCTTCGTACTCGTCAACCTTACTGCAGTAATACTGGTCCACGCATCCTCTCTGAATAATCTCAGGAACCCGTACTGAAAAGTGACCACATACTAAAATCGCTCCCCACAATACTTACCTTTTTAAACATTACGAACTGGTGGTGACTTGTGTATCATACACAGATCGTATCTACTATCACATTCCACTTTGTCAATATTATCCGATTCGAAATCTTCCCCGCAATCCTCCTCTAAAAAATCTACGCACTCGTAACACATAATCGCCAACCCATCGCGTACCAAAACGGCTATTATTACCGAAATTACGGAGTAGTGGAGCATTTTGCGTACCTATTTGTTAACACTACTAAATAAAGTGATTAAGTTATGTCATTGTTACGGTTAATTTCAATTAAAGCTTCCGTTTTTACGAACCTATTATTTTAGATGCTGCTTTCCGCTTCTCACATTCATTTTTCACTGTCTCTTCAGTTAAAAATCTTATAACGAGTACCTTTTCAGTTAAGAAAGAAAGGAGTAGGTACGGATATTGCAAAATCAATCAAAAACATGCAAAATATGCTGTTCAGAATATTCTCATAAACCACTTTCCTACTGTATAAGCATGGAAAAACAAATCATTTTCTGAAGGTATAAATCATGCCACTTTTCTTACAAGTAAAAGTTCATAAACTCACAAAAGGAGAAACAAGGGACCATTCTTAGAGCTCCGATTATTGAGTAGGTATATGGAAAAAAACGTGAGATTTAATCTATGTAAGTAAGATTGCACCGATGAAGAAAGCATCAAGTAAGGCCCTTCATGTTCAAAGACATTATGCATCTCCATTCAAGCACCTAAAGGGCCACTTGCGTTATACAGACGATGGCCTGCAAGCCGTAAAAAGCGACTGCGAAAGGATCCAAATTGCTTGGTTGGATGGCACATAGTTATGTAAACGAAGTCCGGAAGTTAGTCAATTAATCCTCGGCTAATAAGTGCACTTTTATTAGCACAAACGGTTATGCTGAAAGCATGTCGACGATGAAAACTTGCCACCTAATTACAGTCATATTGACGATACTAACACACCGAGGATTCGCCTTGCTATGTTACGAATGCACCGATTTCTGGGACGACGAGTGCGGAGAAGATTTCGAATCCGACGGCGTCGATAAGACCGAATGCAGCGGAAAGGACGTCTGCATGATACACAGAGCTCCAGAAGTTTGTAAGTAGACGCATTTCAAGTTTACATGACCGTGACTCTTTTTACAGTGCATGTTCCCGAAATAATCCAAAGAGGTTGTATTGACCCACTTTACTGCAGTAAAATGGACGAATTTTCCGAACACTGTATTACGTGCAACGAGGACCTATGCAATACATCGCCGCAAACTCAAGCTTCAGTTTACGCACTTGTAATTATGTTAGTGTCTCTCATTACCACCTATTAACACAGCAGGCCTAATTTTTACTATTAAAAAATTTTAAATAATTAAGCTAAATATAATTCGGAAAGTAAAGTCGGACATGCGCAGGTTGACCTATTTCTAGGTTGAGCTCTACTTACATAGTTTTATTCAAAATGTCTAAATATAAGTGTCATTTGCTAATCGTTTCTCTTTGTATAATTTCGTTAATAAAGGAAGGTGAGTGACGATTATTACATTTAGTTATAGTCTGCGTGTCGAAAGATTTTATAAAGCAAAGCATTTGGTTTTCGCAAATTTGATATGGCGACTCTGATATTTCTAGATATTTTTAAATAGTACCGTATAACGTGTGATGGCGACTACTACTGAATGAGAGTTGCCGAAACTGGATGAACGATTTACCCTTTGAAAATGAAGTATGCATCTATTATACTAAATTATAATTTTAATGGTGGAAAACCTTCTAATTGTTCTTTATATTTCGGATATTGCAAAAAATTCAGAATATTCCTCCACTCAGACCAGTCACAATGAATTTACCACTGGATGGAACGGTCGTCAAAAGAGAAATGACAGAAAAGATTGCCCTTGTCCTCCATTTTTCTTATTCTTCTTTTTTTGCGCTCTCTTTCCAGTAGGTACTCTTCTCCTTGTAAATATTTGATCTTCATTTGATAGGAAGAACTCTTACTGTTGATTTAATTTGGTTCATTATTGGGAATTAACGTTTGGGTGGAGGAAAATGAGCTTTTCCTGTTAATTACTCTGAAAAGAAAATCGATGTGTATTTACAGAATAATTGTAATAATCAAGTCTGTACTTACAGGAGTTACATTCAAATGCTACAAATGCACAAGTCAAGGGGCCCAGGGTTGCAAGGATCCGTTCAACGTCACCCAATTGGTCTTGACAGAAGACTGCAATTACGACTACCAGGTGTGCGTAAAACAAGAGATTATGTCTCCGTACCGTAAGTATTTCAATATTCAGGCGCTTTTTATGCATACGACATTTCCAGATTTGGTGGAAGATGAAATCAAAAGGGGATGCATGCACGAAGATTACTGCTATGTTGAGGGAATGCGATCAACGCACTGCTCCACGTGCAAATCATACCTGTGTAACTCCGCGATCAGTCTAAGTTTTCTGTCGCTTCCCATCTTGTTTTTATACCAATTTGCGTTGCACTTAATAAAATGTTGATAACTATGTTGTTCGCGAAATGGTAAATCCCTTAGGAAGAAACTGAAAATCGATCAGTATTATATTTACGTTAGTTTGTTCAATACAGCAAGGCATGTGTAGTTGTTAAGAAAACCAAGCGCTACTACTTTAACAATAAAACTCGGTTTATATTGATATCGTGCTTCATTGTTAATAACGTAAAAAGTTTATATAATAGTTTCAATCCAGTTCTATTTCGAAAAGCAATCACGAGCTACCTAAGTTCAATGGTTAATTTCAAATTTCAAAAAGCAATTACCTCGCTCTTCAAAAATGACTTCATGTTTGTATAGTTTTGTTTGTCTTATTTCGTATTAACCCTTCAGTACATGACTATAGTGTGGAAAAGACCGCACCTTGACCAATGGAATCTTGGGTTTAGATGTGCCTTCTGGCCGTTGTCGATTCCACCATAGATCGCACTGCTCTTAGCTTATGCTTTTCACCTTAGGATTTCTACAATACTACTGTTTATATTCAAGCTGTACGTTTCACAATGCTTAGGAGTGGGATTTTTTTCTAGAAGGTAGTTTTCTTTATTATTTTTGTGTTCAATTTTTATGTGCCATAATAGTTTTTATGTGTATAAAGTTGCATTTTATTGCAATATTAGTGATAATAATACAATAACTACCTACTAGAAAAAAAGTTAATACGGTCGATTCTACCAAAGCGCGTGTGCTGAAGGGTAAAAGAGATAAACTGAAACAGTTCAAGGTTCACACGTCTTTGAAACAAAATACGCCGTTCGGCGATAAGGGGATCAATTGCGCTGATGATCGCCATGAAAAAATTCGTCGCGTGTTTTTTGTTTCTGCTTTTAATTGGCACAGGTGAGCCCTTTGCATGCGTTCTTCCCCCGTTAAAGCTTGTCATTCCAGGTTTAACGTTGAAGTGTTACAAGTATCACTGTAGTGGTGACTGTTGGAGTTTGGACGAACCGTACCATGAGAAACTTCGCGTTAAAGAGGAGTGTACGGGTGCAACCGACTTATGTGCAGTATCTCTACCCGTAAAAATTCATGGTAATTACTTTCTATAAATAAGGCACTACAATTTCCCATCTTTTCTTTATCCCTAGGTCCGATATATAGAGGATGTACCAGCGACAAAAACTTCTGTGATACAAATCATCCCCCCATGTACAAATGTTACACATGCAACGAGGATCTCTGCAATTCGGTGTAGTTATTTAGGATTAGAAATTCATTTTTAAATTGTATCCATGCAAATAGATCACCTAATCACATTTTCATAAAATAAACAGAGAAGTCAATTCCAATGCGGAATTATTCCCCACATAGTTAACTTACAACAACGTCCGTTACTTAATTACGAACCTTAAATGAAGCACCTTCCTTATGTTTAATGATCACTTTGAATCTTTTTGATTTCTTATGAGTTTCCTGATCTTTTGAATTAGAATTAGTCTTACTATTTCTAGTAACTTTTTGTGTTTAGATTCTGTGTAATTCCTGAAAGGCTTTTAGAATCACAACAAAGTAACAGAATCGAATTAGAATAATTTTTCAGATGCGTTTCCTGGAAGTTCATCAGCTGTGATTTCGAAAGAATGTATCTTGTTGTATAATGGGTATGACACGAATTACAGGTTAAGGGCTTCGCAGGTTAGAATCCGGGTTTGAGCACTGTTATAACGGGTTAATAGATCTGACACAGTACCCTCGGCTTCTGCCTACAAAGATTTTTTATTACCAGCAGATTATGTGAGGAATCCCATATGATCGCTGAATATTCTATGGAGAATCTCTCATAAAACAATTACGCCGCAATTTCTAAAAAAACTTTCAGTAATTATCTCAACATTTCATTCATTCCTTCATGTATTCATAGTAAAATACGAGTTTAGTAATTCATCGTCTTTGTGACTTGGAAAACAGTAACGAATAAAGTTATAAACACATCCTGATAGGAAGGAATCTATCGATTCTGACTTTAATTTATTTGAATGTATGGCACTTTCTAAGAAGTTATAATAATTGTATCCCCTTTCTATTGGTGTGGTATGACAGTGACAATCTGCTTAGAAAATCAAAAAAACAGTTTACGCACCAATGCTAATTTCTGTATATCAAAATATTTCCTCCCCAAATTAATTTAGAGCAAAGATGCAACTTGTAGCTTGAAAACTTCTGCGTCTGCTCATGTCCTCATTTATTAACGAGCGACAAAAAGCAAGTTCATGATTTTGGACGTCCGTGTACATGACAACTCGCGAACGGTTTCGAATTTTCCAATTCTGTTTTCAGTAACAGGTAGACAATGGCTAGAGGACTACCTCAAAGATCAATACCTGTCAACCGAAAGTTGTCAATATAATTGGTTCAGTTTATTATTATTTTTAAATTTGAGAAACTGGAAAAATTAAATAAATTAGAATTTAGCATTTGTTTTGTAATTTTCGAGTACCTACGCTGCATGGACAAATTTTTGTTTGAATAAATTCACGGAATTTTACTGGAACGCCATAATTTATAATTTCCTTAATTTCTCCAATTTCACAACAAAAAATTACAAAAATGGGCACATGAATAGACACAGAATTTTACAATCTACAAAAATGAAGTATTTATAACTTTGTATAATAAATTGTATAATAAAAAGAATTATTACAATGCTTTATTCCATTTATACGCTGTGATCTGATCATTCTGCAATTATTCTTAAATGGGTTAAGTGTTCGAAAAATTTAGAGCTCGAGAGTAACTAGTACCTCACATGTACTACATTAACTACTTCCAAATTTTGGATATCAAAGCCACATTTTTGTGGAGAACTGTTGTTTCACCTCCACCATTATGAAAAACATTTTGAAGAGGCAACTGCCCCACTTCATTGCCCAAATCCCTGGACTATTGTCTTGGTCGTTGGATGAAGAGAACTACTCATAATGTGGAATGGAAAATTACTCATTGTGACATTAGGTACCTACACTTTGACTGACCGAGTGACCGCTAAATTTTAATTAACCTTATTAGGTACTGAAATAAACATTTTAAAACGTCCGCTATGACTAATGTACCTAATAGTCTATTGAAGTTCGACCAAATGTACCAAAACTACTGCATCCTTCATTTACATTCAAACAATGCCAGCTCAATTGAATACAGTACATCAGGTACTGGTTGATAAAATCGGTTAAATTTACGTTTAAAAAACAAGAATGTGATGTGGGGATTCATCACATCACCGGTCGACCTTCGTCGATCCTGTAATAAAAAAACAAACACTAGTAAGGTAGCAGTTGCACGTAGTGGTTATGGCTGCCGCTCTTCATTTCATTACTGTTACGTGCTTAACACTGACATTGGTCCACGTAGGTAAGTGCAATTTCATTTTATTGAAATCCAACGCGACCATTTTGATATTTTAGGCAGTTCCTTGCGTTGCTTCTCCTGCAGTTCGGCTCGTGAAGATTATTGCGATGACACATTCTCGTTTCACGCCCAAACGACGGTACCTGTAACTATATGCGAAAATTCACCGGCGCTGTCAATACCAGGAGCCGGCCCAAACACCCATTGCGGTAAAACGAAGAAGAAAAATGGCGGTAAGTTGAAGGGCCTTTCTGGTGCGTTACGTTTAGTGCCCAAATTTTAGATACGCCCAACGATTACGTTTTTCGCGGATGCGTACCGGAAAATTATTGCAGATTAGTCAAATCGCAAGTGGAGGATTGCGAAATTTGCGAAACCGACAAATGTAATGGATCGTCAACCTTGTTGCCCTCCGTGTACGTTGCAATTGTAGTTTATTTGTTATTTGTTTTAAATTGTTGTAATTAAGTAGGTTAATTGCGCATAAGTCTGATTAATTGTAAAAAACAATAAAAGTCTTAACCACTGTATGGAGGTGCTATTTGGGTTGCAGCTATGATCTGCATCGGTGCCTCGAAACGGGAATTTGGAACAATGTCTTTGGAATATTTAGCTGCAGTTTGAAATCATTGGTTTTTTGACTCAATTGGCACGGGACATTTTAGGAAACTAAAACTAAAAGATGAATGTGATATTTATTTATTTATTATCCCTCTCTTGTTCTGGGCCCTCAACAGGCTTGCGCCCAATTAGGTACAGTGTGACCCGCATAATGCTTTTTAGAGGTGCCCTTGCAGAAGGTCCGTCTCGTATCCGTTTCTGTTATGTGTTTCTCCTAGTATCATCTTCATTCATTTTTCTCTTCTTCCCCTCTCTGCCAGTATTTCATTCCTGTGTTCCCTTGTTTGTGCTACCTCTTTACATTCCCATAACGTGGTCAATACCTTGCCCTTTTCCTCCACAATGTCTGCATTTTCTTTCTTCTTCATTTTGTCTTCACTTCTCCTTCCAACCTTGGCACTGATTGATGTTTTTTCTTCCCCCCGTTTCGGCGCTCACTCTCTTATCAACTCCTTTGTACCTCCTGTTTCACCGTGAGCTCTCGAATTGCGGTCTCTCTGTTGTTGTACTTGTCCATGTCCATGTTCGTAAGTTCATCTTCCATCCTTACCCGCTACTTCTCTCCTTCTTTCGACCTCTACCCACCCGTATCTTTTCTATTTGTTCCTTCCTAATTTCCTTTTGTATTGGCAAACAGCCTTTCACCAATCCACTTTCTCTCCTTTCCTCGAATCTGACCCCCTGCCTTTCGACGCTATTCTTATTTTCTCCATTTTTGTTTCCTCTTCGGCTGTAATTTGATATCCTTCCGTTTAGTTCCACCACCCATTTGTAATAGGTACTGTTCTTGTATTGTATTGTTTCTCATCTTCCAAAAGTCCTTCTGTGTTTTTATTTCTATTATTTCTGCTTAATATTCTTTCTGTTTCTTCATCTTTTCTTCCTTGCAGGTTTTGCTTTTTTTGCTTTTTCAACTCCTTTTGTTTCTTTCTCCATTATTATGTATCTGTTTCTCTCTTCTTTGTAGTCTTTGTGCCACCACGCCTTTCTATTGTCTCTACCTCCCCTTCAATTACCTATTGCCACGTTATTGCTTTTTTAAGAGTCTCCTTGCACTTCTTCTCTGTACTCTCTCGCATTTCTTCTTTTTGTTCCGCTAGTCTCCTTCTATAAGTTCCCACAGTGTCTGCTGTCCATAATTGTATTTCTCTCCTTCCATTTCTTGATCTTTTTGTCTTTTCTTTGGGACTAATTTTGAGCGGTTAAAGATCCGATTATGTCCTTGTTCCTACCTTAAATGCTTCTATTTCTTCCAGTATTTTTCATTTACCATTGTTTACCCCCTCTTTTCTGATAATTCCGTCATTCTTGAATTCCTGAGTTTCTATCTTGTGTTCCTCTTCTCATCTCTATTCATTTTTTTTATTCCCTGATCTATGATTACCCCTGTTAACATGCCTCTCTTTGCTCTTCTGTTTTTGTGATATCTTTTCGCAAATTGGTTCATTTATACGGTATTGTGTTCTTCATTTTCACTCAGTTCTTTTCTTATATCCACGATTCTACAATCTCCACATCATAACCTTTTATAAACGTCTTTACTTGCTACCTCCTCCTCCTCCCTCTGTCTTCTCTTTTACTATTAATTTCTTCTTTAAAGCTCCCGCGTTCTTCCTCTAACTACATAGTTCTTTTTTCTTATTACGCCATCTGTGTTTATCACCTTCTACCATGAATTTCCTATATCCCCATCTTACTTTATTGCCCTTCCCTCTTTCTCTGTCCGTGATCCCTCTAATTTCTCTCTGTAGCTTTCTTTCGTCATCGTCTTGATCGTCTATGTATATCCAGCTTCTTTTTAACTTTCCCTTGTCCCTCATAATCATTCGTCTTCTTTTCCCATGTCAGTTTCGCGACTATTACCTTATTTTCCCCTACTTCAATTTTCTCGCCGCATGAATTACGTTCGCCTCTACTTGTAGGTTTTCGGTCCGTGATTTCTCTCTCTTTTCCTTTTTCGATCTATACTCGTTTTAACTGCTCTCCATTTTTCCTCTAGTTTTGCTATCATTTCCATCAGTTCTTTGTTTTCCACGTTCCATTGCTATTCCCTTCTTTTCAATTTCTCCCTTCAGCCTCCGATTTTCACCAGCATCTTCCCCTTCATTTTATCTATTTTCTCGTTGGTCTCTTTAACCACCCCTTTATTTCCCCTTTAACTACTTCCATCAACTTTCCATTACTTTTTCCATGGGCCTGTAATCCTTCGCCATGTAATATTTGGCATGATCCAGTTTTCGAGACTAGGCCAGGGAGGCTCTAAAGAGGTGCAACAGATGCAAGAGTAACGGTTCCAGGCCCTTCTGCAAAAGAGCAGGCAATATCCCGTCCGAACGTAGTCCCCAGAGGCGTCCCCTCTCAAAAGGATATTACGAAGTTTTTGAACTTCAAGAAGACTCCATGTTACCACAGAAGGTCCTCCATGATCCTCGTTTAGACCCCGGGGGTAGCTTAGTGTGTGTTTCCATAGTCTGTGCCTAAGATCCATTTTTTTGCAACGGGAAATCTTGGTAAGTTGTTCCTGGAAAAGTTTTTTTTAAATAATGTGCAGTTTTTCTAAAAGCAAAGCTTGCGCTAAATTGAGCTCGAAAAACTGCAATTATGGTGACATATTATATTCTCTTCTATACCTACTAATAATCAGGATTCACAAAGTTAAAATCGGATAAGTATGCACGGAAATAAACCATATCAATTAGATTTACATTATCTCTTGATCTTAAAGTAAAAATTTTCGCTCAACAATTATGCGGATTCTGCCAGAAAGTATGTATGGTGAGCAGGCTATTCACTAGGCGTTTGCATGCTGTACATTCTGTCACTGTACTTGTACATGCTGTCATTCGTAGTGTAAATAATTTACGCCGTTTATAAAGTAAAACTTAAATTTTAGTCTGGTGGCGACAGTTTCTTGGGACTGCGAGGCCTTAGCAATTAAGAGCATTAGGTATAATGAACGCTTGAAGCATAAACCAAAATGACCGTAATTCATGGCAAACAAAGACGCGGGTTTTCAGGGCTCGTCATATTCAATCCATTATTGCAAACCGTGTACGAAATTACCTCTAAACCCTAATTTCACACTCCTATTTCCTTGGGCGATAACCTGGAAGGCGCCGTAGGTGTTTTCTCTAATTGCATACAGATTAATCTTTCTGTAGAGCGAAACAGGAAAACAATATTGGATTAAATGGTTTGTGATTGGCACTTTTTATTCTCATTGAAATACTCAAAAGTTCCAAATTATGCCACTGCAACTTTGAAATTAAATTCCAAGGGAGCGATAACCTCTCGACCGTTAACCCTAAAACGACGGGATTATGTAAGGGATATAAGAACATGCTCCAAATGAAATCTGGGTTATCGATCGAATGCTATCTGTCGCCTTGCCAGAGTTTTTTTTTATTATTGACAATAAATACACAATTTTACAAATTAACAACTGAGATTGTTTTGTGCTCATTTATTATGTGACATTTGTTGATTAATGTGGGTAAATGATCGAGATTTGATACTAAAAAACTTAATTCTTAATTGGTAATCTTTGATACTATTCACAAAATTACCGGTTCGAGGTAACTAAAATGATTTATATGTTTTGGACAGAGCTGGGCAGAATACTTTCAAAAAGTATTTGAATACTAAATAGTAAATACTTTACACAAATCAAAGGTATTTGAATACTAAATACTTTTACGTCCAGCACAAGCAAATACTAGATACAGATGCATTGAAAAGTATTCAAATACTTTAAAAAATAAGTATTCAAATACTTTAGAATGTATTCGAATACTTTCAGAATCCATAATTTCAAACAGTTCCAAGATTGGGCTACTAGATCAAAAGTTACAGCCGTTTGAATTTTCTTTCGAAATTGGTCTCTAGCCCATAACTTTTGATTGAGAAGTCTAATCGAAAAAGTACGAATTGTTTTGGATTCTACGCACCAAAATTAATAAGAAAAAGTGTTTTCCCGATAAATTTTTGTGTAGTCGATTTTTGGTAAAAAAGGAAGGTTAAACACTGCCTTTTTTTGAGGCTCGAAAAAAAATTGTCTCAGATCGACCCGGAAAAAAAATTTTCTTATAGAATGTGGCCTGTAGAATCCATAATTTCAAACAGTTCCAAGATTGGGCTACTAGATCAAAAAGTACAGCCCCTTTAATTTTCTTTCGAAATTGGTTTCTAGTCCATAACTTTTCATAACTATTCAAATACCTTGCGAAGTATTCGAATACTTTACGAAGTATCCAAATACTTTGCGAAGTATTCGAATACTAAATATTTGTGAAAGTATTTGAGTTACAAATACAAATACTGCTTCCATAAAAGTATTTATTACAACGTATTTGAATACTTTAAAGGATTTGAATACTAAAAAGTATTTACAAAATCGAATAGGTACTGCCCACTGCCCAGCTCTGGTTGTGGATATTATTCAACTTGTGTAGATATGTACAGATCAAAATGGAAATGGGCATTTCATCAAGAGGCATCTCAGACGAAAAGTGTCGTGTCTGGATTTTAAAGGGTCGCTTATTAGATTTCTGGAAAGTTGTACATTCGATGAACTCGTTTCAGCGAAAATATTTTAATTTTTATCCGACGTGCTGTTTTACTGGAGGTCGAAAACTCGTTACTTTAAATAGAATGTCGTCTTTTGTTATTTTCTTCGTGTACCTACAAAATGTTTGAGTCTATTTTATAAGAGACTACAAGTCTAAAATCAAACGATTTTTGAGTTACTTAGAGCCTTCACAAAGTAAATCGCCTTTTATATGGCAAACAAGAGCATATTATCTTAATTATTAATGGAAACCCCTAGCTTTTTCTCGTGGACTTTATGCGGAAATGGTAATTCGTACCACTCTATATGTAAAATTAAGTTTTAGTAGAAAGCGAAATGAAAATTTGTGCAGCTAATACAAATTGAATTTACGTATTAATTGGCTTTTATTCAACAGAACCATCAAGAATCAAAAGCTATTCTCAGTTACAAATTATCCAGGACCTCAAATAATTGGAGGATCATTAGGTCTAGTTTTTCAACTTTCTTCTCAGAATAAATTCCATGGATACCATTGTTGATCCAATCGTTTTGCTAAGTAAAATTATCAACAACCTTCGTTGTGGCTCAAACGAAGACTTTCTGGGTAAAAATAGAAACCCGGCATACAAATATTGCACAAACGCACACCACACGAAATTCAAAATAAATCAATGTAAGGTAAACAAAGTAGCAATTTGCCAAAGAAGTCAAAACAATTAGTTATTTTAGTATTCGGTAGGAGTGCCAAGGTAAGAAATTGCACAAATTACCTACTACTCCTCGTCTCCAATCTCGCAAATTTGTCAATTTTAATTGGATCACTTCTATTTCTGCGCTTTTCAAGTCGATTACAAAATTGGGGTTACGAAACGCGCGCGCCAGCATCTTTAATCTATATTTGGGCGAACTTGTCGCGAGAGGGCTTATCAGAAGCGTCCTAATTTGAAACAAATTTAAATAGAAATGAGGGCAATTTTTAATTGAAAGAGATCTATCAGTGTCGCTATAGTCATAGGTCAATTTTTATGCGGTGACGTAACTCCGAGAGAGTAAATTCGCGTGCGCTTTCCACAGCCTTGCCATGTAATTAGTTTCTTTTCTACTGCGTTTGAAAATAAATCCATAACTGAGCAAGCCCTCTAGCGGCGAAGGTTCCATTTTCCAGTCTATGCTTTTCGGGGGAAACCCAAACGTCGAAGCGCGCGGGATTATTTTTGAAATTTCGCCGTCATTAAAAAAATGGTTGTTTATTCGTGAATGTTTAATTTATTTGGCGCGAACTACTCGGGCGATTAAATAAATAAACGGTATCTATACTGTGATGGCCTCTTGCATTTCCCGTTATATGTGCAAAGCTCTCATCCTGTTGGCGTGCATTCAAATAGGTAAGGCGGCTTCTTTGTTGTATTTTCATGTAAAAATAGGAGCATTTTCCAGGTTAACGAAAATTAGTTGATTTTACCCTTTTGTTTATGTTCGTAACAGTAGGAAGATTGATCCAAAATAAGAGCCTGCGCCTTCATGATTGTGTTTACCAAAAACATGTTATATCATAACATTGCATATTTATTTCTCTACTTGTTTTTCTCGTTTTATTTTACGTGTGTGTGGCTATTATGTAATAATGAAGCAAGGTTTCTAAAGGGAAATAATGATGCGGATCCAACTACAGCATAACGGAGAGTTCCCTTTGTCGATTTTAAATCGCCATTGGACAAACGTAAGGTCTCATTATACTTACTGAAATTATACAGGTAGCGAACTGAAAGGATAAATAACAATAATATTTATTTTGTCATAAAATTTGACCTCCCACCCTAATATACATTGCAAATTTATGTTAAATATAATTTTATGTTGATAAGATATGACGAAATTTTTCACTCTAATCACTGCGACATTTTGCAAGTTGCTAATTATTGACATATCAAAGGACTGACCTACATTTTCAACTAACTTGCCATAAATTCCACATTGCAAATCGCTGTGGCTCAAAGAACCAAAGTTGTATTAAAAATCCTGCTTTAAGTTGATGCTTTCTAAATTAAAAGAAAATTTGTCCCAAAGGAAATTCGCATTGGGAATTTTCTATCCTACATGGTACTTAATATCTCCTCATAAGGACTAGAATCTAACTCATCTAGAACATTCCTCTTGTTAAACAGGTGCATGCACGGTAATAGAAGCACTAACAAAATCTTACGTTCCAGTCATTAGTGCGTCGTTAATGCCTGATTGTCGACGAAAAAGTATCCCAGTGCGTGCACCCCTTTTGGTACAGGGACCCTGTTTTCCGGGCCAACTTCATAAGTTTTTACCTTCCACAGTTTCGTTTCGACTGTAAACAGTACAATACAGTTATTTTCCATTCCTCAATAACCTCCAAGGATCTTACATGCAAAATTTCTACACCCAGCAGTGTATATATTTAACAAAAATAGATATTGACAAACTTTAAAATCTTCATCATTATAAAATCTTGGTATAAGAAGACTTTAAGTTTCGTTACTAACAGGTGTGGGCTGAGCGCAAATTCTGAACCAAGTCCCTCTTCTGTGATTCCAGATCTTATTTGCAGTAACCAATCACAGAAAGGAATATCTTCAAGATTGACAAGCATGTTTTGGATCAGTCGCAACTCATAAAAATTGTTCCAAACGCATCTCCACTCTTGACGCAAGCTCGACGACGTCTACTCGTCTTCCATGTACCCCAACTGGCGCTTTGTGACGAACTCCATCGACGAAACGAGCACTTTCCCATCTGTTTCAAAAAGGAGGCCGAAAGTGTGAAAACCGTTTCCCATTATTCCTGCGGATAAAAATTCTGTACTATCTGGACATCACATTTGGGACAGTCTGCGCACAGTAGCTTGCCTTGTTACCTACTTAGTCAATATTCCTCTTTTCTCCCACAATAGTAATGTGTTTTCTCTTTCCTCTAACAGCATTGCTGTTGTTCAACTCCGTTCTTGCCCGATACTCCATTCTCAAAGTATTCACATTGGATTATCATCACTCGCTTTGCTCGTTGTCCTCTATCTTCTACCAAAATTTCATGAAAGTTTAAAAATTTTTTGCGGCGGTTGCAATTTTGGGTATGATGAGTGCAAATGAAAAATGAGCGTTATAAGGTAGGTTTCGAAATGAGCCACACTTAGCAGATATTTTAGTTTTGCTTCAATAGTATGTAATACCAAGCTACTAAAACAAAACTTATTTGAAGTCAAACAATAAAAAAGGAATATTTATGGAAACCCGGTTTTCGTGACCTTTTAGTAGTATTAACCTTTCAGCTGGCGTGATATCGACCTCGTAAAAATACCGTAATAAACGTGAATACTAAAATTCAGTTTACCAAATATTTTTTCCACAGTGTGGGGATTAAAAACTTCTAAAGAATCTGGGAGGTAGGTATGTAATTTATGATGCAACAAATATTCACTTCTTCCTTGCAAGGGGTGAATATATATTTTTATTTCTTTGATTAATTATGCCCAAGAGTGTACCAGCGATCCTGTATACATTAATGAATCATCCCCTATCCGATTTCAAATTACGTATTTTTCATTGCAAATCCTTCCGTACTATGTAATTCTCCCCTACAACGTCAAGAACACAAAATCCTCCCTTTGGTATAAGAGCTCACTTACACAACACGACGCAAATTACCGAGCATTGATAAACTAGTACAAAACCTAATGATGTACATATAGATTGAGCAAATTTGTGAAAACTATTCCATGGAGAGCAGACAAAATTCTTCTACGTCTATTTCAACGATCGTAGCTTTTCCGTCTATTTTTTTTCTTTCCATCTTTCTTTCCTCATCATGTTTGTAGTACTCTTCCTTTTTTTTGATCACTGGAAACATTTTATATAAAATGATTACTACTAATACCCGTGTAAATACCTTCCTGGCGTTCCTCTCCTAATTTGTTTTTCTTTAAAAAAAACCTCAAAGTCGGCCATGCTTCCTACATTGTCAAAATGTTTCTTTTATCTACTTCCCTCATATTCTAGTTCAGAAGGATGCGTAAGTGTTTGTTTACCTTCTACTTTCTTATAACCCGGCTCTTCCGTGGTTCTTTTGTGGGACCCTCTAGAAGACAGGAAGCATTTTCTAATATCTTCCTGTTTTCTGTCAATAAGGCAACTATTTTTTCACACTGCCAAAAGTCTTCTTCGTCTTAATTTCGTCACCCCCTTCCTGTGTCCTAGTTCAGGTGGATGAATTTTCTTTCTTTCGTTTCTTCCTATTTCTATACTCGTCTCCGTGTCACTTTTTTGATTGAATATTGGACTTTGGTTTACATCGAGCATTTTATGCTTTAAGGTTTGTCGCACTATCACGATCCTTCCTCTTGCTTAACATCTTCAATTCCTTTGTTTACTTCAGTTTAGATGCCGAATACATTCGCTGGGCATTTCCTCGATTTACTCAAGTTTTTTTTTCCTTTCTCTTCGTGCTCGTGTTTCTCCTTTGGCAGGTAACGTTATGAATACGGGAGGTGTTTCTTTTTATCTTCGTGATGAGACCTGAATTTCTTAACTGTCTACCTCTAATTGATCATGAAGGCCAGTGCTCCTGCCAGTGCTTCTTCCCAATTATCAAAATTCTTCCGTAGTTTCCTTCATTTTTTCTCTCGTTTCGATCGTTCCAGTTCAAGTGTCGAATGCACCGATAGGTACCTTTTATTCATTATCTTAATTTTTACATTTTTTCCTTTTTTCACACACCCTACACAGAAAGTATTATTTAATATCGCGATTCAACGATTTTTAGCATTATGTCTTCTCTGATCGTTTCTAACGAAGATATCGGTTATTTAATTGGTGAAATTGAGATTAGAATCGTTTTCCTTTTTTTATCCCTTTTCGATTTTTGTTGCTGCTAGGGAGGCAAGAGGCACAATTTTTTCGTTAATTAAAAGCAGCTGTTAACGACGCGTGTTTAACACCATTTAATTGACAGGTGAACTACTTTGCCATCCTTTAGAACTGTGGAGTGTTTGAATTTTCCGCTGTACAAGTAATTATTTATTTTTGGGAGAAAACTAAAGATTTCGAAATTGAAAAAAAGACCCAGAAACGGACAAAGAATCAGACAAATCAGCGGAAAGGTTCTGAAGAAACCGAACAAATAACCGACAATGGAGAATGTGATGATGAATTAAAGGAATGGTGGTGAAAACAAGATTAATTTCTAAAGGGTTGAGATCTTTCAAAGCCTCATTGGCCCAATTCCTTGTACAGCTCGAATGTCGACGCCGTTTATAGAATACGGGGTTTCTCCCATCGATCCTCAATAAAATACACAAAGCATCGTTATAAAACTTGGACGTAAAATGACAAGCGAAACAAATTGACTAATTAAAATAGCTCAATTAATCCTTTTGGCTCTGGAACGATGTTAAACTTATAATTAATTAACAGTCACATAGCGCCATAGTGAATTTATTCAAATGGTGTAAATGAACGGAAGGCTACATTAGTAAATTGAATATTTTTGCCTCACAAAACCAACCTGAAAGGTGACTAGTTCATGTATAGGTACCAATTTCGGTTGTGTCATCGACTTTAAAACGGACATTTAACATTCATATGACAATACGAAAAATTAAATATGCAAACAGTTTCACCACGTAATGGAAAAATTGTTCATTTTAAGTTATTTCAATAAAAAAAGCCAATTAAGTTGTTTTTTTGGGTACATAGTTTGCTTTCGGCACCTACGAAAGAAAACCTTCTGGAATATGGAACACTTCGGGAGTAAAGATGTACGTATTATCGAGGTTATGATTTTCATTGCTATGCAGATTCCAGGATAATGATATCGTGCATACAATAATTATACATTCAATTGAGTTAGGTAAATTGAATTACGATATTTTTTTAACACGCACGTGAAAAGCGTTCCAAACCTGAAAAGCATGTGGGTATTTTCAAAAATAATGGACAACCGAGTCCATGCTTTTGCCTCGCGGATAAAATCCATCGTTAATCCTTGGAGAAGTTATCAGCGAATCGACGGCAGGGAATGGGAGAGGGTTTAAAAAACGAACGAATATGCATGTGATGGTACACTTACAATACTTACTGATTATTGGGATAAGAAAGCCTATTCATCTTTATCAACTGATTTTCCTCAAATTGCTTAATTGTCGAAAATTATGTCTACGACGAGGTACAGAAAATCAAACGGTTGGGAAGGAGCGGTTTGTCACTCCTGGCGCCAAAATATGAGTACCTACTTATTGTGGCGAAGATACTTATTTTCAAGGATGATCAAGTAGATAACTTTATGTAATCTACTGCAAATAGTGGATACGATACGAAATTAATTTGTCACGCTTTTTTTCATTCGTCACAACTCACAGTACAGCAACTAAATGAATCATGAATGTTTAATTTATTGAGGCAAAAGCAGAGACCTTCAATAATTCTTAAAGGAACGGAAGGAAGGTATTAAATTTTCGAGATGTCTCTATGGTTTAAGAGAAGGAACACGATGGAAAAGTGAAAAAAGAAAAAGGAAAGTATAAGTTAAAATTCATCAAATTTCCTCAATTCCTCTCGTTGGATTCTTAGACGCGAAAATTGTACTAGCCTTTTGTAACATTGCTTTTTTTTAAAGCCCGAATGCAATGCAACCAAAAACAGTAACCGAAACATGTTAAGTACGTCATGACACAACTAAAACACTTCATCATCAGGACCGGAAACATAAATTACGATTTCTAAAAAGGTTCCTTACAAAAATAAGCTACCTTTTTGGCACGGGAAAATGATAATGACCCAAACATAAATGGCAACATTAATAAAAGCCCTTGAAAATCAGAAAACAAGGAAGCCTTTCCAGCGAGAAACTGTACAAGGACTCTTAGTGTTGGTATTAGCGATGAATAATCTTGACTGGGTTAATTGCGGTTGCGGGTAATTAATTTTAATGTGAAGATTCTGCTGAATAGGCAGTGTGTAGTAAGAAATCACAAAATCACAAAATGTTTGAAATTGAATTACCCAACGGTTTTGATGCGATTATTAAGTGCCTTATAACACACAGTAAAATGCATTTGGGATAGTTTTTATAAAGTAACTAACTATACAAACCTCACTAGCGTAGTTAACTAGCTAACTAATGCGCCCTTCAGAGTATTAAGCCGGGTCCACATTTGACGAACGTTGCCGTTCGTTCGCGTTGCCGGTCGTTCGTTCGCATACGTTTCTCTAGTGTGGACGACAGTTCGCAACTGAAAGTTGGTAGTGCAAACGATTGCGAATGGGAACGAACGAAGATCAAAAGGAAAACGCAGAGCCACGAATCCTCACAAACGTTGCAATGTGGACGTGTTTCAAAGGTTTGTGGTGATTCGTTTGTTGAAAGTATTGACGAAAGGGTGTTTTTGTTTATTGGTTAAAATATGAGTGATAATCAAATGGTTGCGGCAAGTGTGGCGTTTGTCCTGATAAACAACATAATAAAACGACGAAAGAAAAGACCACAGAGAAGTGTGTGGATACACGATTTATACTAGGGACGAAACACATACGGCGGTGCTGATTTATTAAAAGACCTCAATGATACTTTTTTTAAGAACTTCACGCTTTGAAGTAATATCACTGGCGTAATTTATATTAGTAATATGTGCTTCCCGTTTGTAATACAAACGAAATTTTAAATGTATATTGTAAACTGGCGAAAGAATCACCACTCGCGAGGAAACGTAACGTTACCGCAAGTCTCACTTCAGCCGGAATAGCTGTTCTCATAAATGTATTTTGTTTTGCAATTTTGGGCTTGATCATTTCCAGAAGTGTACTAAAATCTACACGAGACATTCTGGTGAAGTTCTTAAAAAAAGTATCATTGAGGTCTTTTAACCATCACTCATATTTTAACCAATAAACAAAAACACCCTTTCGTCAATACTTTCAACAAACGAATGACCACAAACCTTTGAAACACGTCCACATTGCAACGTTTGTGAGGATTCGTGGCTCTGCGTTTTCCTTTGATCTTTTGAATTTTACCGACAATTGATGGAACGCGTTCGTTCCCATTCGCAATCGTTTGCACTACCAACTTTCAGTTGCGAACTGTCGTCCACACTAGAGAAACGTATGCGAACGAACGACCGGCAACGCGAACGAACGGCAACGTTCGTCAAATGTGGACCCGGCTTTACGTGTTGTTGTAAAGGAATCTCCTGTTCCGAATGTGAAATTAGATTTTAATCAAATAATGACTGTTACGTCAAGAGTCATTGTCACTGGGCTTCCAGGTCATAAACAATTTGCGAAGTGAGACCACTTCATACCCAGATGACACTTAATAATATTAAGATCAGGATTGAGATTCATTTCTCCATATTGTTCACGAAGGTACAAGGTTTTTTAAGGGTAATTCGTTGTAATCTTAAGATTCAACTTAATCCATTGTTGGTTATACACTATAAAACGCGTTAGGGGTGGTTTTTATGTAGTCATTATCCGCAAACGTTAATTTGAAAAGTAGTTAGCAGGCTCCCGTGTTATGGAAAATTAAAAATTAAGATTATGATAGCTACTATAAGCGAAACCAAAGTTTTAAAACGCTTTGCATTTCATGCGTTAGGGGTAGTTTTTATGGAGTCATTATTCGAAAAGGTAGGTAGAGCAATGTGCACTTGGAAAAAGGTACAAATGGTACATCAAGATCCCTTGAAATATGCTATTTTTAAAACACAAAAACAAGGTTCATAGGAAGGTACAGAATTACTCGAAGAGTAATCTAACCTGGATTGAAGCTTGAAATAGCACCTAGGGATAATCAAAAATCCACCTCAAGCGCGTAACATATATTTCAGAAAGAGAGGATAATGGAGTGCTGCAAAACTTTGTCTCCTCTCCATGGATTCATACTTTCGTAATGTCTATGTTATCATTAGGTCTCTGTAGTAAACTATAAATTCTTGGTAATGCATGGTGCAAGTTTGCACGTATGTCATGTACAAAAGGCGCATCTTTCCACCCAGTTTAGTACTATTAAATTTCACCCCGTAAGGTAATAACAAATTAATTTGTTAGGCGTAGGAAGGATAGCATTGGAGTTGTATGTTTAAGCAAGATAAAATAAATTAAGAAGGCTAACGAAAATGCTACTAATAACATAAACATAATTAGGTGGGCTTAATTGTAAGGAATGTGAGATATTCATTACCCCGTTTGATTCAAGGACTTACAAAATGTGACACCAGTTACAGCACCACATGCATATTTATGGATTAATTATTTACGCTCATTTGTTTAGGCTAACCGAACCGCATTATTTATAATCAATTCAACTCACTCTTCAGAATATCAACATAACGAATGTGACACTGACAGTAGGTAATTATTATTGACAATCTACTCAAGGTCACAATCTCAGATGTAATTAGCGACCTTGACACAGAATCGATCATGGTTTTAATTTTAGACGCACTAACATTATCTGCGGAGTTCAATTATAGTAAGCGCGCACACCTACGCACCTATCCTTAAATAAAATATAAGTAAGTGGGCTATTCTTATATCTTGCATAATTTTTAGGCTCGACGTCGCTGAGGTGCTACACGTGCAAGTCGTCCTTCAATGGGGACTGCGATGATGTAAGGGGGAGGACGCTTCCTGATGAGGGATGCGAAAATTCGAAATTGGTGAAGGCCTTTCCGCAGGCGGGAACGACATATGTGTGCGTCGTGCATCGGATGGCACAAAGTGGTAAGTATAACCATAGATTATTACTATGGTTAAATAATTAATGGCAAGTTTAGGCCAAGCAGAATCGATTTGGGGGTTTCTAGAGCCATATCCGATTCATTTGATGACTCTCAGTTACGCCACTTGCTTGGAATAGTTACGGGAGGTCTAAGACGCTTGGCAATTTGACAACGTTTTGTAAATACGCGATTTGGTGTTTCGCAATTGCAAAGAGCTCTAGCCTTACTTTGATCAACTCAGTTGCACATTGCCACTAAGGTCCACATCAAATGAAGAAAGGAGGATGAGATTGTTCAATTACCACACTTTCACGAATACGTCAAAGGAAATCAACGCAAGTGTTACTTCCTTTTCTCTATTGGAGTTCCAAAATTTCTGTTCTATTCAAATATTTAATAAGGATACTACGCGTTTAGCCACTAACTAATTATCTACAAAAAATTCCGCTTAAAGATATCAATAAACGCCGTCCTATTCATTATAAAAGACAGATAACATAAGCTTTGTACAAGCGTATCTATAACACTCAAACACAATTACGAGCAATATTTCGTAAAAAAAGTCTGAGTCACCTTGAACTTCTCGAAAATATTTCAGAAAACTTAAACTCATTATCAAATGTACCTATGTACCTAAAGTTACAAATACCCAATATAGCCCAAAAAACGATTGATATTTATTCCCCAAAATTTGGTGATATTTTGATACTTTTTATACAGGGTGAACATTTTGTCTGGAATATTGGATATATCGTCAAAACAATATTTTTTAAAGAAGCTTTTTGTAGTATCCAAAATTATCTACGTACTTTGTATATCAGTACAAAATGAAATTGAAGAACCTGAACAATCTGAGGACCCTGAAGATATGGAATACTGAGGACTCCAAATACCCTATGGACCCTAAGGTCCTGGAGACACAGAATGCCCTGAATGGGCCTAGGAATCCTGGACACTGGCGGTGGAGAATGAGCATCATTTACTGTACAGTTAACCCACTATTTCCATTGAATAATTCTTATCGTTTCATTTGCACCATCAATCGGTGCTGGGCGGATTATCTAGAGATCTATTATAGTATTGGTATACCTACGCCTTAGGCGCAACTGTTAAGAAATGCGGCATTCGTCAATTATTGCTAAAAGTAGTATTAAACAATCTTCAATAACAATAATAATCATGCATTTGTTTGTTATTCTATTTGTTTCGCATTATTTTCATACCAAATTTGATCGAGACATGGTTTTTTGCAATTGTGTTTGAGAGTGCAATATCTTGGGATAGAAATTTTTTTACAAAAATTGACTGGTCAATAATGGTATTATTCCGTATTTAAATCAGAGAATTGCAAGTTTTGTTTCCAAAGATTCACCTCTTGCCATACAAATAAAGTGTTGTCGCGTTTTATTCTAAGTGCGTTTCAACCGCCTTTACCTTTGTCTAGGAAGGGAAAGGGATACGTCTACGAGGTTCTTGAAAGTTGCAAAGTCTTTGAGATTCTCAGAAAAGCTCCATAACGGCTTCCTGGAAAGACTGAAAGTCAGGTTTCCTTGGAGATCCTGATCAGGCGCTTTTTAGAGCTTTTAAATCTCCGGAAAAATTGTCAAAGGAATGGAAAACGCTTCTGATCTTTTAATGCTTCCCGGGGACTTTTTAGCGTAACACAATGAAGTTAAGTTAACGGTTATGCGCTCGATTTTCCGTCGTCTGTCTCTCTGTCTGTCCCATCACTCATCATTTATAGATATGTTACGCGACAAAACCCACCATTTTTGAACACTTCTGAGGCTTTCCAGTCTTTCAGGTATTTTACGGCAGCTTTAAAAGCCCTTTGCAAAGGGTTTTAGTACCGTCCCATTTGTCACTTCCTAAAAGTTTTTAGAAACCTACTATAGCGCGCGATGCATTTTCCGTAGCTTTTCGGTCTGCTATAGCGGTTGCCATTAAACAAAAAGATAAGCCCCTCTTAGCACGGAGATTGATATAGCAAACTTCTTTAAAAAAAAATGTTATTCGGAAGATATATTCAGGCAAAATTTTGACTTGTATATTGAGATATCATTTTGGAAACAAACCCAAATGTATTTTTATTTACTGCTATTTGTAAGGCTAGCACTAATTTAATTTTTTTACAGATGATCCAAATTTGAGCGTCGTACGAGGCTGTGCTCCAGATCACTACTGTGACCTCTTCCCGAATTCGAACGAATGTGTGACATGCACAACGTCCTACTGTAATTCGTCTGCGAAAATCATGCCTTCCATTATAGTCAGTATTATTGGATTTGTATGTGCTAAACTTTGTTTATAAAAAGATTTTACTCATATACACGTTTAAGCTTAAGCCTAATAATTAAGTGCTTTTGTAAGTTGCCTTAAAAAAGAACAAAGAGAAAGCGAATCGATGTAATATATTTCTACAACTTAGTCGGTTTTTGTAATGTATTTATTCCTAATTGTTAAACATGTTTGTAACTACCTCCGAGATATATACTACCATAGTTTTAGTAGTAGTAATTGTTGTCGACGTTGGCGGTTAATCATTCTGAAATAAAATGTTACACTTTGTGTCCGCAAATTAAATATAATTTAAATTACTCGTTTTGTTACTTCTAATTTTTTTATTAGCGGACGTACATAGGCGTTCTGTATAAATAGGTAGGTAGCAACTAATTTATTAAAGCACAAAATTCATGACTCACCCAATTCCAGAACCTACAGTATAAATTGTTTTGAATTAAGACCCGCGAGAGTTCAAGACAAAAGTTTTTAAACAATATCAGCAACAATTTTTAAATTAACGTACAGTTTGATAATAAAAACAAAAATTTCAGCTTTGATTGGAATTGGTGGGCGAGTTACGGACCATAAAATCAACACAACAAAAATTTATGATGAAGGGTGCTGGATAAATGTCGTGCAAATCCTCAGTTATCGATTCCTAAAGTTTCATAATTTTTTTCCTAATTTGCTGTTCTATGCACTTTTATTTATTAGACTTTGTTCATTAAGTTACTCGTTTAGTTTACGCAATTTATTTTCAGAAATAACTCGACAAATGTGCAACCTTTACCTAAAGTGATACTTTTTTCATGAATTTGCAGTTTGATTAATGAAGGCTTCGCAAATTCATAATAAAAGACACTTTCAACACGTGTTCTATGCGAAATTTGTTTGCATAGCACGACCCTTAATAACCAATAATTGAAATATAATCATTAACATTCGCCATTTACTGTTACTCATACATTGATGCCATTGTTCCTAGATTAAAAGGCAATAGAAACGCATAGTCAAAATCGTGAAAAAAAGTAACACTTTCGCCAAATGATTTTTATCAAAAAAAGTCTCGATAATTTTATCACAATGTAAAAAAAGTGATGTGTTCACGAGCTATTTTGTCCAATAAATTTTCACAAGAATTTTATACACTCCTGTAACTCCCCCTAAAAAAGGATACCAAGAAATGCATTTGTAATGAGGAGGGTGGTATTTTAACAAGGGAAGTAGCTAATTAACTGAGGAGTAATCGTTGGTCAGAACAAATCTACAATCATTATAAAGAAACCTTATAACTTTTTAACTAAGAAAATGTAGATTGTAGAGGTGATTCTCAATTTGACAATTTTTTTTTAATTTTCCCCCGTATCTCCAAAGCAAACGAAAAACATTAAAATATTAACCCGATTTTATTCACTCGCACTCTGTTATCTCGAAAATGTATTTGTATAAGCCTGGCCTACACCAATCGCAAAAGGAATTGCTTTAGATCAACTGCGAACGAATTTTAATAGTAGAGTTTTGTTTGTAAAGGCAACCAAAGATCTTTAGCTAAATACAGTGTTTAAATAAAGCACAGCGTCTAAATTTGCCATTACATTACATTTAAAAAATCAAAACCAATCGCAAAGGAAATTGCAAAACCTCCGCAGTAAATTCCGTCGTGATAAATAAATAAATAAAGGGTTAAACTTCGGGAATTTCGGGACTTTCAAAAGGTTATAGAAAACCGTTACGTATTTAGTGGAAATTCTTCTGATTCTTGATTGACGACATTTTGAAAGAAGAGCTCACAAACCAACTACTGGGATCTTAGCATTAAACCCCTACACTCAAAGAGCATTTACATCATTTGAATCTTTACCGAAGGAACTAACTTACTCCGACGACAAAGATTCCAAGACAAGATCCTGAAAATGTTGCTGTAAAAAGGTCATCTTCAGTCCAAATCTGGGTCAATATTGTGACCAGCAATAAAGGCAGCACAGATACCACCCGCGTACTGCCCAAAAGCTTTTCAGCAGAATTTTCAGTGAAGAGTACGTAATTGAAAATTGGAAAAGTGTTAGATTTTTATTTTACGTACACACGATTGCTGGTCCACCCTTTAATCATAATTATTAGACATATTTGATGCGCCACAGAACAGGTATCCCTTGCGTGGGTAAAAAAGAATTTTCACTAAGATATACGCAACTCAAGATCTATAGGGTATAGATTTCGATATAGTAATAAACATAGGGTTGCTGCTCCACCCTTCAAGCATTTATAATTAAACAAAGAAAGGCGTTGTTCAGATTGGTTTCCTCTTCTGTAATACTGAAACGGTTTTGTGAATGGCAACGTTCTTTAAAAATGAAAAAAAAACCTGTTATTGTTTGGGTTTTGTCTGTTCATTTGGGTGCAAATAAAGTATGATCGCGAAAATTTTGGCAATTAGGGATCTAATTTCGGATTGATTCACATTAATAAATCAAAAGAAAAGGTGAGGATCTTGTCAAACATTTTGAATTCTTCGTTTATGTGGACAAAATGATTGGTGAAATGAATATTCTATGCGATTTTACAGTAGAAGCTCGAAAGCACCCGAATTACGATTTGCTTCATAATGTACTGTCCCTGGGTTAAATTACACAATCGTCCCTTGGTATGCAAGTTCTCCGCATCTATAATAATCATAAATTGTGTGACTGTGTTCATGTGTACAGTAATGCTAATGGAAACTGTAGGTAAACGACATAAACACGTACAAAAAGTGAGGTACCATGGTTAGCTAGAACCGATAGCTTCACATCCATTATTTTATTGGGCAATAGTTTATCGTTTGTGACCGAAAAGAGTCTTGACAGATAAGAAAGCTATACGCTACGTGGTTGGTTTCACAATTTTTGGAAAAAAGGGACATTGATAGTGTCGTTAAATGGTTGTTAAAAACCCCCATTCATTTGAAAGCATGGCTTATTCCGCTGCTATTAATTTTTACATACCTTGTAAACGAAAGGACACCAACGTTCGATTTAGTATGACCATTTAATTTCTAAAAAACATTGTTAGTCATCTAGATCGATAACAGTCTATATTTACCTGTAAACAACGTAGTTCAAACCAGAGATAAGATTAATAAATGTCTACCATTAAAAAAGGAGGAAAAGAGGAACCGTAAACAAAGGGTCTGCTTAATTTCATCATTGGAATAATTTGACCCACTACTCAGCAAGGTTTTCTTAGTTGAGTATCCGGGTGTAACGTAATTAACTGTCCAATGATCACTGTCATCCCCTACCATATGCAATATTTACTGAATTAGTCGCTCATTTGAAAAGTAAAAGGTGTCGCAAGAAGATAAGTAATCAAGCCTGGGTGGTGAGTTCACTGGATTCGAGTAGTATAAATAACGATGCAAGTTTTATTTTCAACAAAACAGCAAGATGGCATTCAGATGTGTATCTGTTCTTGTACTACTCGTTCTATTCACTGCTTTCTGTACAGGTGGGTGTATCGCTTAATTTTTCTTTTATTTTTCGTTGATTTCAGGAGAAAGCGCGGCCAAACGTGGTATTAAATGTCTCCAATGCAAAGCGGCATTCTGCGCAGAAAATCACACGCACATCCAAGATCCCTGTCCTCACTTCGACAACGTGTGCTACACGCTGAGAAATCCAAAAACTCGTAAATGGTTTGCTATTGTTTGACATCACTAACTGAAAATTTAATTTTTAGACAAAGTGGTTAAGAAAGGATGTGGCGAGCAGGACGTTTGTGAAGTTTACAGTGCATGCTCGTCCTGTAAAAAAGACCTTTGTAATACTGACTAAGGACCAATTTTTCTACTTCTTGTTACATTTAACTGACAGATAACTTTTACAGTAATGATCGTTAAAACAATTTGTTTTTATGTAGATAAACTTTCGGTTAAATTTAACCGTTTGATTCGCAAATAAATAGGGATTTCTTGTTATTGAATGCTAAATTTTTATATCACGTTTAGGCCAGAGACAGAGACTTGAATCTTAAACCTTGAACAATAATTTGGAATCCACTGTACAATCAATTCCTGACGTATTTATGACTATTTGAATCATTCTCATATCTCAAATTATATAATGTTAATAAACCATGAGGTTTTCAGAACCTTAAGGTTTGTCGGAGCCATGTTCCCCCGGTTTTTCAGATGTTTGTGTTCTTTCGGGTTTTCAAACTATTATATTTCCGAATTTACTGAATCCTCCTCTGTGGATTCTTGAATTACTCTGAGTAATCGACTTGTTTCAAATTCAATACTTTTCAATGCTCTCTTTCGAGTTCTCTGATTCTTCACGTTCTTGAAACTCAAATCCCTTAGGTTATTCCGCTTTTAAAATATGTTTGTATTTTAGGATCTTTTCTGACGCTTAAATTTCACTAAAAAACTGAATCCATAAAAATTTAACCTAGAAAAATGCAAAAAATAGGTATTAACGCACCCTGCAAAAGGATTGAAAGGCACTGGAAGGCGTAAGAATATAATCTCAAAATGCCTTTCACACCTTTCTGTCTATCGCAGGAAGAAGTTTCTAGCACAAGAGCCTTTTAAGTAATGTTCAGAAAGTATTTTCTAGACAGTAGATGAAAGTCAAATTATAAAATCGTCATTCTTAGGTGAAATGAAGAATCTGGCAATCAAAGTTTGGCGTTATTATTTCTGTGCCAGGATTGTCAAGTCGTTGCTTGTTGTTTTCACTATTAGAATTCAAGAGAAGGTAAGACATTCGTAGTTGGAATCTGCCAAATTTTAAAATTCACCAGTGTTTTGTGAGCTTTGCGTTCTGATAGTACAATTTTGAAATTTCTTTTCTAAGTCTTAGCTTGTAAGTTCTTGATAAAATTGTGGACGCAATCAAGGTCGTAATTTCAGTTGACTTGCACAAATCCTGTAAGGCATCATTTTCCCCACCGTTTTGAAGATGGAGAAGTGAAATATCATTTGTGGATTAGATAATTCGCTGAATGAAAAGCGAATCGTGAGGAATAAGTATGATAAAGGGAAGGTCCGATACGAGGGAAGGTCAACAAAATTTTTCCGCGTGGAAAAGTTAAGTCGTGAAGAAACTCATTTTTATTTAGCATTTCTACATTTCACCAGACTAATGCTGATCGTTGATGTAGGATGCCACGCCTGGTGTTTCTAGTTAAGTAATAATTTGCGAACTCATACACTCAAATGCGATTTTTGGGATCCTTTTTTATTACTTGGGGCCTCATTTTGAATATGCTTCTTCTACCACAATTTTTAAATTAATGTGCCAAATTACTGTTTCGATAAGATACACTGCCGTAAACCCAAAACTACCCTTCGTCTTCGTCTGTAATTACTAGATAAGTAGAAAGGGATTAACGTCCGGATTTACAGACGATGGTTAAGACTATCAATGATAAATAAAATACTAGAACATTAGTCACCTTTGATTATAAGGAAGTACCTATTTACCTTTCTAGTATGTTTTAATTGATTAAATTTAGTTATCGTTGACTAAACACTACATTAGCATGAAAATAAAGTTCAATCTCTGATTTGTGGCTGTTCTGTTCAACTTTGAACGAGGCGTTAGATTGGATTCATTGCGAATAGCTAATATTTAAACGTGTCTGCATCACGAAACATGCAAAATGATCATTAGTTTATTAGTAAATAGATTGCAATTAATGCGATCGCTTTATTAGACCTGGGATCTGCTCAGTCGGTATTGCAAAGATCTTTCTTGCACGATGAGCATGAAATGTAAATATCACAAACGTCAGGTTCTCCGCAAGCCTTCTTGATCACTTTGCCTAAGAAATTACGCATTAGCTTCCAGCTTGATGGTAGTAACAAATTACTTACGGGTTTTTGGGTTTCTGAGGGTGTAACACACGTTGTCACGGTGGGGGCAAGGATCTTGGACATGCGTATGATTTTCCGCGCACAATTTTTCATTGCATTGGAGACATTTTATGGTCCGCCCTGTAACCAAAAACATTTAAACAATATATTGGGCAAAGTACTTGCCTGTATTGAAAACTGTGAATAGAACGAGAAATACAAAAATGATTACACGCCTCGTCACCATGGCAATCTTTTGATGAAAACAGTGTCATTATTATTTATACCTTTTGCACCCATTATTTACATTTGATTGGTTATCATCTTTCGACACATTTCACTTGCCCTAATTAGTCGCTATTGGTGCAGATATAGGTACAGTGAATCAACAAATTTCGAAAAAAGCAAAAGCATGTCAATTTATTGGCTGGTTACGGAGTAAATTAGATTAACCCTTCAGTGGGACTAGAGGTAAGATCTAAAATGTAAATAGGGAAAAGGGGTTGCGCGTTTATTCTGTTTATACAGGGTTAGGAAAAATTACCAGAACGGTCCATTATTTCAAAATATACAGGGGTTATCAAAAAATGTCTTGTATAACAGTTGTAGGACTATTTAAAAATCCACATATCTGAGATTGAAATATAAAAGGTCGCAAACAAGATTGTAGCTATATTTGTTTTTAATGGAATCGATCACCTCACCAGGTGCTGTACCACGCCAAATAGGAGTCTCTCACGAAACAGTAGGGCAGTGAGTAGGGCTGAATGTACTCGTAGGTACAAAATTCAAATTCATCAACGGCTCCTTGAAGACGACTTCAACCGACTGATCGAATATTGTGAAACTATGACCGAGTTTGTAAACACAAATCAAATTATGTTGCACAACACTTGTTTTAGTGAAAAGCGTACAATTTTCTTAACGGACGTGGTAACAAACAAAATTGTTGGTTCTGGAGCTATGAAAATCCAGGAATGTTGAGGGAAAGAAAATAATTAATATTGGACTTTTATTCATTAGAGAAGATCTAAACGCTGTGAACTCCATTTAAATCTGCTGGAGGAAACTATATATTCCTATAAATCTGGAAAATCAAACCAATTCGACTGATAACATGATTTTGTAAGGTCTTTCATTTTCAACATGATGGGGTTCCGCCTTATTACCTTCTATCAGTTCGACAGTAGATAAATGTGAGATTTTCTGGCAAATGGATTGGTCGGAAAGGAACAATTGAATCGAGATTTAGAATTTAAGGGCCAAACTTCCGCAAGGTCAGGAGTATAATAGAAACACAGGGGCGGACTGGGTACTTACGGGTCAGGTGGAATTGCATAGGTTACGGGCCATTAAAGTATTAGTGTAGTAAAGAAGGGGGGGGGGGTGCTCTGTGGTGCACCACAAAAACATTTTTTTGCTTCATTTTAGTACTCCTTTTTCGGAAATCAATTACAATACAGTTTTTTTTTAAATTGCAGCTGATAATTAAAAGTAACAAAATATACAATCCACACGAGGTGCGTCGCCTATCACTGTATTTCAGCACTTTCATACTACGACAAAAAATGATAAATTCATTGTAAAACACTTCAATTAAAACAGAATTTTTTAATTTTTTAACAACCTAACATCAACCCCAATTAGAGAAACGTGTCAATAACTTATTAATAGTGCAAGAAACTAAATACAGCACATACTTATAAATTTCCAACGGGCCATTATGACGTACAGGCCAGGTGGCAATCGCCACCCGCCTCCCCGGGCCAGTCCGCCCCACTTCCTAGTCCATAACTTTTGATTGAGACGTCCGATCGAAAAAGTACGAATGGTTTTGGATTCTACGCACCAAAATTAATAAAAAAAAAGTGTTTTCCCGAGAAATTTTGGTGCAGTCGATTTTTGGTAAAAAAGGAAGGTTCACACTGCCTTTTTTTGAGCCCCGAAAAAAATTGTCTCAGATCGACCCGGAAAAAAAATTTTCTTATAGAATGTGGCCTGTAGAATCCATAATTTCAAACAGTTCCAAGATTGGGCTACTAGTTCAAAAGTTACAGCCCTTTGAATTTTTTTCGAAATTGGTTTCTAGTCATAACTTTTGATTGAGAAGTCGATCGAAAAAGTACGAATTGTTTTGGATTCTACGCACCAAAATTAATAAAAAAAAGTGTTTTCCCGAGAAATTTTGGTGCAGTCGATTTTTGGTAAAAAAGGAAGGTTTTGAGCCCGAAAAAAAAAATTGTCTTAGATCGACCCGGAAAAAATGTTGGGGTAGCTCTGCAGTGCACCACAAAAACATTTTTTGCTTCATTTTAAAGTACTCCTTTTTCGGAAATCAATTACAATACAGGTTTTTTTTAAATTGCAGCTGATAATTAAAAGTAACATCATTGTATTTCAGTACTTTCATGCTACGACAAAAAATGATAAATTCATTGTAAAACACTTCAATTAAAACAGAATTTTTTAATTTGTTAACAACCTAACATCAACCCGATTTAGAGAAACGTGTTAATAATTTATTAATAGTGCAAGAAACTAAATACAGCACATACTTATAAATTTCCAACGGGCCATTATGACGTACAGGCCAGGTGGCAATCGCCACCCGCCCCCCCGGGTCAGTCCGCCCCTGGAAACATTCTTATTACCCGGACAAGCGTGGCTAAGAGAAATGTTTGTCAATGCTGTGCAGGTTCAAATTTAGTTTATGCAAATAGGACTCCAACCATTTTATACTTTTACTTTTAAGGGTATCTTCGATGCCCGTTAGAGAGTTGAACTTATTTAATCCATGACCAGAATATAAAATGTCCGGAAATGTAAAGTTCACATCGAGACAGGAGTGTCACAACAGACAAAACCATAACAAACAATACACCAGACATAACTGCAATAGGCAAAATAGGAGTATATAAAATATTCACACGCACATCCCCTAGATCACAACATATAAAAAACCACAAAACTAGGCTAGGGTGAATACTTCGGGTGTGAATTTTCCTGGGACCGTGTTTCCTAGGAGGAAAGTTTTTCTAATCAAGTTCACCGGAACGAATTTTAATTATAAGACAACTGCAGAAGGGGGCACAATGCATAGCGCACACACACTGAGTCTCAGTCATCGGGTCGAGCTTTTCTGAACGTAATCTAATGAACGAGTTTCGGTGCACGCACAGTTTTCTTGGGAAGAATCTTCTGTGGCCGAATCTTTTGGATACGACCTCTCCTACAAAAAATTTTTCTTTTAGGGATTTGCAGGTCGTGAAACAACTTTGAAAGTTACCTACATACGTGTCATTCCTCTGTCCTTTGCTCCCTCTCGAAAAAGCTATATCAAGATGATAATGGGTGCAATAATCATCTTGTAAGTATTAAATTTGTTTTTTTGCCTTGCGTCTCTTTTGATGATGTCTATGGAATTCAAAACACTCTGCTATGCCACTTTCTTAATCCTCGGCATTTTCAAGAACAATTAATTTCATTAACCAAAGCGGTGAGGAGGCTGCATTGATCCTCAGGACCCCAAACTGTTTCCACTTTGCTATCACAATCAGCACAGTCGAATTCTACGATACAGTGCAAACTTTCGTAGATAATGAGCGTTAAGATACCTCGGCCCGTTGAATTATTAAGGAAAACATCCATAAGAGACAGAGCACTCTCACCGTTATTTACACATCAAAAGCATTATTTTCCAGCAGGCTGTAGATGGGATTCGAACGCTGATCTCACGATCACCTTTAAGTATAGGTACATTTTTCAATTTTTCATGATTCAACAATTAATGGGCATCGATAAGCCAGGTAATCTAGACCTAGTTTTCAACATGATCCTACGTACTTACTCAGGAGTGTTTGCCGAAATAATGTCAGAAGATAAGGAGATAGAAGGTAACCAATCAATGGTACGGATTGATTGAAACGTAGTTATTTCATAAGCTCTGGTATAAAAAGGCAATTCGCCCAAAACTTGTAATTAGAAATCGTGATGGCAGCAAGGCATTTATTAATTTTCGCGTGTGCGCTGTTGCTCTGTGTGCAGAACGGTAAGTGTCCGGTGATACCGTAGATACGTAATTTAACATTTTCAATCAATGCAGCGTACAGTCTCTCGTGCTACAAGTGTGAAAAGGAGGCCTGTAAAGCAGAAGTGTCCAAAGAACAATTTTGCACGACGGAAAAAGATGTATGCTATAGTCTGTCGCACCCCAAATCCGGTAAGTACTCCTTTTTGTTCTTCCGTTTTCTTCTAACTCTTTATCACAGGGAATGTAATGGAAAGAGGTTGCAAAACTAAAGATTTCTGCGATATTTACGCATCGTGCAAAACATGTACTTCAGACTTCTGCAATTCGACGCCCACCATTCTGCCGTCTTTCCTTTTAATCGGTGTCTCTGCGCTTGTAGCAGGCAGGTTTTTCCGGGGATGAAGAATTTGAATATGCCATAAGCTAACTAATTTGATGTACTTTTAAGAAACTGAAATAAAACCCTTTTTTTTTACAAAAATGTACTAGTGCTCCGGCTATAACAAATCTCTGAATAAATACGACGGACTCTTATGGATTAAATGTTTCTATTCCATCTACAAATTACGCTATCATTATCTTTCTTATCTATTACGTGAGTTCGAGTATCCTAAACGATTAGAAATAGAATCCCACGTTGTTACATTGCAACCGGCAAAAGTTTGGAGGAACTGGTAAAGAACCACAGATGGCTAAGTAGGTTCTATACGTAGAACGACGTGGACGTAGATAATTTGCAGCAAGCTGATTGTAGACATAGTGATTTTCTTGATCCTTTTTGATCCTAGCACGATTTACTGCATGCTAACTAAATAAATAATGCATGTCTACCTTTTGATGGAAAAACACTAAGAACTGGATGTCATTACTCACACTAATTCAATTCCTTCAAGCGTTTCTATTTTTCCGAATTTTTCGACTCTTGAGTTCGCATCTTCTTTGAATGATTGTACCAATTACTCTGAATCGTTATCGTAATTTTTATTGCAAGCAAATCTACAGATAAATTTTTCAAACTATTGAGATCCTTTAGATATTCTTAGACCTTTTTAGACCGTTCGAATGTATCCCAAATTCTTTTATTTCGGTTCGTAAAATTCTGAACTCCATAGATCTCCTATCTCCTTCTAAAGATTTAGCTTAAATTTGTTCAATGGTTTAGGTTCCTCAGGTGGTTGGGCTCTTCCAATTTGTCGCTGATGGATTCCATTCTTTAGTTTTTTTTTCCATTCTTGTTTTTTAGGTTCTTCAGATTTTTAATATCCTTAGCATGCCAATATTTCATATACGAGTATTCGTGTTGATTACAATATCGTAATTTAAATTCCTCAATTGCGGATAACAATTAGGGACATGCAGGTCATCTGTATGCATTGTAGCTGCATTGCATGTACAATGTACCTTACAGATGGTATTGTAGATTTTGTAGATATTGCAAATGCTGTAGATGGGATGGATATATCGCATTAAAATGGTCGACTCTGTATTTGAAATTGCATTTTAACTGTTTCATAGCGTCAGAGTAAATAAAATGAGTTTAATATTATTGTTATTTATACGTAATAATTTGTCGCTATTATAAAATATAAGCGACAATTAGGTAAGACCGCCATCTATCGATTTTGATGACGAGGGCTCGAACCCTTAAACGCGCGTTTTTTACAAATCCCACGCTTCAAGTATAATCTCACTTGTGGTGAGTTTGAGTCTCACAACTTTCCAGTTTTTAGTGGTACAGAACATCTCCTGACTACCATGCTTCGAAGGGCATGTAGAGCTGGTGGTCCCGACAGTCATACCACGCTTGTCGTTAGGTCACACAGACGGCTGTTGATGCAATCTAAAAACGTGTGTAACCCGGGAGTGCCACCCATATGATAAATAAATAACTTACTTGTGTTATCATAGACTTATTTATAATACATCGCGGAAAACAAAAGAGATCGAAGGAGAGTCACTTCTGTCGGCCCTCATCAAGTGCAACTTTCGAATTTTTTTATATTTTTGTGTCGTCCATTGGTGGTTTCAAGTGGGTTCAAAGCAGGGAGTGTAAATTACATGAGAATAGCTAGCTCAGTATTAGGTATAGTACATACGTTTATCGTTGACGTCATTGTGGGATAAAAATGACACAGAAATTGTAACGAAGGGGTTTTTTTTTTTTTTTTTTTATAATTAAAGAGCTTCGACTGCAAAATAGGCCATTAGCTCTTGTACGGTTAGATTTTTTCAAATAAAGATATGTTTTTGAGGAACGACATTGTATTGCGGACCATTCTTCTTGCCAAGCGGCTTGGAGGACTTGTTTGTAGTGGCTCTTTAAATCACTAAGGGTAGTGTCGTTGATTTCCGCTGCTTCCGGAGAGGCGGATGCTGTTATTGCTGCCCGATCTGCCTTTTCATTCCCTTTGATGCCTACATGGGATGGAATCCAGCAAAACCTTACATTTTTCTTAATCGAAACTGTGTGTGCATACTGAGCCAGTATTTTGTCGCTTATTTCATTGTTGGGGTCGTATTTTTGAATAGATTGTAAGGCACTTAAAGAGTCACACACAATTAAACAGTTTGTAATATTATCTCTTTTAGCTACATAGATAAGAGACTGTAAGATAGCGAAAAGTTCTCCACTGGATTCTGGATTCTGGATTTTCGGAACTTTGTTGATATTAGTTCTTTGAAAGTGAAAGGGGTTTTGTTTACACATTTGGCGCTGTTTGCATAAGTAATCAAGACGCTAATGATATTAAATTTATGTGAAGGATTATTCTTCTCTTGCACGCCAAAATATCTCCGGTTGTCCGTCCGTCCTTGTCTTTCTGTCGATGTCTTACTGCAAAGTGCCATAAAGTTGAAGCTTTGGTAAATAGTTCTTTATATGGGTATAGCTGCTATATAAAAGATTAATGTAATTGCAAGTCTGGTTAGCTATTACTAATTAAAACGTTTTAGATGCTACAATTTGGGTTTACGAAAGGTGAGACAGATCCATATAATTTTTCTATATAAAATACACCTACTATAGAAGCAATTTTAAGTAAACGGTAACAGTGTAACACTAGTATGTTATACATTCAACCATTGTCACGAATTATTTGGTAAAGAATTAAAAGAGCACTATTTTATCTTAGTTCCTATTTCTATTGAGGTTGTTCAATATGTATACCATGCAGATATGGTCTTGGCCTCCGTTGTCGACAATTGTTCCGTAGGTGTCGTGAATGCTTTGTGCTATTGGATTCTCTGTGAATATGTTGCCGATAGAGTGGATAGCGAGGAGTGAGTCGGTGAACATAGCTGTATGTCTCTATGATAGGTCGATTGAATGTAAGGTCGTAAAGATTCCTTATAATTCTCCGGTATATGTAGGTATCCTAGTGCTAGAATTACTGGAAGCAAGTACTGAATAAGTAATTTGTTGACTGAAATTATTGAACATCCGACATTATTACCGTGACTGGATTCCACCATGTAACGGAACCTTATTAAATTTTTCAAGTTTTTGTAGATTTCAAATTATATTCGGGTAGAAGTTGGATTCAGATTCAGGATAGATATAACTACAATTGAGTAATTAATATAAAACAACTGTAAAGTGCAGTGGAATTTGAATTTATTTTATTTTATTTTTTCAATATAGTAATTTTGTTCTTCATAAAGGTGGGTTTATTTACTATCAAGTAGGGGGAACGTGAAGCAGTAATAGAAGGGCTATCACAACCAGTTCTTGGAAAAGTGGTTTATATGTACTATGATCGTCCCTTTAATATATTTCTGTAGGCTCGTATTGATATTAAGTATTGGTTTACTCCATGCAGGGAAAGTAGCAGTTAGTTATCCACTAACTGTGCCCTGTCAGTCTCAATGAGTAAAGACTACAGCTATCACGTTTTGTTTCCGATTAAGGCCATCTGGCGATTTCGTTTTGCAAGAATTCTGGGTTGCCGGTGGTACTTTGATGTGATGAGCAACCCGACTATGCCTGGTTCACGATCTGGTGTTTACGAAGATACCAAAGGAGCCTCGAGATAGGCATTAAGGTGGAATTCTTGAGAAAATAGACCGGTAGAAACGAAAATGGATGTTCCGCCGCTAGCACGAGCACAGTCTGTTATTATTTGATGATATCCTATATAATTTTTTAGGTACTTTCTGTGATTAGTTTCTTGTAAACGGATGACTTCGAGGGCGACGTAGCATATAAGTTGTAATCTTTCTAGGCGCGGGTAAAATCCGTCGCAGTTCTAGTGTTATTGGGGAGGGGGATGCTTGGGAAAAATCAGATAAATGCACAATAATTTATTGTTTTGGTATTTTCCGAGATAAGATTTACTTTGCGTTTCTTGCTAGGTCACTTAGCTAGTGGTATTGGTAAGGGCATATCAGAGGTATTTTGTGATTTTTGCGTCGATTCCTTACTTCTGTTGCTGGATTGGCCACTAAGTGGTTTGATTATTGATTTTCGATGAAAGAAGAGAACTGCTTTGTTGATATGGGTTGAGGGTAGGTTACCCGATGTAGTTGGAACGTTAATTCTTTGGCTTGTAGAAGATAGAAACACTTGCTCACTGCCACTATTTGAGCTCCACAAGACAGCCTAGAGAGATATTCAATACAACGTTTCGTTTCGGTTAAATCATCAACTTTATTTTTTATATGACACGTAACAAAGGTAATACTGTATTAAGTAGCATTTTTTATTCAGAATATACCAACGTACGACATTAAAAAAAAAAGTTTAAGTTAAGTACGGTTTCAGATGTAGGTAAACAAAAATTCCAAAGTTGACTCGACAGCAACTCATTTTTGAACGCATTGTAAGAGGAAAATTTAGTATTGTATATGTCGCAGCCGTTTAATGAAATTGGACATTTCATGAAAAGTCTAGTCATTTATATGAAACTGTGGAACAGTTTACTTTCCAGGACCAAGCGATTGGATTCCCTTCCCATTAGAGATCGATAAATGGTATCCTTATCGATCTAGAAGGGGAAGGGAAATTACCCCACACGTACAAATTTTCAGCGTTTCACTAAATGACTAGGCCTCGGACTAGGCGTTTCGTGAAATGACTGATTTCACTAAAAGACTACGACATATACATAGGAGTGTGTTTAAGGGCAATTGTTTTGGGTTTAGGTTTTCCCGAACATGAATATTCCTTGAATGAGTGAGTGACGAGTGAGCAGGTAGGCTAGGGTGAATACTCCGGGTGTGAATTTTCCTGGGACCGAGTATCCTTGAAGGAGAGTTTTCGGAATCAAATTCATCGGAACGAATTTTAATTATAAGACAACTGCAGAAGGGAGCACAACGCATAGCGCACACACACCGAGTCTCAGTCATCGGGTCGAGCTTTTCTGAACGTAACCTAGAGAACGAGTTTCGATGCACGCAAAGTTTCCTTGGGGAGAATCTTCTTTTGGAGACGACCTCTCCTACAAAAAATATTCTTTAAGGGATTTGCAATTCGTGAAACAACTTTGAAAGTGACATACGTCTCATTACTCAGTGCTTTGCCCACTCACGAAAAAGCTATATCAAGATGATAATGGGTGTAATAGTCATATCTTGTAAGTATTCAATTTATTTTTTTGCCTTGCGTCCCTTTGGATGATGTCTATACGAGTATAATTCAAAACACTCCACTGTGCCACTTTCCTATCCTCGGGATTTTCGTGAACAACTAATTTCAATAACCAAAGTGGCGAAACTGCATTGAACCAATGGTATCCTCAGGACGCCAAACCTTTTCCACTTTAAAATCACAAGTCAGCACAGTCGAGTTCTACGATACAGTGAAAAATTTTGTAGATAATGAGCGTTAAGATATCTCAGTGACCGGTCTGTTGAATTATTAAGAAAAAGATCCATAAGAGACAGTGCACTCTCGCCGTTATCTACACACCAGAAGCATTATTTTCCAGCAGGCTGTAGATTGGACTCGAACGCCGACCTTACGATCACCTTTAAGTATAGGTACATTTTCAATTTTTCATAATTTAATACTTAATGGGGATTGATAAGCCAACTAATCTCGGCCTAATTTTGAACATTATCCTACCTACTCAGGAGTGTTTGCCGAAATAATGATGTCAGAAGATAACGAGATAGAAGGTAACCAATCATTGGTACGGATTGATTGAAACGTAGTTATTTCATAAGCTCTGGTATAAAAAGGCGATTCGCCCAAAACTTGATAATTAGAAATCGTGATGGCAGCAAGGCATTTAATAATTTTCGCGTGTGCGCTGTTGATCTGTGTGCAGAACGGTAAGTGTCCGGGGATACCGTAGATACGTAATTTAACATTTTCAATCAATGCAGCGTACAGTCTCACGTGCTACCAGTGTGAAAAGGATGCCTGTAAAGCAGAATTGTCCAAAGAAAGCAATTGCACGACTGAAAAAGATGTATGCTTTAGTCTGTCGAACCCCAAATCCGGTAAGTACTCCTTTTTGTTCTTCCGTTTCCTTCTAACTCTTTATCACAGGGAATGTAATGGAAAGAGGTTGCAAAACTAAAGATTTCTGTGAAATGTACGCATCGTGCAAAACGTGTACTTCAGACTTCTGCAATTCGACGCCCACCATTCTGCCGTCTTTCCTTTTAATCGGTGTCTCTGCGTTTGTAGCAAGCAGGTTTTTCCGGGAATGAAGAATTTGAATATGCCATAAGCTAACTATTTTGATGTAGGTACTTTTAAGAAACCGAAATAAAACCAATTTTTTTTACAAAAATGTACTAGTGCTCCGGCTATAACAAATCTCTGAATATATACGACGGACTCTTATGGATTAAACCTATCTTAGTGAAATTTTGGTGCAGTCGATTTTTGGTAAAAAAGGAAGGTTATACACTGCCTTTTTTTGAGCCCCGAAAAATAAATTGTCTCAGATCGACCCGAAAAAAAATTTTCTTATAGAATGTGGCCTGTAGAATCCATAAGTTCAAACAGTTCCAATATTGGGCTACTAGTTCAAAAGTTACAGCCCTTTGAATTTTCTTTCGAAATTGGTTTCTAGTCCATAACCTTTGATTGAGAAGTCCGATCGAAAAAGTACGAATTGTTTAGGATTCTACGCACCAAAATTAATAAGAAAAAGTGTTTTCCGGAGAAATTTTGGTGCAGTCGATTTTTGGTAAAAAAGGAAGGTTATACACTGCCTTTTTGTGAGCCCCGAAAAAAAATTGTCTCAGATCGACCCGGAAAAAAAATTTTCCTTATAGAATGTGTGTGTACAAATTACGCTATCATTATCTATCGTATCTATTACGTGGGTTCGCGTATCCTAAACGATTAGAAATAGAATCCCACGTTGTTACATTGCAACCGGCAAAAGTTTGGGGGAACTGGTAAGGAACCACAGATGGGTAAGTAGGTTCTATACGTAGAACGACGTGGATGTACATAATTTGCAGCAAGCTGATTGTAGTTATAGTGATTTTCTTGATCTTTTTTTATCCTAGCACGATTTACTGCATGCTAACTAAATAAGTAATGCATGTCTACCTTTATCCCAAATTCTTTTGGCTGTTTATATCGTCTCGGTTCGTAGTATTCTGAACTCCATAGATCTCCTATTTCCTTCTAAAGATTCAGCTTAAATTTTTTCAATGGCTTAGGTCCCTCAGGTGCTTCGGGCTCTTCCAATTCGTCGCTGATGAATTCCATTTCTTTAGTTCTTTTCCCATTCTTGTTTTTTAGGTTCTTCAGATTTTTAATATCCTTAGCTGTTGATGCGACCTGAAAACTTCTGTACGATATATTCGTGTTGAGATCGTAATTTAAATTCCTCAATTGCGGATAACAATTAGGGACGTGGGCATCTGTATGCATTGTAGCTCCATTGCATGTACAATGTACCTTACAGCTGGTGTTGTAGATTCTGTAGATATTGCAAATGCTGTAGAAGTGTAGATTCCGTGGTTGCAGTGCATTTAGTAAACAAAAAAATTGTGCCAAAACTTCTGAGTAGTGAGCAAAAAAAAACCGCGAATTGCTCAGGCATTTTGGAAACCATGTGACGAGGCATACATTTCTCCAATTAACCATTGAATATTTTTATTCAATGATATGACTCTGAAACCAAGGGCTATTCGTTGCATTGGAAGACTTCCTTCGGCCAGGATGAAAAAATCCAAGATAAGATTCGGGACACTATCCACAAGAACAGGATAGAGGCAAGGACAGTCTGTACTTTAAAAATTTTAATCTTATAGATAACTAATCATTTTAAAATAGGTACATCTATCTATGTACTTGTACTCAGATACGAATCAGAATAACTTCATGGCGATTACGGTTGCTAGACTGATCATTAAAAAAGATGGTAAAATATTCATCGACGAGTTACAGTCGTTAACATTACACGTAGAACACTTTGCATAAATGTCACAAACAGTAGGTGCACCACATGCTCTCCTGAACACGGCTCCTAAAATAAGAAACATTACACCGTGCCCGTGGTTATTCCAGCTAACCTGTTTCTGGATGAAAAATTTGAAAGCAAACATCTTCCATCATGTGGCATTCAATCTTTTCGGTCGTGTTGCCTTTACAATCCAACAAGTCCTTGCAGAGCAAGCAACTTAGGCATGATCCTGTATGACAACGTAATTAGAGAGTATCTAACGGAAAGGGCTCATACCTGTTCCTACTATGAATAATAAGAGACCTACGGGAAGTAGAGGTCGTAAATGCATGATGCTAACAGTTGGCGATCTATCTCATGGACTAATCAAGTAGGATAGAAGTATGTGTTTTTTCGATTATCTGTTAGGTAATGATAAGACTAAAATCGCGCTGATGGATTTTTCCCCCACCATCAGTTGAATTTCGTCAAGGGTTCACATACTCCCATTGCTGGTATACAACGCTCCCGAGTGTTAACACAGTCATCAATTAGGTTCCCTCGAGTGATTCCACATTTTAAATTTTAATACAGCCATCAATTGGACTTTTGTGCAACATTAACTTTCAGGGTGGGCCAAACGCATTAAAAACATATCGATTTGGATGGCACTATTAGATTGAAAAAAATCAAACGATCTCTGTGACCCAAACTAACTTTAACTTTATTCCCTCAAAAAAACGATACGTTAAATTAACTAAATTAACTAAAGATACAGTTTTCCGACCGCAAGGACATTGATGAATAATCAACACAAAAGTCAAGCATGCTCTTCTGGCACGGATGAATCTGGAATCAATTTGATTTGGCACCCTTCAGTTTAGTCTTCAAATTCAAAATAATATACACTTTGTCCAAGATAGGGGTATCTATCGTGGAAATCTCGGAAACCATAAATGATACGACTATGGTCACATTAGGGAAAAGTTGCGCAATTTAAAGAGTTATTATTACGGTGTAAAGTAAACCAGAAAAATTTCCGATTATTTCCGAAGATATCCCAGAAAAATCGTCTTCGAAAATCGTATACAATGCTATTATACAGACTTTTATGACCGACGCCGACGGATCAAAAAAAGAGGAATCAGGTATCGTGTTATTGGAGAATTGCGTCTTTACCGACATAGCTTTATGTAGGTATATTAAGAGCATTTAGGGCAGTACTACTCAGTGCTCAGGTGACTCACTGACAATGCGCTTCCTGGGCTGCTGGGTATTCTTTATTGTCTACTGTTAAAAATTCAGTTTTTTAGTTGAGTACGTTCATTCACGACTAAATCTTTAATAATTTTTTTACAGTGGTTCTTGCGCGCATTTGTCGCTGTTTTAAACCTTCAGGGTTAAAATCGTCAAAATCTGAAAAGAAAACGGAAGTTCCAGCCCTTTGAATTTTCTTTCGATCGAAAAAGTACGAATTGTTTTGGATTCTACGCACCAAAATTAATAAGAAAAAGTGTTTTCCCGAGAAATTTTGGTGCAGTCGATTTTTGGTAAAAAAAGAAGGTTATACACTGCCTTTTTTTGAGCCCCGAAAAAAAAATTGTCTCAGATCGACCCGGAAAAAAATTTTCTTATAGAATGTGGCCCGTAGAATCCATAATTTCAAACAGTTCCAAGATTGGGCTACTAGTTCAAAAGTTACAGCCCTTTGAATTTTCTTTCGAAATTGGTTTCTAGTCCATAACTTTTGATTGAGAAATCCGATCGAAAAAGTACGAATTGTTTTGGATTCTACGCACCAAAATTAATAAGAAAAAGTGTTTTCCCGAGAAATTTTGGTGCAGTCGATTTTTGGTAAAAAAAGAAGGTTATACACTGCCTTTTTTTGAGCCCCGAAAAAAAAATTGTCTCAGATCGACCCGGAAAAAAATTTTCTTATAGAATGTGGCCCGTAGAATCCATAATTTCAAACAGTTCCAAGATTGGGCTACTAGTTCAAAAGTTACAGCCCTTTGAATTTTCTTTCGAAATTGGTTTCTAGTCCATAACTTTTGATTGAGAAATCCGATCGAAAAAGTACGAATTGTTTTGGATTCTACGCACCAAAATTAATAAGAAAAAGTGTTTTCCCGAGAAATTTTGGTGCAGTCGATTTTTGGTAAACTGGTCCTTCAGGGTTAAAATCGTCAAAATCTGAAAAGAAAACGAAAATTCCTCGGTTTTTAGTATATTTGACTATGTTGCGTTCGCCGCACGAGGTCGAAAACTTGAATTATACATTGGGTTAACAACATAAGCGATCCCACAAAAAACAGAACTACCGGATTTGACGCTTGGTACCCCCCATTTTTAGAAACAAAGTTACTGGACTATATGGCTATAGCGAATATAGTGAAATTATTATTATTATTATTATCCCTCTCTTGTTTTGGGCCCTCAACAGGCATGCGCCCAATTACAGAGTGACCCGCATAATGCTATTTAGAGGTGCCTCTGCAGAAGGTCTTAAGATGGTCTATACTACTCCGGTATTTACCTTACGAATTAGGAAAACTGCAGGAAAACCTAATTCGGAGTAGCTGGTAGAATGCTCGGAACTGGCCTAAGGTTAATTTCCATCTCCGCCACAGATGAAAAATTCACCTCAACCCAGGTTCGAACACCCGACCTTCGGATTTATAACCCAATGCTCTTACCACTGAGCCATAAATCCGAAATTCACGCAATTCAAGTGCTGAGAGCGCAATAGCAAATTAACCGACTGACTAGGCCAAATCAGGTGAGCAGTTTCCTTTCTTTTATAGCACCTCCACCAGCACTTGCATTTTCTTTTACTCATCGGTAGGAAATTAAAAGAATGGCTTTATAAATACTGGATAGTTCAAGACACAGGTTTCTTGGGAGAACGAAGATGCAAGTGGGATGCTTCTTGAATACAACCATGCATATTAACCTTGAAGGTAGGTAAGTATGTAAAATATGCTTCATGATTACGGTACAGGAACCAAACTAGGACATGCTAACGCTTATGCTAAACAGGTGATATAGACAAAGTTATTAAATTATGGTATGTTATACAGATAACAAGTCACATTGCTACATACGTTTCGATTATTGCGATATTAATTTGCCCTTGTATACCTGGGGAAATTTATGAAAAGTGAGAGATCCTAGAGCCGGCATTTATCGACTTGTTTAACAAGAATGCAATGCTCGAGGTAAAATTTTCCCTTATTCCATATTCTAGGAGGCACTTACCTCAACATGTTGCAGTTGCTTAGTTGTTTTAGATTTATTCAGCTTATGGAAGACTATTTTAAGAACTTTATGGGGGGTTCCGAGATTAACGGAAACATGTAAATTCGCCTTCATTCTTATAACCTTGCAAATAGTGTGTACACGTATATCATGTGTACCTAATGATAAGGTGTATCATCCCATTTTTTATTCCCCTGTTATAATAAACTGTAATACAAGAGATTACTTCTGTCAGTTGCAATTGTGAGATAGCTACGTTAGCAATAATGGTGTCTTTACGTTTTCACTTGATATTGCTGTTTGTTGTATTATTCGCAGTATGGCAAATTGGTAAACCGTCGACTACACTTTCCTTTAGTTTAGATTAATTTCTATCCATTTATTTTAGTTGATTCTTTACAATGCTACAAGTGTGAATCTGAATGTGCAGGAAAGAATGAAACGACCAACTGTACCGAGGATCAAACCCTATGCATGGTTATAAAAAACGATAGCGGTAAAACCCTTAAGATTTACTGAGACACTCACCATTTCTTTTTACTAATTATAGGGGCTATTCAAAAACAGTCGTGTGCTAAAAATGACGAGTGTGGCAATACAACAGGGTGTACTACCTGCGACAAGGATTTGTGCAACTTCTCGCCATCCTTTGGGCCATCTCTTTACATAATTGGAATTGCAACCATGTTAGTGGTCAGCATGTTTACAAATTAGTTTTTAGACTATAACAATTTACACGTTGTATTATTATCTATAATGTAGATGCTGTGTTCGTAATTAATTAAATATTTTTCCGTTCAACAGTCGGCAACGTCCGTAGTTAATATTTGCAATCAACTTAGATAAAGCTATCTTATCTTCCTTTGAGAATTTCCATGAAAACAAACTAATTGGAATAGCAACGTGATAATCGACTTGAATCCACATGGTTCGATTTACGTCATTGGTACCAATTAAGACACCCTCAAAAAGGCACCTAGCGTTTTTTTGCTGAGTAATAATGAGGAATCTAATGTGAATTAATAGAGATAATGGTAAAGGCGCAGAGCTTGAATTTTTACCAAATAATTAGTTCGAATTTTGATATTTTCTTGGAAAATGTGCCGCTAATTTTACGTAACCTATATGGTTTCTAATTAATTTCCATGACTGTAAATATTCTTCCAATATCTGGGATTTGCGGTAGCAATGCAAAATAGCAAGCATTCCAGCTTGGGAAAGCACTACAAATGATTGCTTCCTTTTTTGGTGATGTGCGAAAATATTTACAAAAACGTTCAAAACACGAGAGAAGACTTTTGTTAGTATTTCCGGCAACTAACCTATTCAGCCATGACTCGAACTAATGTACACAAGAAAGTGGGATTATCCTATCTCTGCTTCTTCAAAAAACTTGATAAATAGTAGGATTTTTCCTAGTTTGCGCGCAAGTCGTTGATGTATTATGACGTCATCACTAAGTATGTTGACATAGTATCAGTATCATGCGCAATCAATGGAAGAGAATACGTATGTAGGCAGCTATATAGACAGTGCTGCATTGTGCGTAGGATATAGGTACCCATTACATTAACAACTTCTACTGACCCAATGGTAAAAAAATTTCGGTGGTTATTTGTAACATGTTACCTATGTCACGATGTTTTACAAGACATTATTATTTAGACGTAATAACGACGCCCGCAGTACTTAGCATCAGAAGTTGAGAAGCGACTGCAATCTTGACTTACCCCATACTCACCAGCAGAGCCACCTTTACTTTCGTGCCAAACGTCTCGCGGCACTTTCGAATCTGGGTAGCAGTAGCAGAAAGGAAATTGAATAAAAGCTCATAATTTTGTGCGTATGAAAAGACGAAAATATCTTAAATATATTATGCACACAACCAGGCCACATCAGGGAAACCTTCTTCTGGACAAAAACCATGGCATAGCATAGCCCACGCAGATACACGAACAAAATTAACAAAGACAATAAAAGAAAATCCACAAAACATTCAAATTGTGTAACAATAGAAATCACCTCACGAATTGCAACATTCTAGGAACGCCATATTTTTTTCTAAAAACATCAACGTGCATCGTTTCAGCTGGTGTGGAACCTCGCAAGAGCAATACACTTTCGACAAAGTTATTCCCCGATCTTGCTGTTTTCGTCCTGGTAAAAATCAAAATGGAAGACGCATTCCTTTCGGATTTCTCCGTTCACTGACCATTTTGATGACTTCAAACCTTGAGGTTGATATCTGAATAAACCGGAAAACATGAATCTGAATCATCAGTTACAAAAACATTCTTCACATGAATCATCTTCCAAATTAATTATTATTATTAATGGAGCTACATCTTCTCGATTAAACTTCGCACTTCCCTGTATAACCAATCTAAAATAATTTCTGCGATATGCTCTACAGTGCACATATCAGGTGGAACTGCATAAATGGATTGTTTCCATATATCTAAGCAATTTAAATTTCTCTGCCATAACCTTTCTCGCCAATGTGTCGGATATAATGTTGTTTGCAAATTCCCCATATTCCCCAACCGTAGTACGAATGTTCATTTTCTAATGCTATTTCATAAGCAACGGAATCGTTTTTAAGGTTTGCAACAATCTCCATCAATTCTACTTTTCATGCATCATTTGGAAATTCAACATTTTTATTCTGCACAGTACTGTAGGAGGTACTGTCAATCTTTTTCTTGTTAGAAAAATTAAAATTAGGTTCCATTTGACACACAGACGCTTACTTTATTACTTGTTCAATATTTAACTTTTCTCCCACAATAGAATAGTGCTTTATCTTCCCTCTAACAGCATTGCTGTGGTCCGACACTTTCCTTGCCCTATGCATCTACTCCCTTCTCAAAGTATTCACATTGGAGTTTTCACTGTCATCGCCACATACTCCCTTTGCTTGTTGTCTCCTATCTTCTTCAAAAATTTCATGAAAATTGCAATGAAATTGGAGTGCCGGTTACTATTTGGGGTAATGTGGTAGGTTACGAAATGAGACCGGCAGATAAAGCGGTGAGTGGCCTGAATCTTTGTGTACACCTTTTATTAGTGCCTTAATTATCGACTATCGGAAATATCTGTATTAATCGCACCAGATAAAATGTTTCATTTGCCTATTATATGCCAATAATATCTGTCATATGGGAACTATACAGCAATCTATGACGCCTGAGGGCATAATGAGATAGCATAATGGATTGTCATCTCATTATGTCCTCAAACGGCCTGTCAAACATATTGATGGAGTTATATTATGTAATAAAGAAAGATGCTACTTACTTGATTCGTACCAAGCACTTTAATGTTGGGCAAACAAAGATTTGTATATTATTTGGAATTAGGAAAACTAAAATTTTGTATGCGCCTCAGGCATTACTCGATATTTACCCCCGGCGACTTACAATCCCTCGGGCCTGGAGCTCTCGGGCTCTGTCGTCCTCGGTATAAATATCGCTTTAATGCCCTTAATATACACATAACAGCTATATTATAAGGCTCAAAAGACACGGTTCTTAGCAAATATCTCGCTTGCAATTTTCCTAAGTTCAAATAAAAAATCTTGCGTTAAAAATTACAATTAAATATTTTATTTACGCTTCATACGAAGCTATTACAACAAAATGTATTTGACGTCGCACAATAAAATAGTAATATTTGCGGAAACCCGATCTTCGTGACTTTGTAGTATTATCACAGACAACATAGTATATGTTGTCTGTGGTATTATTAAACTTTCAGCGAGCGTGATATTTCCTCCTAAAAACTGCAATAGGCATGAGTATCTGTATTCATTCATTCAATCCAGTAAGTCGGCAGTGTGGTATGCAACAAATATCCACTTCTCTCTTGCAAGGGATAATTTTATTGCTTTGATTAATTTATGCTTAAAGGGTGTATCAGCGACCCTGTATATGCATTAATACAAAATTTCTTCTCCTGTTCGATTTTAAATTACATATTTTGCAGTGTATATTCTTCCGTACTATACCGCTACAAAAGCACAAAAGAGGTGGCTCTTCTGTAGCGCAACACATTTTTTTAATTTTCATTGGTTAATTATGCATAAAAGGTGGATCAGTAACCCTGTATACAAGAATATAAGAATTAAATCCCTACCCAATTTTAAGTTCCCTTGTCCCTCTCAATGCAAGAAGTCTTCCTTCTGTTGTGCATCAAAGCAACTCTGTATAAGCGACACCTTTTTGGAGAGACTGAGTTCGTAGTTGCCAGACTACCCGAGACTCGCAGCAGATCCTGCAGAACTTTCGACATCTTCTTCGCATCGATGTTTGAACGATTTTTAGCGACCTGCTTTGCGCGTGCCACGTTTCTGGAAGACGACGTTTCTCTTATTCGTCCCCAATCTATTTAAGAGAACCAGTAAGTCGCCATCCTCTAAAATTATCAGGGCGTTTTGAAAGGAAGAGTGCTGTTTTTACGATGGTAGTCTGCATCCTCTTAGCTTGTCTTGTTTCTATACCCTTTTTTTTTCGAAACGGGAACGGAAGAACGCCGCTTGTTGCTTTCATTTGTCAGAAACTTCTCCTGGGACACCACTATTTGTGTAGATCTTTCAAAAATAATGTCACTCCATGACAAGGTAGCACATTATTTACGAAAAATTGAAAAAAGTCAAGGTTTTTCGACCACTCGGCTAGCAGAGATCTTTGGAAGTTGAAAGATTGGTTTTACACTACTATCATACATCCTAACAACACAAAAAAAATCAGATTTGTTTCATTTTTTGCGATATTTGATTTTGTTTGTCTTATTTGAGTGGCCTAGGGATGTAAGGTTTGATATAAAAAAAACTGCGATTGTTTCTCCTCACTTTAATATTGCTTCATCCACAAGAAATCTGCATAGTTCTAAGTTCACCTGTTACTTGGAAATGGTCCCAAACTGTTTGGATGTCATAGTGTAACCAATTCACTTCATGACCAATTCAAGGTGAGCGCAATATTTTGAAAAAAGGCGTAACCTACCCTCACGTGCAGATCAGCGTTGGGTTGGCAGCCCGTCTTGATTAATTTTATACAAATTCGCAGTTTCTTTTCATAAAAGCAAGAAATTGGGAAATTAAGGTTATCACTTAGACCCGTGTATCACTCGTTTAATTGCGGAATGGATAAACTATTTGTCAATCAAATTTCGCCCTAAATGGCTCATACAGGTAAATAATATAGCATATAGCAAAAAAAAAGGGTGGGTACTGTGAACACAATTCGATTTATTAGGTGTAAACTGTAATAGTAGTTGGTAGGAATCTATTTTTAAAAAATCTAATCTAGGATGACGCTTACTGAAAGGCGAAATCCCCACCATTTCTGGATGTTTGTGAAAATATCCATTCCATTCGATTCGTTAGCTAACGCCTAACGCTTAATATAACAGTAGAATCTCACCAGTCGTGTCTTTAACGCTTACTCTTTCGTAATTACCAAACTAGCAAAGATGAATCCCAGTGTTATTTGTGGAATTTTGTCGTTCTTCTGCGTAGTCCAATTGGGTAAGAATATTAGTTATATCATACCATTTTATTATAATTTGTTGATTTCGTCACTGAATTTATCACGGAAGGTTAACCAACAATTTGGCAGTAGAATGAGTTTATTTATATTTCCTTCATCAGACGCCATAAATAAATTTGAATTTTTTGTTAGTTGACCCAGATTGTGATATTTCCCAAATTTGTGTGCCCTGACTCTATTTAACCACCTAAACTTGAAAACTAAAGTTTGGATTTGTGCAAAATTTTTTTAATTAAGAACCAATACGTACTTTAAGAAACATCCCTTACGTAGGCAGTCAATAACCATGCCTTTATAGAGATAAAAATCGATGAAACGCAGTCTTGTCGTCACCAGGATGGCGCGTTCTATTACGAAATGTTACGCCTGAATTTTTTAATTAACCGGCTTTTGTGTGCGTATATCCTATTTATATCTCAATGGCAGGCCCATTAGAATTATTAATTTGCATTTAACTATCTTTGTGTGTTTAAAGAGCGATTTAACAATTACAATTTTTGCCATTGGTTCTGTCCATTAGAGCTTGAAAAAAATAAAACTGTAATAAGCGTTAATTTGTTTTAATTATAAAACGTGACTGTACACTGGAGACGAAAAAGCTCTTCTGGATACTTTACGGAGTCTATGGCTAAACTTATCAAGGTGAAACTGCTAGAAATACTTAATTAAGGAAGGCATTTTATCTAATAACCTTATAAATGTTAGGAATTTTAATCGTCCCACTGGGTGATCCATGGCTGACCCTGATGTGACGTGGGTATTTACTATTATATCATGGGGAAATGATAGACCGCCTTGTACTTCAAACACGTAGCTTAATAGCAATTATAAGTACAAGGATAACAACTACCTCATTAGAAAAATGATTTATTTATTTCGGAGGCCTCTTTAAGGTGCACTGCAATTGATTACATAATGATCGCGTGCTAATATTTCAGGTTACACAAAACAGTGTTATTCATGCGCCGGTACCCCCATCGACATGCCCCACATCCCGAATTTGCCACCCCAAATTAAGGTCATGAGCAAGGCTTGTTCTGACCCAATTAAAATCAACGAACTGTCCAATGCCAAAGTAAACTGCGACGATGGAATCTCCCAATGCACGAAAATGGAGATGAAAGTGGGCGATAGTAAGTGTTAACAATTATTGGGCGTAATTTTATAAATCGTGTTAATTGCAGTTGAGATTGTGATGCGTGGATGTCTTCCTCCTGAAGGATGTGCTGTCTTCAAGGATTGCCACACCTGCACTGGAGACCTTTGTAATTCGTCGGCTGTTATTCTACCATCACTCTTGTTTGTTACCTTTGTTAGTTTATTAGTTGCGAAAGTGAACTGGTAATTCTTATTATTATTAAGTCTTTATGTAGGTACTTAAACCTTGCTTTTTTTGTTAAATGTACATCACTAGCGTTCATGATGTTTTAATATATAAGAAGCATTATTCATATACCATTGTGAGATCTAGTCGCTTACAGTTTTACCATATTTTCGGGAGAGCTTTTATGTAATTAAGTGAACTTGACGTTGCCATTTTAAATGTGCCTTCACAGTGCGGTGTCTTAAACTTTTTTTGTATATACATAAGTAATAGTTTGTACAGTAATTTGTATACACTTTCATATTCCAGTATCTTGTAGTTTCATATTTAACTACTACAAATAAACGGGTGTCTACATTAGAAACATTAAAATCTGTGTATAATTTTACGTAATGGGATAAATAATAAATGTTTTGTAAGATGTGTTTGATATGATGATGGATCGTCAAGGTGTGCCTCTGTATCGATTCATTTATTCCCCTTCCCCCACTTACGCAAGAACATTTACTCCCATTGATGCAATCACGGTTATTAATAATAATCTTTGATACAAGAAGTTAGTATACGAGAAAAATTCGTTGGTAAACAAAAGTTCCAACAGCAGGGCCACCCAATTTTGTTGCATTTGAAGGAAACACTGTGCTAATTGCTAAAGCCTGTTCTAGTAATTTCATTATCGTAGGACTTCCGCAATTTATCTACCCACACTTTGTTGTTTTAAATGGAATAGCCCACTTTTTATCGATTTTGTTTAAATATGCCAAAGCCGGACTAAAAAGATTAACAGGGCGCATTTTCCTTGAAGTCCCCGCCTTAGAAACGGGCGCATATGATCTGCAGTATGAGTGAATATAGCTGTAGGTTTATCAAAGTAAAATATGTGATCAATCAGAAATCCAGCCCCCCCCCGAATGAATTCTTATTACCGTGGGCATCAACATTTCTACTGTGAAAATTCAAACATTAAACTTATTTTACCCAAACTCGTCAGGAAACCTTCATGTTCATGCCTGCTTTATGCATTGAACAAAAATACTACATTCGACGCTTTATGTCAGTAAATTTTAGTTTCCTAACAGAAGCAGATCAGACTACGTTTCCTGCCGCCTCGCACTTTACCGACCGCACCTGTCACTTTATCGGCCGCACCTGTCATACTGATAATAGTTATTTGTGTACCAAGGCCGTAAAAGTGACCTTTTTTGGCCGAAGCTGCAGTTCTGCAATTGCAATTCAGATGAGGCCTAATAAATCACTTTTGGCCAAGGTGCACACAACATTTTTTAGGCGATCATCAAAAAAGAATTCAAAAATTTGTTCATAAACATATTTTTTCTGAAAATCATAGTTATCTTAGACAATTAAATGTCGTATGTAATTATAATTAGCATCTTTGCGTGTGTTTTGTGCGTATCAAAATGGGTGATAGCGACAGTTCAGATACCCCAAATGAAATTTTGAAAGCTGCAAGCGTTGCGACCCTAAGTCATATATGATATAAGAGCTGGCGTTTGAGAGTAAAAGTACAATCGCACAAGATTTTAATAATGTCAAATGCAATATTCGTAACTGCGGCCTCCAAGACCTTATAATTAACATGCTGTACAATTATTAGAAACCTGATTGATTACCTACTCTTTGATGGTAGGTATAGGTAGCTACTTGTGTTCTCGGTTAATTGCTGGTGATTCTTCGTATAATAATGTAAGCAATAACATCTTCCTCATGTTTTTGTTCTACACTTCAAAAAGGTCTGCAAGCAGCAAAGATTGAAACGTCAAACTATAATTTTAAATGTGAACATTGTGATTATGCAAAATAGTGTGAAACATTCCTATAGGTACAAGTCCGAAAATGAAAAAAACGAACGTGGATGGCCTAATCCTTGATGGGACTAGACCAGATAGACGCTTTGTATCAAACAGATTACTGTTTCTCACACATCAGTTTCAAATAAGTACAGTTTGACAGATGTGTACAATAATAAAGTAACGTTTGACAGAAGCGTACAATAAAGTGAGACTTTATGGCCGCAAAAGCCACCACAAAATCAACGTTTTTATGATGATAGCCTAAAAATATCTATAATGACTCATGTCATCACTGACAGATTGGCTTTAATCAAAAGTTGTATGTAATAATTGAAATTTTATATCAAGATACGATTTCGGGTCAAATTTAATACAAAACTCGAAACCACGTTCGTAACTACCCGAAACCAGACTGTGATTGATCTCAGTCTAGCATCATCGAGTACCTCTGACCACATTACGAACTGGTAACACTCCACAAACGACTACGCCAGATCATAAATGGTGAGCAGAGAAATAAAAGATGGTGTGATACAAAACGTTCTTCGGGGATCTTATGATCTCCTCGGGTATTGGTTGTCGATGTAAAACAAATCGAGCACCCATTATAATCTTGTACGTTTATATCTGATTTGATTGAATGTGTTGATTTAGAAACAATTTTTACAATACTGTGACAGATGATTCGCGAGGAAGCAAAGAGGAACCTATGACTTGAAACAATTGTTGCAATGTAAATTTACTTATGGCCCATTTTAAATAACTCACCTCCTTTAAAAAACATCCTGTATGTGGCTTAACTGCACCACGGCGTAACGAATGTCGTATGAGACTGCACTGCGGACCTGCTGAATATCAGAGCAGTGCAAATCAGCATTGGCGACGAAATACTAAGGTGCACAGTAGTGAGAGGATGCCATCACCAGTTGTGTGGATCTTAACTGCAAACAGCCGTAAATGTCAATTAATTGTCAAAGTCGGCCATATTGAGAAGCCTAATTGGGCCCCAACAAGCGTACGTTATATGTATGTAATCCTCCTTCCCTTAGTATTTTATTTCAATGATGTAGACTGGTCCAGCTCTTAGAATCACAGAAGAATAGTGTATAGGGAACACTCCTTATTTTCTTATCCATAACATTAAAAAACTATTACAATCTCCAATGACAGCAGGGCTGCCCTGCAGAGACTTAGTCACTGTAAAATTACCTTGGCGAGGACACAAAAGCGCAGTAGCGTCGTCTTGTGAAGCGAAAAGAAATGATTATTGTGTAGATCGAATGAAACAGCACGGGAAACGCTGTACTAAACGTATGTAGTGTAGACGGTAGCTAGTAAAAAGATAACCTCGTACAACAAAATCACATCATGACGAGCCTTTTGTATTTACTCAGAGACTTGCTATAACTATTTACTGCATTCGGAAAAATTCAAACTTATCTGTATCGCCCCTCAATGATCGCAATACTTCAAATAATCTCATAAATAATATATTAGCATTAAGAAAATTATAATTAAACATAGACCGCATGAGAATCCGTAACTAGACGAATAACCCCATTCTTCATTTGCGACTTGGACACGTCCCAAAAGAATTTTCCGTGTCCAAGCCAAGTGATAACTTAAGTCGACCACAATGGTTGGTTCATCGTCATTTGCGATGTAAGATACTATTCCCTGGATTCGTCCATTGCATATTGAAGGAAAACCGATACTTTTGTTCCTAATCGCCTGAAAAATTTCGTCAGCAAAACCTCGTTAGGCCACATGCTCCGCACCTTATTGTTACCAATAGGTTCTGTTACACTTACACAGTAATTCTCTTTGTGTAGATGAGATATCAGGGGTTTATTTAATGCACGCAATTCATCAAAGCAACTTTGATAATTGGCGGAGTATGATCTTGCTGCGATTGCAACAATCTTGTCTACATCGTCGTCAGTGTTTCGAATCTTTCGAAGAATGCACCGTAGTGCTATACATTCAGTGTTTTCATTCAAGGGGCGGCGTGGAAGGGTAGCAGGTTGTACGGTGTCAGTCATCCGAAAGGGATGATCTACCTACAAATGGTCAAACAAATCTCACGAATCTTGCTCAGTTGTCTACTTACCATAATCAATGCAATGCTACATTCATCCCTCACTTTGCAGTCGGTAGGCGTGTGGATCTCATATATCATTCGTCGCTGGCCTTCGCCACTTATCTGAATGTATTCTGCGCCAGCGTATATTAAGTAGTTTTTTATGTTGAGATCGTCGACGAAGCAATTCCACGCTGTCAACGTCCAAAGGGGGTGAATTAAAATGCCCCCACACATAAACTCCGCTTCATTCTCAGTTGTGTTTTTAAATTTGATAAGCGCCGTCAGAAAATTGAATTCGTACAATGAAATCACTGGAACATCTGGAACAGATCGTATGTATCGTGCGGAGTAGCCTAATGTGTCGGCTACCGTATAGCGCTATTGCAAAACCACAGCGAAGAAACGACGAAAGTGACAGAAATAGCAATGACATTGCCTCGGTAGATTTCCACAATGTCATTGGCCGTTTTCACCAGGCGTTAACGTTTTCACGATCACGCTTCCCACATGTTCTCTTCTAACACCGAAGCATTCTTTTAAATTAGAATCTGCCTAGGTCGTTGCACTTCAAATTTGAAGCTTAACGTCAAAAGTTACGCTATGCCTACCCCGCTCCTTGTGTGTAGTCGACGACATGCGCTTATATTGTGTACAGTGTTTCAAAATTCGGACTACTATTACATCAATCACTTTTTCTCGCAATACTGGAGGATATAAGTTGGATTTTTATGATTACGTGAATTGACTGTCATGTGCTTAACCATGCTGTTACTTACGACGTATGTTCTAGATTTCGAAGTTGAATAGCCTTCTTATTAATTAGAGGGGCAAGTACATGTGATTAACATTTAGGGCTCAAGTTCAAGGTTACTCTCAAGTTGTGAGAATTTTTCATTTACCCAGTCAGGATAGACTAATTATGTGTCGATGGTCGACTTGTCTTAGACCGAAAAATGAATATTTCTAAAAGATTATAGCCTGAAGCGCTAGTATAGGTGGTAACTATTACACTTTGGACATGTTATGTGGTACATAATGGACACACTACTCAAAAATATAGTAAGGGCTATAGTCTTGTTTTTAAAATTGATAGAAGGTCGACATGAAATGTATATTTCTGAAAGGGTATAGCCAAAATAAGAACAATAAATTACACTACTCAAAAAAGGGCTAACTGTGCGCTGTACAAAAATAATCCCCACACTTTGAAGAAACTGCAGGTAACAATTACAATTTTTTCCTTCCTTGGATTGGTCTTATTTCACGCCTACTCACTTTAACCCTTAAATCTATTGTGCGTATCTCAGTGTTTTACTCCGAGAGAGGCAGAATTGAGATTTAGATTCTTAAACTTTGGTAAGAAAATCAAAGAAAATGTTTAGCCGATTCAATTTTTTAATCTGTAAATCGGTTTCAACTCCAATTTTCAGATCAGGGTGTCCACATTTCAATACAGACAAACTATCGAAACTCCATACATCTAATCCTTGCCACAAGGCTAAGAATTGCGATACATAGGTTGAACAGATTCGATGAAGTTTGTTTGAAATTCATGTGGGCACCTTTAAACTACAATATGCGATATCCGCAAATAATATATAGTCTCTAATTTTATTTAAGTTTCAACAATTAATGTTACTGTCAGCAACAAAACTTTTAGTAAAGCCATGATAGTTGTTTGGAACGACACGTTAGAAGAAGAACTACATTCAATTTTGGGGTGAAACGTGAAGTCGTATAAAAGTGCGTCTTATTGGAAATAAAAATTAACGTTTCTGGGGATCTCAATGTATACAGCGTGCCTTCTCGAATTCCCACAATCCAAACTTTCGCTTTTAAGTTTTTTAACATTAAAATCGCTGTCTATAAAATCAATCACTTATACACCGATGAGAAGCGTATAATTGTTTATATTACGCCCAATTAAACAGAGTGCGTTTCCTTGTAAAATCTTTCCGTAAATAATTAAAGCTTAAGCAGACAACATAAATAAATTGCATTAGGGTAAATAGTAAACGACAAATATAAGGTTAATGCATTCAAATACATCATAAATTGTATTTTCAAGTGGCTGCTATAACTTTATTATAGGTACGTCGTAAATTCTCTAAATGGTAACAGGGTGTTAATATATAAATACTAGAAATGTTGTAAAAAGCTGTTAAATTTAATAATTCATATTTTTGTTCCAGTGAAATATTCTGAATATACATACACTGGACAGCATTTATTTGAATAAATCCTTGTTTTGGTGTAGATTAATACACTCCATTAATATTCGACAAATCAACTTAGTGATTGTTTCAAATTCGAACTAATCAGATGATTTTTTAAGTGATTAAAAGCTAGGTTAGCTTTTTATCAGCGATTAAAATGCGTGTAGGAATGCCTAAAATAAAATATAGTGGTTGTGAAATTTGCTAGTTGTATTAATCTCCCTAAAATACGCTCGAGAATTTTTTGGGATTAGTTAGTTAGATTTTGAAGTGAATCTGGATTGAGATTGGTTTTGACAACATATTTTCGTAAATATCGCGTTGGGATTGTAATTACTTCTTAATCAAGATTTTGCACTCATACTAAATTCAAAGATTCAAATAAAAAAGGGAGCCGTGTCTGAATCAGTGTTTCCTTCAATAATTGATCTTGCTTTCACTTGGGAATTATTTTGTAAAAATTCAGATAAGGAAGTGAAAGCCCATGTAATAGGCCAGTCCATTTCACTGTACCCACTCCCCGAATCATGAAATCATGAAAAGTGTTTTTAAGCAAAATCTACGGTTCCGGAGGCGTTTAAACAGGTTTCCAGCTATTTTCAGATTTTTCAAGATTCTCTCACTGTACCAAACAGGGGCGGACTGACACGGGAGGGCGGGTGGCGGTTGCTACCTGGCCTGTAGATCATAATGGCCCGTTGGAAATTTATAACTATGTGCTGTATTTAGTTTCTTGCACTATTAATAAATTATTAACACGTTTCTCTAATTGGGGTTGATGTTAGGTTGTTAAAAAATTAAAAAATTCTGTTTTAATTGAAGTGTTTTACAATGAATTTATCATTTTTTGTCGTAGCATGAAAGTGCTGAAATACAATGATAGGCGACGCACCTCGTGTGGATTGTATATTTTGTTACTTTTAATTATCAGCTGCAATTTAAAAAAAAACTGTATGGTAATTTTCTATAAGAAAACTTTTTTTCCGGGTCGATCTGAGACAATTTTTTCTTCGGGGCTCAAAAAAAGGCAAAAATTCTCGGGAAAACACTTTTTCTTATTAATTTGGGTGCGTGGAATCCAAATCAATTCGTACTTTTTCCATCAGACTTCTCAATCAAAAGTTATAGACTAGAAAAGAAACCAATTTCGAAAGAAAATTCAAAAGGCTGTAACTTTTGAACTAGTAGCCCAATCTTGGAACTGTTTGAAATTATGGATTCTACAGGCCACATTCTATAAGCAAATTTTTTTCCGGGTCGATCTGAGACAATTTTTTTTTCGGGGCTCAAAAAAAGGCAGTGTATAACCTTCCTTTTTTACCAAAAATCGACTACACCAAAATTTCTCGGGAAAACACTTTTTCTTATTAATTTTGGTGCGTAGAATCCAAAACAATTCGTACTTTTTCGATCAGACTTCTCAATCAAATGTTATAGACTAGAAACCAATTTCGAAAGAAAATTCAAAGGGCTGTAACTTTTGAACTAGTAGCCCAATCTTGGAACTGTTTGAAATTATGGATTCTACAGGCCACATTCTATAAGAATATTTTTTTTCCGGGTCGATCTGAGACAATTTTTTTTTCGGGGGTCAAAGTTATTTACACGTTTCTCTAATTGGGGTTGATGTTAGGTTGTTAAAAAATTCTGTTTTAATTTTATTGAAGTGTTTTACAATGAATTTAGCATTTTTTGTCGTAGCATGAAAGTGCTGAAATACAGTGATAGGCGACGCACCTCGTGTGGATTGTATATTTTGTTACTTTTAATTATCAGCTGCAATTAAAAAAAAACTGTATGGTAATTGATTTTCGAGAAAGGAGTACTTTAAAATGTTTTTGTGGTGCACCTCAGAGCTACCCCCCCCCCCCGGCACCTTCATTACTACACTAATACTTTAATGGCCCGTAACCTATGCAATTCCACCTGGCCCTTAAGTACCCAGTCCGTCCCTGGTACCAAATGATTAGCTGTGGAAAGGTCGTAACTCGTAAGTTATTTCCAGTGTTTCTTAAGTGCTTTCTTATGCACTTAAAATGCTTTATAAAGCACCGAAATCTCCTGAACCTTCAAGGGCTTTATGTGACTGTACCTAGATTATATTTAACTTTACTTGCTCTTAGAAACTATAAGAGGTTTCATGAAGTTCTTTATATATGAATCGAATGCTTTAATTATAGTCTTTCATACGCCTTTCCATTTGAACATTATTGATTGGGATTATTAGGGAAACGTTGACAGAATTAAAGTGATTTTCACTACTAAACAAATGTATAAAGCAACATTTCTAATTTTCCTGGACAATTGAGGACTTCTGGAGTCTTCTGTGCCGTTTAGCCGAAGGCTTTCGGACGCGCGTCCAGTACAGGCTAAATTCTATGTGTCAGTTTTCGACGAACAACTGAGCCACTTGTTTTCTTTGCCTACACATAGGTAGGAGTGACCCATAAAGCTACCCCGATATAGACGTGCGGGGTACAAGAGAGAGTCTTCTGGATTCGAAGTCCTAATGTTAGAAGTATGGCTGGAGGAGGAAGAGAGTTGGCGGATCTAATGAGGAAAAGAAACATAAACATTCTACAATACAAAAGGAAAAAACTGCTAGGAAGGGGAGAAATTCCACTATCGTTTTTTTAAAATTAATTTTAATACAAGAAAATTGCTTTCCTTTAACATTTAGAATATGACATTCTACTTTTTCCTTTTTTTCTTTTAAGTCATATGGTAAAGAGTAGGTAATCCATTGATTACCAAGCAAAGACAACATTACTTAATTAGCTACAAAGATGAATACTTTCATCGATAAATTCTGCAATCAAAACAACCCACACTGGAAGGTCAAGCAGGTGCTGTTGGTTGTGCAGTGATGCAGATCATCTTCATTCCAAAATTTTCACTGGTGTTATCCAGGATTATGGCAAACGTGTATAATAAACTGCGAGTATTAGCAAGGCACTAAAGGTAATTTCTGCATGGTATGTTGATGCCCTTGCAGAATTGCACAAAAACGATGAACACGTTGTACAGTCCGTTTTGTTTATGCAGTGATTAGGCAATCCACAGTTTCTCGTCACGGCCGTAACTAAAAATTAGTTCGTTACTACGAAATTGCTACACACCCACTTACTGCCTGATCTAACGTCTTTTTGTACATAACAAACGGTTTCCGCACTCAGACAAATGGCTCTCGACACCTTGTTGCCTCGAAATCGTTTCGCACAGAACCCGACGGAAGAAGAAAAGCAATCATAGCACACGAGACCATTAACTGAAAACTCAACTACAGTTTTTTTCAAAGTAGAATGACGCAACTCACCAGAATAGAAGTAGTAAATTAATAAAAACCACGTCAATACAGAGACTTGCATTTTAAACCATTATTGACTACCTACGTCCACAATTCGTACTATAGTTTTTCATATTTACTTTAGCCGGCGATAATCGGCTATCGGTTAAACTGATAGTTTTAGCAAACCTTTGCTTTAGCAGTGAAAGCTCTGTGGAAAATTTTAGCTCCCAGCTATTTACTGATTGGGGAACTCAAGGTTTAAGATCGCGAGTACTTTGTGTATCATTTCACTGATAACCCAGTGTTCGACATTTTTAAATGTACCAATTGATACGCTTGACGACTGTTTGCATAACTACTCTGATAGCGACCTACCGTCACTTCTTCTATACTTAGTACGGGTAACAGGATTATCCTTGGAGAGGGGAGAATTTGATATGAAACGATACCAAATTTTACCTCAGTTATGAATCTTACGTTTAACCAGAATTAACTTCGGAGGCAATCCCCTAATGTATGGTGCATATTTGGAGGGTAAAGTTAAGGGGAAAGCGACGTAGGTTCTGGAATAAGCAGTCGTCGTACTCCCAGTATCCTGGAGAGAAAAGCTCTGCAGCATTGTTCCTGGCCACCATATGCATTCAATTTGACAACTGGTTTTTTATGTATGTAACGTATTGATACTCAGTTTTCATGAAGTGGGTGTTAACACAGCTACTCTGAAATAACTAGATTGTTCTTCGTGGGTGACATATGATGGTAATTCAAGTTGTCCCACACATTGACTTCTTCCAGTCAAAGTTTAATAATAAGGTAGGTACAGGACGTGTGCCCAAAGGACCTCGAGTATAGTGTTGCCGAACAAATGAGTTGACGACTCATTTAAAAGGCCCGGGAGATAGAAATTGCTGCGGAAAAGCTTTTCACGATAGAAATGTCGCTTCTCGGATACATCACTCGTTCAGTTCATTTGCTTTTAATAATTGTAAAAATAGCGATTCTAAGATAAATTCTTTAAAACAATATGCCTAAAGTGACCAAAAATGCAAGTAAAGCTTTAAATTGATATTTCAAACCTTTACTATTTATCATGCTTCTAATGATGTACACAATGTCCCGTTCCTATGCTTTTTTGTTAATTTTGCTTGCATTTCCTCCAAATAAAGTGTTACTTTAAAATTAAATTCATGGAAGGATTGGAGAACGTATTAAATTTAAATTTAAACAAGTTATAAATCAGCATCAAAATAGACTAGAGCCTGCACATCTACACTATAGCAGAAAGCTTTTAGTGAAAATTTGAAGTCTCTAGCTATTGTAATTGCCGAGATCTCAGCCGGACAGCCAGCCAGCGCACCATAACGAATATAATAGCGTATTTTCTTCAAAAATGCGCTAAAAATGCCCGATTGTGTAAAATTGTCGTTATCGGTCTAATATCATCTATGTGATCGTAATAATCATAGTATTTGATAAGAACAGTCACCTTTACAACCACTTCCACGAGGCAAGGCACACATTCATTCTTGCACGTCACCTTCTATAGTAAACAGGGGACCCAAAGATGAATTACAAAACAATCTATTTGTTTGTGACGTTGTTGGTAGCATGCTGTGTTCAAAATGGTGAGTCGATCAATGAAAGCCGTTAACAATACTGTCGACAAACGGAATTGTTACCAGGAGAGAATTTTAGGCTGGTCACTAAAGTGCTATACATGCTCATCACCTGAAGACTCGACGTGTGGACGTGAATTCAATTCCTCCAAGGTACCTGCTTTAGATTGCAAAGAGGGCAACAACGTGTGCATTAAGGTAACGCCTACAGTCGCAGGGGGTGAGTCTGTTATCAAAATAGTTGACGCACTACTCAAAAGTAATTTTCAGTGACTGCGGTTGCGAGGCTTTGCGGAATTAAAGAGGCGTGCGCGATTCTTGAATCCTGTGTTACTTGTGATTCAGATCTGTGCAACACATCTGCGTCTGTGAAATTCCAATTTTGGCTCCTGTCGTTAATCGGCGTAGTCTATTTTTATTTATAAAGTTTAGGTATGTAAGTACAGCATGCTCGAAATTGTAACTGTACACTTATGATTGTAATGGGGTAATAAAAGTTTCTCTGACTCCTGGCTGCTTCCCATGATTTAAGAAAATTGTTGTGTGTTGACCTTACATTTTTGTAATATGGTCTCAACAGGAGATATGAATGGTCAGCTTTCAAGAATTAGCGTTAAACTGGCCGCAGTTTTTGAAAGACAAAGTGTCATTTTACTTTGACGTTGAGATAATTATGGCTTTGGACTATTTTTTAATCTAATTTAGTGCAATGAACAACAATCCCCTCGTTCAAATTTAAACATTTGCATGCAATACTTGAAACTGATGTCTTAAAATGAACTTTCTGTCAAATATTACACCATCCCCCATAAAAACGCCTTTGTAGGTGTATCTTCATTAGCTGAAACTTTGCACCAAAATCTTGGGTAGGCGTACAATTTTCCTGGCTTCAAAAATCGATAAAGTTAATTAAATTCGAGGCCTTCAATTAAATCAGGAAATAAGTTCCTTTTGAATTAACTTATATCCATCTCTCCGTATAGGAATGCTACGATGTTATCGGATTAAAATTAAAAGTCTAGTATCGTCTATAGTACCTGTTATCAATAATATAAATAATGGTCGTAAATCTAGTGTTACCTATACATGCGGTTAACAAATGTTAAACAAACATTGTTCAGAAACTCAATTTGGAAAATGATCTATGCAATAGATGTGTATTACAGAAAATGACCATTAATATAATCTGCAGTTAGTAAGGACCTAAATGATGTCGTGGTTTTGTCCCTTTGTTTTTCTGGACTCCTGGACGGATGGTCCTTCCTAGCTAGGAAGTCCGTTCCTTTTAGTCCATCGAGGAACACTACTAAATTTATGAAAATGTATCGTACACGTCGATACTTCGACATGAGAAATCGATAATGTACTCGTATTATCAAATATCAAAAGGATTTTCGGAGAACTAAATTAAATAAAACGCTACCATGCGTGATACGAGTTGACGCCACCATTTCCGAATACGCGTCCGCTATTTATAGACGATTAACTCATTCTATCTACCGCAATGTAAATGTATAAACAATTCTCACTTATTCAAATGTTTGTTTCCACTTTCTTCGCAATTGAAACAGGAAACAGTACCTACAAGATAAAACTTTCATTAGGTTACAGTGGAGCAAAGTTACATAAATGTCAATTTACTGGAAGAAATCAGATTAAAATTGATAGAAAATTTTTTTTCCGGGTCGATCGATATAAACAGTCAAAAGAATTTGGAATAAAGGTAGACATGCATATTATTTATTTAGTTAGCATGCAGTAAGTCGTGCTAGGATCAAAAAAGATCAAGAAAGTCACTATACCTACAATCAGCCTGCTGCAAATTATCTACGTCCACGTCGTTCTACGTATAGAACCTTCCCCCAAACTTTTGCCGGTTGCAATGTAACAACGTGGGATTCTATTTCTAATCGTTTAGGATACGCGAACCCACGTAATAGATACGATAGATAATGATAGCTTAATTTGTAGATACACATTCTATAAGGAAAATTTTTTTTCCGGGTCCGGTAATTTTGGTGCATAGAATACAAAACAATTCGTACTTTTTCGATCAGACTTCTCAATCAAAAGTTATGGACTAGAACCCAATTTCGAAAGAAAATTCAAAGGGCTGTAACTTTTGATCTAGTAGCCCAATCTTCAAACTGTTTGAAATTATGGATTCTACGGGCCACATTCTTTAAGAAATTTTTTTCTTCGGGTCGATCTGAGACAATTTTTTTTCGGGCCTCAAAAAAAGGCAGTGTATAACCTTCCTTTTTTAACAAAAATCGACTGCACCAAAATTTCTCGGGAAAACACTTTTTCTTATTAATTTTGGTGCGTAGAATCCAAAACAATTCGTACTTTTTCGATCAGACTTCTCAATCAAAAGTTATAGACTAGAAACCAATTTCGAAAGAAAATTCAAAGGGCTGTAACTTTTGAACTAGTAGCCCAATTTTGGAACTGTTTGAAATTATGGATTCTACAGGCCACATTCTATAAGAAAATTTTTTCCGGGTCGATCTGAGACAATTTTTATTTCGGGGCTCAAAAAAAGGCAGTGTATAACCTTCCTTTTTTACCAAAAATCGACTGCACCAAGATTTCTCGAGAAAACACTCTTTCTTATTAATTTTGGTGCGTAGAATCCAAAACAATTCGTACTTTTTCGATCGGATTTCTCAATCAAAAGTTATGGACTAGAAACCAATTTCGAAAGAAAATTCAAAGGGCTGTAACTTTTGAACTAGTAGCCCAATCTTGGAACTGGTTGAAATTATGGATTCTACAGTCCACATTCTATAAGGAAAATTTTTTTCCGGTTCGATCTGAGACAATTTTTTTTTCGGGGCTCAAAAAAAGGCAGTGTAAAACCTTCCTTCTTTACCAAAAATCGACTGCACCAAAATTTCTCGGAAAAACACTTTTTCTTATTAATTTTGGTGCGTAGAATCCAAAACAATTCGTACTTTTTCGATCAGACTTCTCAATCAAAAGTTATGGACTAGAAACCAATTTCGAAAGAAAATTCAAAGGGCTGTAACTTTTGAACTAGTAGCCCAATCTTGGAACTGTTTGAAACTATGGATTCTACAGGCCACATTCTACCAAGCGTCAAATCCGGTAGTTCTGATTTTTTTTCTCATTGAAATAACAAGTTTAGTAGTCAGTGCATAATCAATGAATTTACCTTAGTCATTTGCTTCCGCAAGTGGTCTGGTGGGGCATTTAAAATTACTTGTATATCCTCTAAACACAATCAATGTAATAAGTACTGCCATGCATATTACAAGTGTCACGCGCTTCTCAATTAGTGTATAAGTGTAGTAAGTGAGGATTGCTCCCTCCGCTGTCAGGTCCAGAATTACAGACTGGGTGACGACCAGTCAATTATAGGTTGGTGGCAAAGAGCAACCGGACTCAGACAGTCCAGGGTTCTTTTTAACAGGGTGCCTTGGCAAATCTGAATCTTCTAAGCTTCTAAAGCTGAACGGGTATCCTTGCGATCCTGGATGATCAACTATCACCTGCATAATATTGGGCTTATGGAGGAGCCCTCGTGCAGGTTCTGTGGCGAAACAGATGAAACTATCGAACATGTGGTCTGTCACTGTGGCGCCTAGATCAAGGACAGATATCAGCTCCTTGGTGACAGCTATCTGGAACCGGGGAGGGTGAAGCAACTTGACCTAAACATGGTACTATCCTTTATTGAGAGGAATGGGCTTTTACCCTACTTGCGAAACAAAGGAGGTAGACTGGTCCTTTAGTGAGCCTACGTGCTGCCTGGTTGGGCTCCCCTGTGAATAGAATGGAATACACTCAATCGAGGCAGCAAAGATATTCAATGTACTGCAGGAATTAACATCCCTATCAATGGGTGTGGATAATAAGTAGAACAGAGTTCGCTTAGTAATTTCGTAATACCTAGTGGTAATGATAATCGCAATAATGTGAAGTGTAAGAAAAAGAGTGGCATAAGTTGCATATATGTAAACAATGATTGTGTTTAACAGTAATAGGTAAAACTTGAAATAGCTGTAACTTGAAACTTGAGATAACACCAATTGACATTGAGAAAGCTCTCCCGTTCAATAAATCACATACAAAAATTTATGTGCGGGGAAACAAGATCAGCCAACAACTTGTTTATTCCTTCGCATAGAACTACGCAAATGGGGAGAAGTCCGTTCATAACTTGCATAAAACTGTACAACAAATTGCCAGGACATTTTAAATGCGATTGCAGATCGCTAAAGAAACAATGTTTCTGCTCTTAAGATGATACCTGAGTACCCATGACAAAATATTATCTGAAATTTAATGTGATATTAGAAATTAAGCAAAACGACACATTTAATTTGTAATCTATGATTTGTAAATTTTAATTGTAGTAGTTAACTGTTGTAGTTTCAACGCTTCATACCACCTCATACTCCATTATTGACAGTTCCATACATGTATATGTCAGAGAGTGCAATTAGGTAAATAAATAAATAAATAAAAATAAATCTAAGTAAAAAGTTTTAGAGCAAAATGTGCACAACATTATTTTTTACACATGAATTTGGAGTTGAAAAAGCTTTCAAACGCATTAAAAACGCATTATATTGATGCCGAAAGAGTATATCACATGCACATTTGATAACCGCGTGCGTTTGATTCAAAAATGTTAAATCCTTTTTTTTTGAGAGGTCACATGTATTTTGATCAAAGCATATCAAAATCGTTATTTATCGCCAAGATCGTCGGAAAAAACGACCAAGAGCATTTTCTCAATGCCCAAGACATGAATTTGATGCATTTTTGTTGACTCTAGGTATATGCATTTTACAAAGTTAAAACAAATAGTTGTTAAAAAGTGATCGTAATACTGAGGGTGATTCGATATTCCGTTGTATCGGTTTATTTGTACCAAAACCACTTCTATTTATCACGAAGGTGCCTTTATCGTTGAATAAAAAATAGTGCTTTTATTCAATGCCTTTATGAATAAATCCTGGAATAAATAAACTTCGATATTTGTATATACAATTTTTGTACGCTTGGCAGGTCTGCTTTATGGTGTAGCTACTCTGACGTTAGGTATTGCTAAATTTGTGTGTGCATGGCATAAATGATCTTGAATAGGCGCCGGCTATACAAACAGGAGGAAATCAAATGCGTTTTATTCTTGCATTCTCTCTACGAACGCAGTAGTGTCCAAGAGTGCCACGAAATTATAATTTCACGACGTAAGTAAATAAAAAAAAACGGACTTAACTTGGCTACCATCTGCCGATGTACACGGTGTGTTTTGTATTACTTATGGTTGTAGTCTTGCACATGGTACAAGTTTACGTGGTAGAAAAATATAATTAGTCCAAGGATTTCCACTCCCTAATCCAGTGAGTTTGCACATCTCGTAATGGCAACGTCGCCGACTATTTTACTTTTAACTACTGCAGTTTGAAGTCGGCATTAAAAAGATGAGTTACAAAACGTGTTTGTTCGTAGCTTTGCTCGTTTCTTACATTAAAAATGGTGAGTTTAATGTTAATTGGAAGCTTCCACGACCTTAAAATCATTATTGTAAGTCCAGGAATTGCAAACTATTCGTTTCCTCAGGTGCCTCCTAACTGTACACAATTAAACAGTTTGCATAATATTGAAAACCATACATTTTCAGGAGAATCCCTCTACTGTTACACGTGCGCTTCGCCGGACAACTTAATGTGCGGAAGCGATTTTAGCACGTCCAAAGTAGCCGCACTACATTGCAAAACCGATGAAAACCTTTGCCTTAAAGCATCGACCACAGTTTTGGGCGGTAAGTGATTTGTAAACAAATTGCACCAGTTAATTTGGGCTATTTTCAGTGACCGTAGTAACGAGAACGTGTGGAGTGCAAGAGTCATGCCAATTATTTGATAAGTGCAACACCTGCAGCTCTGATAAGTGTAACTCCTCGAGCAACGTTCAATTTCAATTTATGTTACTGCCATTAGCTGGCTTAATATTTGTTAAGTCTTATTTTTGAAATATATCCATCGAATGGTTGTGCAGATTGTTGTTCAATTAAAAAATCCGAAATATTATGTAACCGCGTAGGTGCGGAACGATGAACATCGCGTTGGTTTAATAAGTCGAATAACTAATAAGGCATGGTTTGCCTAATTACGGATGTTTTTCAAGGTTGTAGTACTTAGTTTAATTTTATAAATTAACTCCCCAACATTATTTAAACCATACGTTATGGAAGTACGCCATGCTAATTGTGGTGGATGAAACAATCTAGTTCGATCAATTATTATCTTTGAGTACATGTTATTGCTTCATATTCATTACATACATAAGGTGGACATAATATAGAAAGGGCATATTGCTAAAAAAAATCGTAAAATATTTCATACTTTTCATTATTTTTTGTCTGTGTCCAAAATGCCCTTTATTACTTGGTTTCGTTTTGAAAATGCAAATGAGGATAGTGCAATGTTCACATTACACATAATTGATCATCATGATCTAGAAATCGGATAGGATATGTAAATACATTCACTACTTCCATCAGGGACGGACCTAGACAAAAAAATCGGGGCGGCAGACATGACATTTTGCCAACTCAACTGTAAAAATTTCCAACTCAAACGGGTAGTATCTATTAAGTATTAAGTGGTAGGTATTTCCAAGTCTAATAAATCATGTAGAATGTAAGATATCAGTATACGGTCTCTAATACTAATTAAAAGTATTACCAAAATACCAACCTTTGTGTTGAAAAAGAAGGAAGTGACTTTCCTATTAAAGAGTCCTTTTTTTATAGATTTTGCCGCAATTTCTCATTCCTTCAATAATTGACTTATCACATTTACGATTTACCTACTTTCGCGGCATTCGCCAACTGGTAATGAAAATTACCAACTATTGTCAAAATTGCCAACTAGTTAAGTATTGGAGGGGAGGGGCAGCCTGCCCCCCTTGCCCCCCCATAGGTCCGTCGCTGACTTCCATATCCTATACGAGTTTGTGCTACTGATCACCATCTTGTATAGGGAACGGAAATTTGCCACCCGGCTACGTATTCCCCTATGCAATCTCTACCCTCATACGTGGAACTAAACGAGAGTCTGCAAGAGTCCTATCACGTCAGCTGGCTATGACGAGCCCTCTTTGTACCGGAAGCACTCACGCTGAAAACGCAACTCCCATACAGGGGCCCTCATGACGCACGGGCCCGCCATGGCCTGGAATCCGTAACCCTTGTGCGCGATAAAGTGCCTTGATTTTAACGGTAGAAATTTTGTAATTGGAGTACAAGAAGGCGTAAGAGCTATTAATCCCTAAGAGAATAATATATGGCATTATACCGAAAAAAACAACCATAAGTACAATACTCACAGTATTTATTAGTCGTAGATAATAGTAGATTATTTTATGTGGAGGAAAACTGGAGACATATTACTTTTCATGGTGCGTCTATGTTTAACGCCGCCGAACGGAGTGAGGCGGCTTATAGAAGGCAAGCCATGAAAAGTAACTTCTCCTCCAAATAAAATATGCTATTTTTTCTTCAAACTTCCGCAAATTTATCCAAAACACAAGGTTCTAAATTATTCAAAGGGGCTTAAAAATTAAGTGATGGTAACAGGCCATAGGTTACAAACCTTAACTATCACGATACCGTGTCGAGTTAAAACAGCGGCGAGAAGTAATCACAATCGGTACCTATTAAGATTGCTCTTTTAAATTTGGATCTGGAGGTATGTGTAGTTTGAAGCACTTATGGCTGCGGGTGGTGGGAAAATGTTATTTAAGTAGAGTTCCATTACAATCAATAAGCATTATTCCAAGTATCATACGCTGGGTTTCGTTGCGTAAAGTGACAACATCCAGCCCAAACCCTAATTTGACTGGAGTAATAATGATGCGATAATAAATACGAGTACATGTTTTGCATCCCTTACACCATTTTCAAAAAATTGAGAGTACAGACGGACCGACAGACCGACATCATCGAGATTTTGTTTGATTCGGATTCCTGGTGCTTCAAAATGTGTATTTACGTCAAAAAAGTGGGGGGTCATTTTTTACCCTAATGCGATTGTTACCTCCCTTACTAACGTGCGGATGGTAACCACCAGTATACTACATTTTTCTTCGTAAGACTATGCCGAAAAACGAATTTTGATACGACCTGATTGCAAAAATTTACAATTTTCGGGCAAAATCGTTCTAATCTCCCTGGTCTAGTAAGGGCATTTTTAACCTTAGTTCTTGGAGTTCTGTATTAAGTGTCGGATGGCCCTTTAAAAGCTTTGAAACCCTTTATAATGAAGTTTATTGCATTTACCACGAAAATATAAAGTTGTTAATTAATATATATTGAGAATAATTGTCGCCCTCGATCTGGCCTAATTGATGTACTTGTCTAACTATCTGTTTAACTGTTTAGGAGCCGTAGCACGTCACAATCAAATAAATCACATTCTTCATGAATCGGAAAAGATGGTAACAATTTAACTACTTTCCATACACAAAATTACCTTTAAGAGGTACCTAGTAAGGCAATACCTAGTTTATATGTATCCCCTACCATTAAACGCCAAAAAATAGAGGACCTTGACCAAAATACACACATCGCTAATTTTTTGCTTCGCGACTACTTCTGCGTGTTACGTATGATTTAAGTGGGAATCGAATACTTCACGGATCTCCAGAGTGCAGTCTGCTTCTAATTCTTGCAATCTAAACATAATCCATCTCCATATTGCCGCAGCTACATTTTGTCGAAAGTGAAAACATGGTTTTGAACAAGACGTGCCTCATACTGCTCGTAGCGGTAGTATTTATTTCTTACATCCAAACAGGTAAGTTGTGTCACAGATTAAAGATACGCTACCTGTGGTTGTGTGTATTCGCAAAGAGGGTGGATTATTATGTATTCATGCCGGGACCAAGGGACAAAAGACAAACTTATTGCTATTTTTAAATACAGAATCATCACAAATCAAGGTTAACCATTTGTTTGCATAACTACCAATCCTTTTTTTTACAAACAACCTTTTTATAACAAATTACCTAATCTTTGTTTCAGGTTCAGCCTTGGAATGCTATACGTGCTCGTCCTTAGACAATTCAACTTGCGGAACCCCATTCAACCCTGCCATAGTAGGCGTCATGAAGTGTATGGGCAATGACAACGTTTGCCTTAAAGGATCAAACCATGGTACAACTGGTAAGTCGTTTCTAAACACGAAGAATGTTATTATATGAATCACTTTCAGTTGCTGTGGTTACGAGGGGATGCGGAACCAAAGACTCATGTCACGCATATAATAAGAAGTGCCATACTTGTAACTCGGATAGGTGTAATTCTTCGAACAATGCCAAATTTCAGTTTATGCTACTGCCCTTAGTCGGTATTACCATTGTGAAGTCTTATCTGTGAGATCTTTTATTTTGTGATGTTTATTTTTGTATTTTGGAGTATACGTGATTATATTAAAAAAAAACTTTTTAAACAATCTGATTACAATTGGTACATTTGGTTAAATAATGATGCGTTGAAATGGAGAAACCGATGTCTGCACTTAGATACTGACGTCAGTCGCCTGTTCAACAATTATGAGGTCACCACCCCATATGAAGATCAATTGAATGATATATGCTAAATTAACTTAATGACTGTTACCAATGATGTACACTGGGGACTTTTTAGCGCAGTTTTCTGCTATTACGAGCGTTTGTCCGTCCGCCCGTGTGTAGGGCGAGATTTCGACAGTGGAAAACCGCAAAAAGCTCGTAGGTTTGTCGTCTGGTGGATAAAGGTGCAGCACCATCATTCTAATCACTTTGGGATGATGTCCAAACGTTGACAGGATTTTCAATTAAAACCAATTTCGTCTGGGAAACGGCCAAACACATTTACTTGATGCGCATGGACTACATTTTGTAGTTTTCCTGTCACACTTCCTTTTTGGTTAAGTTAGTAGAATAAAATATTTATAAGAACCGCAAAAGCGAGGCCTACCGACGCTTTTAGCTTTTCGGTTTTAGTTTTAAGCGAAAGATATCAGAAAAATTACCACAGGGATAACTGGTCTGTGGCGGCCAAGCGTTCATACGGATGTCGTTTTTTGTTCCGTTCCCGAAGAGAATAGAATACCAAATAAGTATTAATTTTTGGGCGAAGAAATAGTGTTGATATGTTGCAAGAGTCTCGGCTGCTGATAAAACATTAATTACATTAGCGCCTCCGTCGATTTCACAAGTTTATCAATATTGGCCGAGAAATTTGGAGGTGTCTATCCAGTTTTGTATGCACTGTTGCCGAATCAGCAGCGCACCATATACAGGGTGTTTTTTTAAGATGGGCCATACGACAATGTAAAGGCGTAGAGTTATTTAAAATGGGCCATAGGGAAATTTACATTGCATCAATTGTTTCAGTCATAGCTTCCTCGCGAATTATCTGCCACAGTACCTTCTGTAGAAATTGTTTCTAAATCAACAAATTTATTCAAATCAGATATAAAAGTACGGTACGAGTATAAGATTTCAAACGGTGCTCGAATTTTTTTTCCACCGGCAACCAAACAATACCCGATCCTTGCACTGAATAGCTCGCATTACCACTCAGTTGCTCCCACTACAAATTGTACTACATGAACACCTTTTCGGGCGGCGGAATAAATGTTGCTGCTTCGTTGATACAGTATGAAGGATTGAGATCGAAAACTGTTAGTGAAATATCTAAGCGCAAGGCCAGATTTGAGAACAATTTGCGCAATATAAATTTCCCTATTGCCCATTTTAAATAACTCAACGCATTTACATTACGTTATGCTAGGTGTGTATTTTCTATGGCCCATTTTAAAAAAAAACACCCTGTATAACCAGCTATTTCCCACCGTTATTGCTTCTGATTACCAAGTTGCCGCTTTCCAAGCTATGATGGATTTGTTTATAGAAGTTCCTTTATTCGGATGCTTTTTCCACTATATAAAGAAGCATATAAGGACAATAATTACCGTTAAGTAACAAGTATAACAACAATCCGGATTTCTCGTTAAGTCCAGAACGATAACGGCACTAATTTTCAATCACTTATGGAATGGATCGAAGATAATTATTTGAGAAGGATGAACAGACGGGGAAATGGTATAGGCCCCTACATTTAATTGTTTCCATTCGAAATGTAGGATCTTTATCAAAGAAAAGACCACTTAATAGTATAATAGGATAGTACGAATAATCACGCTAAAGCTACTAGTCATCAGAGACTGCAAACCGAATTACCAATGAACCACCCCACACTATGGAAACTAATCGAGTGTCTTTAAACGGTGCAAAACGGACGTTACCTACATTTTTATGAGCATCTCGTGGAGGACAACAGTCCTCTAAAGAAATTAAGGAAATACCAGGGAAGCTGATGAAAGGATTAGGATAGCGTGATTTGTATATTGACAAATGGGCCCCTCAAATTGTATTGTTAAAAGACCAGAAATAGCTAAGGTGTCAAGGAAGTCTCATTACAATTGAAACATTCTTATTTTTAACGCGATAGCGTCATCAAGCATTAGATTAAGTGTAGGGAAATGGCCAGAAGAATAAGCTCCCACTTTCTATTCTAAACGTGCACGTGCGGTCTTAGTACTAGATTACCTATTGCAGGTTGCGCACTGAAACATGGATTACAAAACAAAGTGCTTGTTTTTGACATTTTTGTTAATTTCTCACATTAAATACGGTGAGTGGGTGTCGCCTGAAAGTTCTATAATTAATTATGTGTCGGTAGTAAATTTGTTAACTTTCTTCCGCTATACACCCGAAAAAAAATTTATCCGGAAAAATTTCAGGCGAATCTCTACAATGTTACACATGTTCATCCCCAGAAGCTTTAATATGTGGGAATGACTTTAGTCCTTCTAAGGCACTCGCAGTGCCATGTGCGGGATCCGAAAGCGTATGTATAAAAGGGAAGTCGAGGGTTGGCGGTGGTAAGTGTATGACTTCCTCAACACACAACTGTTGATTTCTTTTAGACATTGTCGTGACGAGGACGTGCGGGACGCAATCGTCCTGTCAGTTATTCGAAACCTGCCAGGTTTGCACCACCGACAAGTGTAATTCTTCCACGAGTTTGAAATTTCATTTAATGCTGCTTCCATTGGTCGGATTAACTATTATCAAATCCTTTTTCTAAGATAACTTAAGTCTTAATTTTTATATGTTATACAGAATAATATATTATAATGTTGTTAGCTTCGAGAAGACATTATTGATTTAAAAATCGTTACGCGAGCGTTGAGAAAACGCCGCGCCCACCATAATACGCGTCGTGTATTTTTAGCTTTACAATATGCGTGACATTACGTAATGTCTAAAAGCAGGTGAATGGTTTAAGCCATTATGAAATAAATGCTATGATGTCACTTTAACAGTATGCGGCGCGGTTGCCTTCAAGATCAAATAGGTGTACCTACCTACTTTATTTACTTGTAAACTAAAAGCATGAGAGATGACCTCATCCTTTTTATTAGTTAGGAAATTAAATATGCGGTTTCCAAGTTTTTAGTTAATTAAACCTCCATGAGTGAGGTGGGATGTAATAACATACCTCAGCCTATTGCAAGACAAGCGGGTTGCACTTACCCTTGGCTTTGGATATAAAATATTTTATTTTCAAAGCCCTTTGTCACTGGAATCCCATCCCCAATCACTCGGAATCTCTTTATCCCCCAAGTACTTTTCAAATTATCGAATTATGTAGTGCGACATCTATCATCTGTGGTGGAAACCCCCTCATACCAGCTAAATTACACCAAATTATGAATAAAGAAAAGGGGTTCATTACGCTTATGTGGGTTTTACAAGTTTTACAAGACGCATATAAGAAGAGGCCATAAAAACTCAGGAATTCCGAACGATGATTTTCAACAAGACTCGCAAGATGTCACACTCCAGCACTAGAAAAACAAAAAGTTGGCACGATTGTCAAAGCTCCAAGATTTACCGCCACACCGCATCAACTCCAGGACAATTCCAATTGCTCTACTGTTGAATCACGTACACATCAGAAGGAGATGTTTGATTCCGAGGATCCGGTGGATCTCAGCGAAGAGAACAGACAAATTGTCGGCCACGGTGGGGAACAACTTCTGTCCAAGTGTATTTACGATGGTAACGGTCCAAGGCGTGATGCGGTCGATGAGAGTAAGTAGGTACGTGTATCCTAGGTTGCTTCGCTCAACTTCCGCAGATGACTGGCGGTTTTGCACCCGCGTCTCTTGTCTACGGCGAAACACTCCGCTTGCCAGGAAAATTATTTATCTCGGAAAATGTGTTTTCCCGAGAAATTTTGATGTACTCGATTTTTGGTAAAAAAGGAAGGTAATACACTGCCTTTTTTTGAGCCCCGAAGAAAAAATTTATCAGATCGACCCGGAAAAAAAATTTTTCTTATAGAATGTGCCCTGTAGAATCCATAATTTCAAGCAGTTCCAAGATTGGGCTACTAGTTCAAAAGTTACAGCCCTTTGAATTTTTTTTCGAAATTGGTTTCTAGTCTATATAACTTTTGATTGAGAAGTCTGATCGAAAAAGTACGAATTGATTTGGATTCTACGCACCCAAATTAATAAGAAAAAGTGTTTTCCCGAGAAAATTTGGTGTAGTCGATTTTTGGTAAAAAAGGAAGGTTATACACTGCCTTTTTTGAGCCCCGAAAAAAAATTGTCTCAGATCGACCCGGGAAAAAAAATTTCTTATAGAATGTGGCCTGTAGAATCCATAATTTCAAACAGTTCCAAGATTGGACTACTAGTTCAAAAGTTACAGCCCTTTGAATTTTTTTTCGAAATTGGTTTCTAGACTATAACTTTTGATTGAGAAGTCTGATCGAAAAAGTACGAATTGATTTGATCAGAAGTTAAACTGGAATGCACACGTTAAGGTCAAAAGAAAACAGATTGACATTAAAGCTAAACAAATGAACTGGCTAAATGGTAGACGATCCCAACTTTCCCTATCGAACAAAATACTATTGTACAAAATCATATTAAAAGTTAAAACCCATATGGACGTATGGGATGCATGATTATGGGGATGCGCAAAGGCCTCCCACACCCAAATTCTACAGAGATGTCAATTGAAAATGCTCCGAACAATAACAAATGCTCCGTGGTATGTAACAAATGCAACTCTCCATGCAGATCTAGGTATTCCATACGTGGCCAACGAGATTCAGAGACTCGCAAGAACTTACAATCGCAACTTGGCAGGGCATGGGAACGAACTAATAGGACAGCTGATCAACCAACCAGGTGTCAATAGAAGACTGAAGCGACTATGGCCACATGATTTACTATAATAACAATTCGTAGTAGAATATTACATATGGGGAAAGTGGCAATCGCCTCTTGTAGCCTAGACGAAACTGTTTCTGCATTTTCCCTAGGGGAAACCCATTCCGTCCCCATTGTATATACGTTTCCTAGCTTGTAATTAATTCATTTTCTGTAACCGGCAACTTCCAAATACATTCACGTTTAAAAGGAAGAAGTAATTTCATAAATGGTATTCAAGCCCTACGTTTCTCTAATTTCACCCTTTGTCCACGTCTGCACAGCGATTAACCCACTTTCCGCCATCACTTTAAAGTGAGAGTGCAGCAAATGGGTGGTACGAAGGCTTTTGTTTAGCCGTAATTAGTTTTCTAATAATATTTCTAATGGCATTTCCGTCTGTTCCGTATTCATATACCGCTTCGCGCTTTTGTTGCGTCTCACTATTTTGTATGGCTCTAATCTTATTAATTTGATTGCCCCGAGGTTTAGCACATTTTGCGAGTTATTTATTTACCAGCAGCTTGCATCATTTGGATGCTAATGAGTTTGCTAAGTCACTTAGAACCTCCTTCGAAGATTTCCGCCCATCCCGAGCAAGAAAACATGGAAAGCCAAGGATTTTCGTCCATGCGGAACTGCATACCTGCTCACATGTTTTTGTGCGAAATTAAGGACGAAAGGGATCACTACAACCCTTATGCGAGGGACCGTTCACGATTCACGATAAAGAATCGATCGTCTGAAATCGTCGCAAATCGTGAAATCCAGCAGTGCACTCCGCCCCAGCTACCAGTTGCTTCCGAGGAAACTGAATCTGGGAACGATACCCACTCTTAGCACCAACTAACTGGGTCCGGACGACAGATGAATTTTCCGAAAAGGTTTGCCAACTTCCATAATGCTGCGCTGGAGGAGAGTAATGTGGCAACAGACTGCAAACTAAAACGTGCTGCACCCTCTTTGAACAAAATGGTCAACCGATTATAGCGTAGCGTCTCTGCCGGTAAAAGTTTAAAAGCAGTTCTCCGAACTCGGAATTCCTGCTTCGATGGCGCTTCAAGAAAGAACCAGCTCTCCGCTTGTAGGACCACTTCGCCTTGCCAGCTCGACGTCGCGCCGCGCTCCACCAGCCAGAAAACCCGCATCCGTGCTCACTCCGAAGACAGCGCTTGCCGCGTGCACTGCGGCTACCATTTTGTATATATTGTAGATATATTCCATAAAACTCAACAACATTTTATTTGAGTAATGTTAATTGGTATCGATACAATAAAGGAAACTGCGAGGGAAACTGTCTTCTTTCATTTCCTTTGCAGAATAGCCGTAATTCACATTGAAGACGGCTTGCCAATGTTTCCAAATAGAAATAACTAAACTCCTATTAGTGTGTCAAGACAAATATAGTAAGTCTATATTTAAGCTTTTCTCAATTTTGTTTACACCACCGCCTTGAATAAACTAAAAATATGAGTTCGCAAAGAAAAACGATGTTTTTAACTTTCAGTATAATTTTAACATGCCTTATTCGTTATGGTAAGATACCATTCTTTTCTTTTGCCGCAACCGTGGTCTTTGTAAATTTTAGCAATGTCATTGGAATGCTTTACTTGTACATCGTATGAGAACGAGACATGTGGTGTGAAGTTTAATAGGTCGGAGACGAAAGTCGAACCTTGCTGTGCCGCTTGTAATGCATGCTTCAAAGCACGAGTCGTGACGCCAGAAAATAGTACGTTGGTGTTGTAATGGAAAACTTGCTAACATTATTCTGTTATAGAAACTAAAGTGATCCGGTCGTGTGGCACTGATTACCACTGCCAGTTGTACGATCGTGAGGGATGTCGTACTTGTAATAAGAACCTATGCAATGGCTCACCAAGGAGTGCTACCCAGTCAGGCTTTATGATAGCTGTGTTTATTTGCAAGTTTTTCAAATATAATGTATTTTGAGGAAAATGTGGTTTGCTTAGCATACAGAGGCGGCGAGTGCGGCCAACGCATTCAACTACAATCTAACTGTACGAAGGTATGAGAGAGAAAAGAGAAAAACCTCCTCCGAAATCATCCTTAAACAAAACACCTAAAAAGAGAACCTAGAAGAAAGGGCAACTCCCTACTTTAGTGTTAGAATTTCTGTCTTGTTTGTTGAAGGTCCAAGTTCCACTTTTCTATTTAAAGCATGTAGAAAGGAAAGCATGTAAGTTATTTCATTAATAAGGAATAGAGTGGACCAGCGCATGATCCTTAGAGAAAGTTACAAAAATAAGTTCGAGTTTGACCATCCATGCGACCAGTTTAAAATGTTTAACTACAGAAAGTTTAACCGTTTATTTGAAAAGAGCGAAGGTCGGTGTTTTTCGGGCATAATAACCAGCACCAACCTTAAAGAGTCGAATGCGAACTATTAAATTGAAGCCAAGTTTAGCCAGGTTTACAATATAATCAATATTAGTATCTAGAAGGGATGAACTAAACACGCTACAAAAAAATCAGTTGTGTCGCCGTTAAGTAAAGAAAAGGGCAGTAAACAATTGTTGAAATACGTGACGCCGAAATTCGTATAAGTATCCGCAGGCAAAAAAATTATCCGAAGGTTAGATTATAAAACTTGTGGTTTAGCTAACGAATTTCTCCTTTTCTGTGAAGAAAGATAGTGTGAACGCTCATTTCTAAAACCCTATGATGCCAAACGTTCCCGACCTTTACATGCTTGTAATCAATGAACGCCAGGATTAACTGTTCTAAAAAACTACATCCTAAAACTTAATTTCGCTGGAGGATTATTTTACCATCGGAAGATTCTAATCTGCAGCTTCAGGATTTATTTTCTGCGTATTAGAGATGTCGACCGTTGGGTAATTTGATGCCGTCTGTTTTGCAAGTGCTTTATGCTTTATCGTGATGCCCGTGACTGAATCAGTTGCTAAAAGGCAACAGATTTTCTGCTTAAGGGATGTTGTCGTGGATTTCTAAATTAATTCAGGCGAGTCCCTCGAGTAAGTAAGGTACTAAGAATATATCGTTTATTATTATCATCACAAGTAACTCAATTTGTCGCAATAGAGAAGCGAGAATTGTCTACAAAGGGTCAAGCTTGGAAAGAGTTGCACAAATCTTTATCGCATATTTTACAATGCAGAACTTTCCCTTTGTAATCCTCATCAACGCATCGTTTAAGATCTACAGACCGTAATGGACCGACCGGCACCAAATCACAGGCAGTTTCTTCTTGATACCCATCGATGGGGTCTGAAAGAAGCGAAATTTGGAAAAGAAATCCCATTTGGATTCCAGTGGCACTTACGGTCAGTGATAACATAAGAACAAACAGCTTGATAACCAATTACGGGAAGCCCACAAGTGATGACTTCACCTAATTGTGTTGATGCACATTTTCTACTGCCATAAGGACCGGTGCAGTTACCCGTCAAACACGTTAAAGAGTTAACTAAAATCGCACAAATTAAAGTGAGCAATATAAAATTTACCACGTACCTATTGTCAGCGAAACTAGTAAGAAACTTATTACACAAAGAAGTTTTGCCATTTTACTTTTGTAACTTAACGAACTGTAGGATACTTATAATTAAAATGCTCGAGTAGTTGTGAATGAAGGTCAAGGAGCAGATCTTGTTTTATTCGTATGACCTCATAGTTACCAATATTATTTTTTAAATGTTGTTTTTATAAAAAGTGTTATTGATAAAGTTTCATCGGGGATTTTCAAGATTTCCTTGTATTTCAACATCTCGTTGCCTAAAACGAAAAAGAAATATTCTATAAAACGTATTCTGAGAAAAAATACGTTGCATATCATACATTTCAGATAAAGAAATGTTAGATATTAACAAAGACCCCTAGTCTGTATTTGTAATTTGAAAATCTCATAGGAACAGCAACTCACAAAGTAATTTACCTTGGTGGCGACAGGACCAAGTGCACCTAAATGAAACCAAAATCTCGGTAGTCATCGTGTCCCCTTGTTTTCTTAATGTAGTGCACTTGAACCAAATAAAGAAACAGAAAAGTTCAACAATCTACGTGACCCTGTTTGTGTAGACAGTAACCTTCAATTTTGAAATCGAGACGATACCACCGGAGTTCGCGAGGAAGAGAAAAAAAGAGAAGTTTCTCTATAGTAAGTTCATCAGAATTTCTTCGGAATTTTTAAATCAATACCTCCAGATTTCTAGAATACTGCAGGTTCATTTTTACTTTAAATTGTTCGGATTATACAAAGTTCTTGATTTCATCGACTGAGAGAAGCTTAGAAGTATGAAAAGACTTGTGGAGGAATATTAACAATTAGGTACCATAAACTCGGGCTGATAATCCGCCTCAGATTGTTTCCACTAATTCCGCTTCGTTTAAATAGGCGACGGTTTCGGATTTATCATGCTCCATCTAGAAATCAACAATTCCAGTTAATAAAGTTCAGAGAGGGTAAATTGCGGTTATCTTACACTATAATTGGAATTATTTATGTACCTACTTGCAGTTTGTTGAATATAAACGACGAGTTTATGGTAAAAATGAACTGCGCAAACATATTTGGATGTATAACAATACTAATTTTTGGCGTTGGAAGATTGAGTCATGATGGTCTGGAAAACTCAAAATGTGTAGATCATCTGAACTCGGTAAATTTTAGTTGCAGGACTTGTATGTTCGGCGTGTGACGGCGAAAGTTCATTTGATTGTACAGAAAGGTGGGGTAATCTAAAAAATGTAACCTGCGACACTCCACCAGCAGGTATGAGAGCAATTTGCTATTACATGGAACACTTGGATACGGTTACGAATCGAGTGAAGGCAATCGGTGGTTGCGAAACGCAAAGTACTGAAAAAATTTTGGTTTTGACTCCATTTCCTCCTTGTTGGACCAAACCACTGCGATTCCAAGTGAAGGATTGTAGAACATGCGATAAGGATCGTTGTAATATACCACCATTTTACTAAATCTTGCCAATGTGGCCAATGCTATTTTTAGTGTAAATATGTGTTTAATAAAGCTATGTCTGTGTCTTGTAATTTTCGCACGTGGATAAATGGAATGTAATGAGGGCTCTAATTTTAGGTTTATTGTTTCGAATTTTGTTTGTAGAGATAGGTAAAGTTGAAAATCTTGAGATTTTAAAGGTTTGAACAGTTTATTCATATATCATTGAAAGTCTACAGGGTGTCAACATATAAATTACATGACTGGACCAATTGAAAAAATCAAGTAATTGATTTGATTTAAATAGCGCATTTTCCTTTTAATAACTTTAGGGAATTCTCGGATCCAGAAAGTCACAGATAATCAACGACAGTCTTATCTCAGTCGGATTCTGTTGCATAAATAGCTGACCAAAAATAAAGTAGGAGTGTACAGATGCAATTAAGTGGATAGCTACAAGGTACAGCCTAAAGCCAGTAGTTCATTTCGGGTGGTACCGCAAATAAAATTTGCTTTTTGGGAGAAATGTTTCAATTAATCACTAAATGCCATCTTGAATAGGATGCCAATTAATTAAATTAATTAAAACTAGAAAGGGGTTAGTTTTTGAAGGAATTCCGTATAAGATTACCTAGAAGGAACCACGTTCGGTTACGGCAGAAAATAATTCCGAGTTTACTAAAGAGAGGGTTGTTATTTTTTCGGGCATTGAATTGAAAAGTAAATCTTACAATCTTACAATTAAAAATGGTAAAAACAACTGCAAGCAGAACGGGCTTTTTCGATCAAGGTTTAGCCGAATGAATATTTTCCCTCGACAAGTAATTAAAAGTGTTATCTGAATTTGAAGAAAGTTATTTGTACGGGCAAAAGGAGGGCAGCCACTGAGCTTAAAATCACTAACGAGTCCAATTAATACGCAATTACTCCTTGTCCGAGAGCATTATGCAGTTTTCGTATGCGCACATTAATCATCAAGATTTTTTTTAGTTGAGGTGCTAGAGCTATAAGCTACCGAATGCCAAAAGAACGAACTAAATATCTTAGAAACTGTAGAACTAGTTAAGGCCTCGGACAGACGAACGAATAAAGTGGTCATAAATCATAATTGCGCCTCCCTACATGAGTTGAAAAATGCGCTAAAAAGACATTAAGAAATCCATGCATTTGTCCTTAAAGTACGCGCAACGAGTTTAAAGGTACGATGCGTAGCTGAGCGTCCACGAGTTCTTCAATCAATAGCATGTAGCAGCACCAATCCTTAAACGGTTTTTCGTATGTCCACACGGAGAAAAATGTACCTTGATATTAAAAGGAAGTAATAATCTTTTATTCAGAATTCCTCTTAAAAAACGACCAAACGTAATACGGAGAAATCATCAGGAAATAATATCATGATATAGTAACAGTATATCTGTGAACAGAGCTAACTACGTCACGCAATAGAAACGTCATCAAAATAACAGTAAGTACATGCAATTCCTTCCTTAAATTACGTCTAAAGTAACAGGAAATTCAGGTGGCTTGGTATGCCTGCTTATAGGTGTACCCTGACGATTTAACATTACAAAAGTGATAAATGCAAAGTCATGATCATCAGAAACTATTCGTTGTACTGCAAAATTATCAGGATGCTTATGGTGGATGTATACGTATCCTGCTTGATGATTGTTTGATCTTATACTGATACTTTTGTCGGAAATACTATATTGTACTAAAGGATTCCATGCATCCCCAGGGATGTTCGGCGACGACTGGAATGCACGACGAACGGGGTACATGTGAAAATTAATGTACATTGCTAAAGGGTTAGAATGAGCATTCCAATCATTTAGCAATTATACACAGTGACTTTGCTGTGCCCTGTTTTCTGAGCATTTAACTCCCCCATCATATTTCTGGTAATGTTTAGTAAATATTAAATTAGATTCAAGCAATATCGTTATTCACAATTAATTAATAATTATACTTACCTGTTCTTTCTTACTAGGCACTTGTTCCTTCGCATACTTAGCATTTAGTATCAAGTTTAAGCTAGGCTTAGTCATTAAGTACTTATCTGAAATTTCATGACATTCTTATTTCTTGTGTAACCTTTAGTGGACCGATAATTGATTTATATAAAAAATAACTTTAGGCATCTATGGGTGCGTCGGGTACAAAATCTAGACTCTTAGGAAATTCCAAAAGATACAGAAGATGAGAGAACAAATATTTATTCGCTGTAAAAATGGAAAAACAAAACAACCAAAACACTATTCAAAATCTACTTAAATGAATAGCCTATACTACTGCGAACAGGAACAATAAAAAAGTATGGTGTACCTAATTATATAAGTATGAAAATTTGTTTTAAAATTGAAGATAAACACAAATAATTTGTTTATGTGTTCATGGCTAAATAAACACGCGAAAAATCCACATAATTTCAACAATCATTTTTTACCAAGCATTAAACATTCAATGCAAATACTTAAAATAAAATAAATAAATTCTCTTAAAACGAGGTAAAAAGTAAGTGTACATACTAACCATTAATTGTGTTTTCAAATTATCCTCCTTCCAAAGAGATAGATTGGCTTAAAATTTTAATTGGTCTCCAATGGGTGTCATGATTGCTTCAATGTCTTGATCCCGTAGCATTTGCAGCGCAATGATGTCGATACGAGCATCTGTGTCCATAATTCAAACACATTAGTTCGATTGCAAAAATGCAACCAAAAGATTAGCTTCGGGATTAACATATGCAAAAAGTTTGCCAATGACCATAACAAAATCGTTTCATGAAATAGGTACAGAAAAAAATTTTTACTTACCAGAAAAAGCTGTCACATATTCCAATAAACCCCACTTCACTAATAGGTCACTTGTATACTGATCCATTTTAACATTTATTTTAAAAACTGATTAGTTAATGCACCTTAAACATCACAGAACTCCTTTAACTAAAGTAGGAATTAAAATTCAAGAGTTTCGAGACTGAAAATTCAGCAAAACGTTACTAAAGACTATCCATTTGTACTGATAAATTATGCGTATAGCACGTAATGTTCCACATATAATGATTTCTTCTCATTAGCGATGGCGAAGTAATATTACATCCCGGAAATTTAACAATGTACCTACAGTCTAAACGGTCTTAGGTGTGTAATCAAACATTCTTCGAGTATGATTATTTTCCGCCGATCTGGCGTATATACTGGGAATTGGCGTCGCATGTAAATACGACTTAACGCTTAACTTTATAGGAAATCCGATATTTTCACGCTCTATATCAACCAAGATTGTAGGTAGGTATTTTGTGTTTATTGCAACAAAATCATATAGCTACATTACGTGTTTATGGATACCTAGTTGATCGTTGATCAATCAATACCAAATTCAAATTCCATCAAATCAATAAAATACCCACATAATAAGTTGATAACGATGAACTCAATAATCAAAATGGTACATTATAATAATAGACTGATACCTTATTCGTATTGAAATGTTTTACCTAACTTCCTAACTTTAATACAAAAATATAACAGTACGGCTGGCGAAATGTTAGTTTTTTCATAATAAGTGTGTGACGTCATGCTTTATCGTGATCGCTTCTTCTACAATTATGGGTATGATGTGTTAATAAATCAATCCCAAATTATAAAATAGAATATTGGTTCCCGGAATGATATGTTCTCATTTAAAGGTTGAATTAATTTCCTTCTTGGTTGGTACAGCTTTGGTTTCCTGATAAACTTATTTTACGAATTGCTATTTTAGGTTACCTATTGATAATTTAATACGCTACGCTTAATTTAACATAATGCCAAAATCCCATTTTTCTCCGTGCAACGTCGACGTTTTGCCATTTCTAAGTAGGTTGAATACTTTACCTCCTTGTTACCATATTGCCATTGGAGATTTTCACTGATTCACCGAGTCTTAATCCCGTCCACTTTGGGCCCCTTTTAGCTACCTGGACGTATCTTCTTCAACAAAGTTCTTTCTGTTTCAAGTCGTGTATCTAACTTCTTGTTTATGCATTTATTTCTTACTGGAAAAATTCAATACAATATTTTAGAAAGTTAATGTTTGCAATTATTTTTTAATTTAGCTCATGAAGATTCTAAACGCAGTTTGTGTACCCTTAAGGGAATACACCCACATTTTCCAAAATATCATTATGGATAGTACCAGAATTCACTAATGTTTCCTTATTATTATACCATATTAATACTACATAATATTCTAGGTATACGATGTTCGGATCTATTTTTATTTAATTAGATACGATAGACGCTTTCAAACTGCAGACTGGCGTTGAGTTTTAGTCGCCATTAGTAAGGTACAAATTCGTCCGCTGAGTTAATGCTTTACGAACTGTGTAAATTTGAATTAGTTAAGTGTTTATGACGTAAGTACCTGTTATGTTTTAATTACTATAATTCCGCAAGGCAAGGAGTGCTTGTGGCGTGATTTAATTTTACGATTACGCATTTGTGTCAAGAATTCATATATACATTCTGTCCCAGGCAAGGTGGAGTTTAACAAAGTTTAAAAGTTAGGGTAAAAAGTTAATGGTATACTAACCAATGGATGGAGCAGGTCTAATCATGAGCCGATCCCCACATTGTTCTGAAAAATCGCTAATTTTTGTACAGCAATATATGTTGTCAAGTGAGCTTTCAACGGACAATCATGACAGCTGCCTTCAAATAGGCTACACTTATTGTTTTCAGTGTTTCGTTTCTTCTGAAGAACAAAATTCCATTTCGAGCTCAGGAATATTGAAACGTGACTCAAACTGATCGATTATATAACCAAATAGGCACCGTTTATCTACTGTAACACTTCTATTGTTGGTTTTTTAGCGTAATTTGTATATCTATTACGCACAAAAATAGTAGTTTCCGTTACTTTATTTGTTATCACAATCTTTTAACAACCACAATTCATCTAAGCTAAAAAGTGCGATAAGTGTATTATAATTAAATTGCGAACATTATATTGTTACAGATTGGCCATGCGCAGGAAAAGAAAAAAAAGTAACCTTCCCGAAAGATATCGAAATACCGTTAGTTGAAAGCGATACCATTTTCCATGGAGAGCTCACTTTTCTTTGCAGTAGTAGTGGTCGGATCAGTTTTACTACCGCTTGGTATGTACCATTGAAGTTACTCAAATTCTCTCACTTTAATCTCAGCCCAGAGCTTTCGGTGTTACAACTGCTCTAGTGTTCAACAGAAACATTGTGGATATGAGTTCAACAATACAAACATTAAGCTTGTGGATTGCCAAACGCCAAAAACGTGCAAGAAAGTACTACTGCCAACAGTTGGAGGTACGTCTCGGTCTCATTCCATGCCAATTGTATTCCGATAGTATTTTCAGGTGGATACGAACCAATACAACGGGGATGTTTAGACAATGAGCTGTGTACACCCTTGAGTGTCTGCCTTTCCTGCGAAAGTGATATGTGCAATTCTGCTAGTAACTTTCGTATTACATTACTAATTGTTGTACTTAGTCTTATAAATCTTTTTTATTGTTAATGTTTCCTAATACATTTTTATATTATCTTGCTTGATTTTCACATCGTAAATCTTATTTGGCACACCAGATAGGCGGTTATCAGATAACGACTGAGTAAATTTTCACGACATACTATGAGTATTCAGGCCTAAACTAGGATGTATCGCATATGGTTGTTTTGCTGTCTACTTCAGTTCGGTAAGTGCACAATATTTACCTAATATGATTTAGTGGCAACAAAGTTAGTATAGGTCAATCGTTTGAGTGCTATCAATGTAATTCGCAGTTCAATACGTTGTGCTTTAGTACCGAATATAAGGACTCCTTCAGAAATGTGTCGTGCCCCGAAAATGCCTGTGTGATAGTACGCCCTCCAAACAATCGTAAGTTCAAAGTGTGTACTGTAAATGCCAAAGTAGGTAAAAATACTATAACATTTTTAGATGGTAGCGAACAATGGATCAGGGATTGCTACAAAAAGGAGCTCTGCGACGAGTACAGTGTTTGCAAAAAATGCGATGAACCCCTTTGCAACAGTTCCCCACGCATCAGCTTATCCGTGACATACCTTTTAATATTTACAGCGCTTTCGTACTACTTCGTTATGTGCAATAAAATCTTCCGCAATCGATCCATTTGACCTATCTGATGATGTACAAGGAAACCCGAAGTAAGATATCAAATAAACTGTGAAATAAATGAATAAATAAATGCATAAACAAATAAACAGCACAGCAGTGAATTAAGAAAAGGAAGGATAGAAAGAGTAAAACTGCTTCATACGTTGTCATTAAGCTTTCTATCTGTTGGTGAGAGTATTCAATGATAAAGTGCATAACCAGAGTTAGAAACCACCTAGGACACTCTGCAAAATAACGTAGAAAGATATAGCTTAGCGCTTTGGAGGATCTAATGCGCTTTAGAATGTTTTGAAACGGTTAACAAGTTACTTGTCAACGCAACCGAGAATTGCAAATTATTAGGGTTCCACTTTGATAAATTTTGAATTGGTCCACCCAGATCGACTTCCTTTGATCTAAGCTATCTAAATCACTCAAAAACAAATTACACAAGAATATACGACATTCTATAGCCATTCTTCTACCTCGAACACGTGGGGGTAGCTCAAAATGAAGAGACCTGTCCCCCATAATTTTAAAATACAACAATTTTGAAGCAAAGAGGCACAACATTCCAGAAATGTTCAGAAATATCGTTACTTATCGCCGGTGATTAATTACTCTTTTATGGCGCCTCGATGTCCATCTGGATTTCTAGAATATCGGCTACAAAATTATATACTTAGAAAACCAGATTGATTAGATGCCCCTGACTAAAATTATGAACACTCCCTTTACTGGTTTATTCGACATTAAAACCGTGAATTATTTAAACAAAATAATTTATTATCAACAAAACACTCAAGTAAATTCTTAAAAAAGATGTCATTAATGCACTCCATTACAATAATCGGTGGCACAAAGTCTGCACTTGTTTACTGTAAGATTAGGTTTAGAGCAAAGCTTGTGTTGTATTGTGGTCATTGTATCGACCCCACTAACAATCTGGCACCCAGCCTGTACGTCATACATTCTTCTGTACGGATCTGAAAGACGGACAATGAATAATGAATTGAAGTTTGGTGTACATACCATATGTTTCTATATAAGAACACAGCGTTGTGTAACCAGGAGCAGCCCTTCCACATCGCACGGTTTGCCTGTTCGCCGCCACCAAGCAAGAGTGGACATTCGTGGAAGTGCACGTGTAACATACTAAGGACAGTCCTAGGGATGTGGAAAATGACAGTTTTGTCAATACAAACATATGTTTCTTACCCAAGTCAACTGTCAGCATGAGACACACAAAGAAGGACACGTACCTTACCATAGTTGCTTATGTAATGAGTATGACTATGTACGCAAAAACGATTTGTTAAGTTGCGATAATACAGGTCGTGGCCTAGAAAAGTTTTTATCTGGAGTGATGTAAAAAAGTGTCTGAATTATGTCGCAGAATAACAGCTTAACAATAAATTCAAATGGGGCAGTGTAATCAACTTCAGGTTACGTATAGTCAGAATTCATAAATATGTAAAAAATACACCGTATTGTTTTTCACTTTTATCGGGCTATATCAAATTTGGTAGCGTCTGGTATTTCCAGCTTACAGTTTTGACTTTTATCATGAATTTGTAATGGTTCTAAACCAGGCTATGTACCTATTGTAAAACAATGGCAGAATCTTGGTGAATTCGATGGGAAGAAATTGGCAGGTTCCCTTCCGATTTCGAACATCCCTGGGATTGGAAGGGGCGGGTCTCATTCTTCGTTCTGCATATATTTCAACTAAGGGTAGATGGAAAATGTAAGAGCGTATAATAACCTAGAATGATCTGAAAAGCCTTTTACTCTGTTGGGAGGCTACCGAAGTATCTGTAAAGTACCATCAAATACATCACTGATTTTCTGTAGCTCTCTATTCGCTTACCAAAGGATTGCCTGATCCTTGTAGTGATAGATATTCTTGAGTTCCCTTCCATTTTTACGATTAAATTGGTCTTTCGGTCTTTGCACTCGAAAATCCGTCCCCTACAAATTCCCCTTAAAAAATTATCCTTCCCCCGGAAAACTCCGTCGCCAAGAAAACTCGATCTTAAAGGAGTTGTCTTAAGAAACTCGACCTTAAAATATCTACTGTTATACCCGCAATTCGCTCCGGTGAATAGGCCTCAAGATTATATCGCCATAAAATAACTCGCCCCCAAAAGTTTATCCATTGCAGATTCGCCCCTTTTGACCGGGAGTTCCCTTAACAAGAAGGTGCTGAGGGAGGAGAGAATATTTCGGGGCGATATCCTTCAGTGTGGGCAATTGAGCGGGGCGAGTTTTCCGGGGCTAATTGACCGCACACGAGCAGGACAAAAATATAGGAACTCTCAACATTCTTGTATATGGCAAAGAATGCTTTGGAATTAAGTTTTATATTTATGCAAATAAATAAATAACAGATGATTATTGTATCAATTTTTTGTAATTATTGCTGTAATATTGTTTTGTACAAACTTAAGCGACATTGCCTAAACTTGTTTTTAAGAGGTATTGATAATAGGGGATACCAGTTTGAGTATGGAAGAAACTTAATAGATCAACCCCTTCAACCTTTTCCTAACTGATAAACGAATATTTCATTAACTAGATTCTGTTTTTGATAATTAGAATTCCAACACATATAAAGGTAGCAAACAGATTACTCCTTAACGATCTGCCCGAATTACAGTTATCAGATTCACAGAACCTACAGGATTTCACAGTAACCAAAGGGTTCGCCTTCTGAGTAACGAATTCACAAGCATCCTTAACGTATGTTCCAATTCTCTCGCATGTCCGCGTAACGCTGACCAAATCATCTACAAGTTTAACACTAGATCAAGGCGCCTCAGGTTAAAGTGACTCACCCTTAACTAGCTCAACCTTAATACACACATACCTAAAATTGTCCTTTGCAATGGTTTCATTTCTCTCCAAAATCCTATTTAAAACTTGTACTCCACGAAACCTGCCATCGACGATCTCCAATTCGGAATCTACAGATTGAAAACCCTCGTCGTCGCGGCGCTGCTTTGGAGAGTAGTTAAGGGAGTTACATTCCGCTGAGGCCACGATTGCGCTGTCAAAAGGATCTTCGCAGGCATCTGTTATTGCCGACTCACAGTGATAGCATCTCAGTGCGCCATTAACACTTTCGCCTGTCGAGACAATGTTAATAGAAACGTATGTACAGTTTAGTAATTGACAACTTGCTAGAAACTAGAACTGCTAAAAGCATCAGCTCGAGGAGAAATACACAAAACGTAACAGCCATGGCATGAAAACGTGTACGGTTCCAAATTTCGCACTGAGTTTCCTTGTTTAGTAGAGGCTTATCTTATCGTCGATATGGTAAATATACAACAAGGATGGGTAAGGCAGTGTGAGTAAGCTAAGTGTTGTAAAAGTTGTATCTGTAATCAGTACAGATACCAACGTATCATGAATGAATCACTCAACGACGTCTACAATCGAAACAACTGGTTCAATTACTCTCAAAGGGCACTGCATCAGAAGTCACCCCCTTGCTGCGTTATGCTGTGAATAATGGCTGACAACTCAAGATAATAGGCGGGGATTAGAACAAAATGGCATAAAATTTAACTTCTATGGAGCAAAGCACCTCATCGAGACCATTCACATTCTCCTTTTGTGTTTACTCCTGCATATTAAATATGAAAGGAGAATAATAAGGAAAACTTGGGCTTCAACAAACTTCAATTCCCGTCCTGATAATATAATCCCGTGGATATGCGGAAATTGAAGGATTGTCAGAATTTGGTAAAACACCACAACCTGAAGGGTCTAAAACTGCTATTACAAAATGCCAATTACATTGATTGCGAATTTTTCTTTTTAAGGGCCAGAAGCGTTCTTTTTGTTGAGAAAATTTGGCAGTGATGGGTTATTTTAGTGTTATATTACGTAGAATATTCCGGTTCAAGAACTATCAGAATGTGAGGAAATTTATGAGTCTCAAAAATTGCATTATGAACCAGGGAAAATACAGGGAAACCGAAAAATTTGTAGCGTAGAAAGTATTTGACGATTCGAATAATATAAAAGATCGGGAAAATTCGAGGACCTATAGTTCCTGAGGAAATTTGTGAGCTGAAGAATTTTATGTATCAGAAAACGGAAAAATTGAGTGTAACTGGAGCACCCATACAGTCATCTCGAGATCATAAATTTTGACAATTTGAAAAATGAAAAGAGTTTTGAGGGTTCGAAAAATTGAATAATATGAAAAATTGACAGAAGTAGAGGAATTTTACAAATCTGAAGAAATGTATGCAACTGACGAATTTTATCATGAATACCGCTACCACTGTGGTAGCAGAGAATGCTATCAGTACAACATTTTCCATTATCCAACACTATAAATTAAAGATATCAGCATCTTACAGCTTTCATAGGAGACTGGGTACATATGTTGACAAAAGACAGTTCTCCCGTCCGAAGGTAAAACCTAGTAAGTCAATTTTTGCTTAAAATTAGACTTTGAGACGATCTGAAAGTACTACTTTTTTCCTTTGTAGAGGTATAAACTTTGTAGATCACTTCCAACTAATAAGCATTCTACATTCAATGGAATTTTCTAGTAAGTGTCATAATTTATATCTTTTCAAAGCAAGAATATAGTAAATCCGATTTGCAGTGGAAGAACCTATCATTTCACTTAAACTATGGCATTTACTGAATAAACAACCTCACCTCCAAATGGAAAAACACAGCATTCATTCTTACTAGTTATTTCAATAGCGTTTAATTAAATTGAAGTTATTTTGATTTCTGCCGTTCAATGGAAGAACCTAGCAAAGCAATCTACCGATGGTCTTGCTTCCCGCCAAAAAGTGTAAGAACATAGTAAAGTCATATATTTACCAGAAATTAAAACCACCAGTAAGCATGATACCATTGGAAATAGCTAGCAAAGTACCTTATTAAATTTTTCATGGCTTATAGTGCAACATTTTCAATATTAATAAAACCGTAACTTGACATACTACATATTGGTGTAGTAAAAGCATCATAATTCCTGTTAAAAACATCGTATGTTCAATATTTTGCAAAATACTAAATATATTATAAAAACAATATAATAATCACAAACATAGCGACCTAAAACACCATAATGCCCATACTACAATTGTCAACTTTAATTGTCAACGTTATGTCAATACATTGTACTATTAATTGCTCTCTTGAAAAGTTCATAAAAATGAGTTACTGGGTTTTACCTTTTTACGGGAGAGTTTTCTAATAGCAGTTACACATGGGAGCAATAAGTATGGTATCAATCGTGGAATTGAAATAGGAGGAATTTCGGCGAGGATGGTTCCAATAGGTAGGCGTATGTATCATTTGTCCCTTTTTTCATATATGCTAGTCATATTCAATGTAGACTATAAGAGAGACTGGCCCTAAATCAGTTCTTTTAGAAATATGAGGGTTTTAAGAAAGCTAAGCTTAAATTTTGGTATAATAACAACATATTTTCTTCACAAAGACGTATGTACCATGATGATAAAAATGCTTTATAATTTAATGTATGCATTTCTTCTGACATCCTTTACATGGTATTAATATAAAAACCTTATACTATTCTTTATTCAAGTTACAAAAATCAAAAACACATAGCACGGTGTATCTTACAGATGACTAAGCATACCCAGTTTCAATAAATCGTGAAATTGCACATTACTATAGTAGTGATAACCTATCTTAATATACTTAATACAGAAAAGTTCAAAAATTAAACAAGCTCTTTACTACGAAGATAAGGATAGATCCACTTACTAAAGATGGGAATAAAATACTAGCTGAATTACAAAGGTCGGTTTGGCACGTTATACAAGTGACATTACTCTCTTTCGGCATGTCGACACAGGATTTTGCAGTACCGCATGACCGGATGAACTTGGGCGGTTCTGAAATGGATCATAGATAAGTTCACTGTGTGAATAGCTTTGATCGCTTACCAGTACTAATGGTAATGTTTTCAAAAATGCATGCAGTTTTTTCTGGGGCACATTCTACATTGAATTGCTTGTGCTTTGACGGCGTGGCGCAAGGGTCTGTCGTCGAGTTTCCACTGCAGTCATAGCACCTCAGGCTTGATCCTGAAACATGTATAATTATCAGAAAGATAAGAGAACCATTTTCATTTACCTAATTGCACTAAGGCGAGAAGTGCTACGCAGGAGTAGACGAACATATTCGTACCTTTAATTGTAGACTGGCGCAGGTGAAAAATATGAGACACCTTATCATGTGTTTATCTACAGATTGCGTGTGAGTGGGAAATTTTCGTCAATGTTGCGCTTCGTTTGTAATTTAAAAATAATCTTTTAGCCTAAATTTTAACCACAGTTTTTTGAGAGGTTACACACCCATAGGGGAGAAATAGAATATCACACGAGTACATACTCGTACGAATGTTGATGATTTTGTCACGTTAGCAGCTTGAAAGAATGAACTAACGGTTAAAGTTATACAGTCCACACTTCGCCAGACAAATACAGAAATAAATATTAAAATATGTCTCTTCTGCACACTTACCCTAGGAGTCCCTATCAAATGTGCTCTCGTAATCTGAACTGAACTTTATACATCGGGTCCAAGATAAAGATGTCTATCATGGAGATCTCGGAATATGAAGATACGAAGATAGTCAAATTCGGGAAAAGTTTCTCAACTATGGGACAAATTTCCCAGAAAATGAAAAATGAAAATATTGAGACATTTATCTGGGAATTTACAAATCTATCTGGGCATCTACAGATATTTCTAGAAATTTACAGCTCATTTGTTGGGTAAAATGTCCTCTGATCTCGTTTTGGATTTTGCAGTGTGTTTGTTGAGAACGGTTTTTGTGGGAAATGGAAAAAAGAAAATTTGGGCAGCTATTGTAACAATTCTAAATTGTGGTTTTAGTTTAACAGAATAATTAGGAACAAATGTTACTAACAAAACACATAAATTTTGTCGCTTAAGTTTTATCTAGAACCATGATGTAAAATAAGGGTGCTACCTGTCCTCCCTATTTTATATAACCACAAAATCCTTTAGATTGTAACGGTAGCTTGTAGGTTGAATTTAAATGTTTTAAAAATTTACTTGTGGGAGTTCTAAAAGTAGAATAATTTGATTACTGCATATCAAGAAATTTCACAGCAGGTTGAATTAACTGATAATCTCGGTGGAAATTCAAAAAATAAATTTGTCAAATTGTCATTTATTAAAATACAAACAGGAATATTATCAAAAAATGGATAATTAAAATTGTTTATTTTTATGCCTGAAGTGAGCCTCAACGGCGAAAAATTGAATTTTTATGAAAACCCACATTAAAGATAGTTATTTTTGTTTTAAGTAGGTACATTCTACTGAACTGCAGCTACCTATTAGTTACAAATTGAAAAAATAATGTGCCACCAAAAACACTGCACAGAGAAGGCGGTATGATTGGTAAATGGAAACTGACTTGTTGCAGTTATCTTGGTCGCAGGTATCGCATTGGGTTAGATTGAACGCATCACCCCCCTGTACAAAAAACATCGCTTGACACACGTTCAAATTTGGCGTTTTTGGAAAGCAACCTCTGCCGACGCGTGTAATATTTTGCCTCAGATCTGCAAAAAAAAGCGTTTACTTGATTTTGAAGGAAGGTCACTACTTACAGGTCTTCGTGTAGGATACACACTCGAATTCACTGGAGTTTGATGCTTCCAGCAAGTAAGTTGGGTTGACATGCTCCAAGTTAAAGAAAATAGACAAATCTGCTGAGGATCGGTTGCACAATTTAGAGGGAATCCTTGTCGTGTTGATATGTGTAAAACACGTTTGATTCGGCGATTGGGTCTGGCAAGTGTAGCAATGCAATGCAAGCGCTGAGGTACCATTTTTCAGTTGATTGCGGGATTAAAATTTTTACTCACCGGTTTGTGCAAAAGCAATGGCAATCAGAAAACAGACAGGAGAGGCGTAAACGGTCATCTTTACACGTTTTATACAAAAATACTGCTGTAAAGTAGGTATATAGTTGGGGATATTGGTTTCTTATCTTAACTTTTATCTTTGCAAGCCATAAACCTAGTTAAACATACCTCTGGGAGCATAATATTATAAGTTTTATTTTCAGCATATGTTGTCGGAGTTGGGGAACGTTATAATTGATCAAATAACCTTCCGAAAAGATCATTTGGAGTTTTTTCATAGATTCCAAATTGCAGAGTTCATTTTTGCCAAGAAATCCTACACAACGGTCAATTGACTGTGACGCCAAACGTTGACTAAGGTTTCAGCAGGAAAGTTGCCCTGCAACTAGGGAATGCAATACCGGGATTGCGGGATCTCGAAATACCGGGATCCCGCAGCATTTTTGCGAGATTAATCCCGCACATAAATGGAGCGGGATCTCGCGGGATTTGCGGGACGGAGGAATTTGTTGACCAAGGGGACGACTCTGTTTACTTTGTTAATGAAACTGATAACGGTGAATTATCTTTAAATAATTGTTAAACTTTTTTCGTTAAAAATGTACTATGATTTTTGAGACACTTTAGAAGACTTTTTGTGCTTTACAGGTAAGGTTTTTTTGAGTTCTAAGTTAGGCCGAAGGTACATTTTTGTTAAATATTGTGATAATTAGCGATTTATTTTAATACAGAATTTAACTGCACAGAATTGCTTATTTGCCAATTTATTTAAAGTTTTGCGAGATCCCGCAAATTCCGGATCCCGCGGGATTAACATCTAACAATCCCGCAAATACCGCGATTGAGATTTTGCTGCGGGATTGCATTCCCTACTAGAAACCAATTTCGAAAGAAAATTCAAAGGGCTGTAACTTTTGAACTAGTAGCCCAATCTTGGAACTGTTTGAAATTATGGATTCTACAGGCCACATTCTATTAGAAAATTTTTTTTCCGGGTCGATCTGAGACAAATTTTTTTGAGGGCCTCAAAAAAAGGCAGTGTACAACCTTCCTTTTTTAACCAAAATCGATTGCACCAAAATTTCTCGGTGAAACACTTTTTTCTTATTAATTTTGGTGCGTAGAATCCAAAACAATTCGTACTTTTTCGATCAGACTTTTCAATAAAAAGTTATAGACTAGAAAAGAAACGAATTTCGAAAGAAAATTCAAAGGGCTGTAACTTTTGAACTAGTAGCCCAATCTTGCAACTGTTTGAAATTATGGATTCTCCAGGCCACAAAGCAAGCAAATCAGAACATCAAAGTTTGAAGTTAATGTTCAGGAAAATAGAAAGAGAAATCTTTAGTAAGTAAATCATAGTAAAATTTGTGTATGGCAGTCAATTATTTTGCTAAAGTTTTCCAGATCACTTAAGAAATTCAACATTTTAATTTAATTAGGTAGGTTCAAGCCGCTTTAAGAAAAAAACTTGTTAGGTTGGTACTTTTTAAGATGAAGATTTGCTTTTTCTTCTTTCATTTCTTGAACGGTAGCTTATTATTTATTGTTACGTTCCTATGAGAGAAAAAATTCATGGGTAGGGTTTTGTACTATCAACTGTAAAAAATACTACCATCCTTTTATTATATCACATTGAATACCATTAATATACGATAGAAAGCAATACATAACTAAGGGTACAGGTACAGCTGTTCATTTACTGTACAAGTTTAGTATACCTGTACAACGCAACTACCTTCGGCGCTAGCCATTTCGTGAACGCCAACCTGCGCTGCGCAGTGGTTAAATCTTTTAGAATACACATCGCCAAACTTGGGGTTGAAACATGCATCTCCAAACAGGTGAATTGCAAGCCTATCTTTGCAGTCGAATACTCCATCGCAATTGCAATCCTACAAGAAAGCGTAACAAATCGATTTTAATCCAAATCAACTTACTCGATCATCAAAACGGTCAGTATAAGACTTTATGGTGTTCAAAATACAATTTTCGTTTTTCATGCAGCTATTATACGCATCTTTTAAGTTGTCGTAAGGTCCATCCGTATGACTTCCTCCGTCTATCCAATATTCCAAACTGATCGAGTACCTTGCACAATTAAACCGACTCCAACATCCCGACCTTGCATGACATACGCAATTGAGGCATTTTTGAATATCTGTTCCGATGAGGTTTTCCAACCCTAAAATCGACGCGGTTTAGATTTAATAGTTACATTTTTGGACGGCACCTTTCACATTTGTAAGGACACAAAACAAAGAAGTGACGATGAGAACTACTACAAACCGTTGCATGGTGAAGAATGTAAAAAATAAGATGCCGTTTAGTGAACCGATGGTTTTATCACGCTAGTTATCTTATGGCCTTTGATCTGTTGAATTCACTATTAGCAAGGATATTTCCGAAAAAGCCACGTACGTCATAACACGTGAGGAAAGTATGCGATCCCATGGTTTGTACCTCGCTTATTCCCAAATGAGACACGTTCAAAGGCAAATCTATAAAGAGGGAGATGGTAACCTGGAGAAAAAACGTACCAAGTACCGATAGCTACACCTCTATAGATAGTGAAAGATAAAAAATAGGAAATTAGTATAAGACAAATAAAAAATCAGTTAGAGTAAATATTGGAAACAAGTAAATAACCTTTCCCTCTGCGTTACATCATGAAGAAAAAGCAACACTTGTTTAAACACTACACAAATAGAAGCATTTTATTTACCGAAATCTATCAGGGAATAATTTGAGACGTAAAGAGGAGAGGGGATAGTTGCATGTATAAGATTGCACATTACGAGTAGGTGCAACATGAAAATATAGATCTCGAAGCAAATTAACGGCAATACATCAGTAACCGCAGATATACGTATTTTTATAGTTTTTAACGCAACCTTCGGCAATGAAAAATAGCTATTCCTAAGGGCTTTTCGCTCCGTCCGTCCTTCTTTGAAGTGATTTCACTTTCAGTTTTGATTGTGTTATGCCGTTACCAGATTTGTCAATTATTTTGGTTCTGCAACTTATAGTCCAGGGATGGGGAAATAGCGGCCCGCGTGCCAAATCCTGCTCACGATATACGGTCTCAGTTTTTGGAATTAAAATCCGGTGTCCCCCAGGGCGCTATTCTAAGCCCAATGCTTTTTTTAATCTACACCTCACAATTGATAAATGTTATCGAGTCAGGTGTCTTGTCATTTTTACGCCGATGACTCACAGCTGTACCCGAGTTTTGCACCCGAAGATGGTGATCATGCAAGTTAATTAATTAAGATCTAAGCAAACTCAGCAAATTCTGTAAAGATCATAAAGTAATATAGAATCCTAACAAGTGCGGTGTTATACTATTTGGTATAGGAGTGATGATAGGCAATGAATAATTAACAATATCGACATTAAAATAAATGGAGCAAGTATTGCAATTATGCGTTTGGATCGCTTGATAATATTCAGTTTCGTGATGTGGTTGTATGTATTACCTTTTTCTGCAGAGAAAAACTGTAGCTCCTTTGCCACCTATGGTGTGAAATGCAATTAGGCTAAATTTATAGAATCTGTTTTATATTATTGGTCAATTTAAATGTGAGTGAAATATTTAGTGTAATTTTCCCATTTTCGCATTACTTTTGGGATTTTGGCGTTACTTTCAATGCATCAATAAAAGAATTCAATTTAATATCATACTTACCTCAAATTAGTACCTACTTTTTCAAATTACTATAAATTTCAGTGAAATAATCAGTATGTTGTTAACCATAACCATTAAATTCTCTTACACATCCATTTCGCCGACTTTCCACAAGTCGAGTCTACATAGAAAAGTGAAAAATAGCAAAATAGATTTTTACTTCTCATCAATTTTCGTTGCATAATGAACAGTATACGCCTTTTTCAGCAATGAATGTATACCATGCTTACAATTAATTGTTATACAGTTTGATTTATAATTTAAATAAGTTTTAATAAAAAATTTATTTAATTCGGTTACTGAGTCGTGATCTAAGTATTCATCAATCTTCATCCATTGGCATTCACTGATTTCTCTATCACATTTCTCTATGTCGGTTGAAGTTGGTATTAAACTAACAATGAAGTAGAGATCAGAACAACCAAACATTCGCTCATGAGCTTGTGTCATAGTAAGCATTGAATGGAACTCCGTACTAATGTGAGTTTCTTCATATACTTCACGTATTGCCGCATCAACGATGTTTTCAGCAGGTTCCACATAACCGCCAGGTAGCTTCCACCAGTTGGTAAATCCATACCTTTCGCGCACTACTAACAACTCAGATTTATCGTTCACCACCACAGCTCCAACTCCAACCATTGTATGAGCATATGATGGAACGTTGTTCTCTTCCTTTGGAAGCCATCTAAACATCATAACATAATCAGTGTTTGCATGATGAAAATTAAAGCCTTTCTAAAAATTTCTCTATTGCAAGTATACTAAGTCAAAGATCTACATACTTTAGCCAAGATTGGTACCCAATCCGACTGCTGAATGTCCACCTTAAACCAAATGCCACGTTTTTTGCTGGTTTCCCATACCTTCATTGACTCTGCAAGCACATAACTTGAAGAACTGACATGCGCATGGTAGGGTTGTTACACAATCATTCACTCTGAAGCTCCAATAACTCCCTAAGTGCTTATCAGATGAATAACTTTATTGATAGGTTGGAAATGGTTCTAAAAATGTAAACTATGTATTAGCAAAGAGATAGTAAATGAGTAACGTAGTATCTGTAGGATATTACGCGATAAAGCATAATTTCATCATTCTTTAGCGTCTATTGATTGTTGTATATTAAAAAAATTGGGTTAATGAAACGATAATGAACTTGAAGAATTGTATAAAAACCCTGCTCATAAGAAATAAAAAGACATACCCTCCAAAGTGGCAAGAAAGTTAGGCAATTCGCAGTTTTCCTTCTGGGAGTCGACAGTAACGCCATTGAATCGATCCGTAAGCCCTTTGAACGGTTGTATTGCCGCCGACATGCTACTACTGGCAGTATGAATCCTTGAAACTAAATTTAGATGATCCACTACTTACTTGCTCAGGTTACGTAAGTTCAATCTCCGATAGAACTTACATGGTACTACTTTTCTGTTTATTAGATTAATTAAGAGCGAGGGCATTTATTCAACTTTGTGGGTAACATTTCGATGTCTATGTATATTTATATAAGCAGTCACCTGATGCAGATGTCAGTGTCACTGTTAGAACGATGAAATGGAAGGGGTGGGTCGCATTCAAGTCAAATTTGGAAACTAAGCCATTGTAGCTGAAACGTGTTCAATGATTGGTGGAAACGGTGTACTTCGATTGAATACGTAGTTTGAGAACAATAATTAGAAGGGCTACACAGGCCCTATTACGCATTTTACTACACAGAAAAGTAGAATTTTACTTACAAACGCCAGCGTACACATTTTCATGTTGTAGGCAACACAACATGCATATCAATATATCCGAACAAAATCTTACAGGCGCACAAGCATGTCATTAAATTTTCAGCCGATATTGATTTCAGTATTTTCAGAAGAAATTGATACCGTAAAACAAATGGAAAGCGTTATAAGTATTATAAAGCGAAATTGAAATCTGAGACGGTGAACTACAATGGAGGGGGGGGGGGGGCTTATACTGTTAGTCTTCTATACGACTACACCCAATGTAAATTTCCATAAGAGCGCCCGCCATGAAAATTCCAGTTGTTTTAAAAAAAAAATTTTTTTTAAGAACTATTTTATAAATTTAGACCTTTATCTACAAAATGTTCGGACTATTTTTTTAAAAAAGATTATAGCAACTGAATACCAATTGTTTAAAGATTTGATGTTTTGCACCTGCGCTAATCTGTTTTATTTTTTTGCTCTTGATCAAGACGATTTATGGAAAAAGTAAATCGACAGTTTTTTAAATAAGTTGCTTCTAAACATTACCCCAAATTGACTGGAGGTGATCTCTTAATTTGCGCAGTTTATTTGAAAACCAATTATACTACAGCGGTAATCACTTCTCCTTCTACTGTAATAAATTCTAATAAATTGGAAAAGGATCGGTTACAGTCATATTGATTATTGTTGATTAGATATTCCCAATCACATTCAAACAAAAGAATGAAAAATAAATTCATTCCCGAATCCGTTAATGGACGATGTACTTTAGTTATATAAGAGCACTCTGTGGGCATGTCAACATCTTTGGAAATAAAATTTTATCCTAAATTTTTATAGAAGAAAAAGATGTAGACCTACAAGCAAGGGCCAAAGACTGGGTAAAATATCGTAGAATCCATAATTTCAAACAGTTCCAAGATAGGGCTACTAGTTCAAAAGTTACAGCCCTTTGAATTTTCTTTCGAAATTGGTTTCTAGTCCATAACTTTTGATTGAGAAGTCCGATTGAAAAAGTACGAATTGATTTGGATTCTACGCACCCTAATTAATAAGAAAAAGTGTTTTCCCGAGAAATTTTGGTGCAGTCGATTTTTGGTAAAAAAGGAAGGTTATACACTGTCCTTTTTTGAGCCCCGAAGAAAAAATTGTCTCAGATCCACCCGGAAAAAAATTTTCTTATAGAATGTGGCCTGTAGAATCCATAATTTCAAACAGTTCCAAGATTGGGCTACTAGTTCAAAGGTTACAGCCCTTTGAATTTTCTTTCGAAATTGGTTTCTAGTCTATAACTTTTGATTGAGAAGTCTGATCGAAAAAGTACGAATTGGTTTGGATTCTACGCACCCAAATTAATAAGAAAAAGTGTTTTCCCGAGAAATTTTGGTGCAGTCGATTTTTGGTAAAAAAAGGGAGGTTATAACTGCCTTTTCGACATCGAGCGGCGAACGTAACATAGTCAAATATACTAAAAACCGAGGAATTTTCGTTTTCTTTTCAGATTTTGACGATTTTAACCCTGAAGGACCAGTTTGCCGAAAATAACTACTGAATGCGCTTTGAAAGTAGACTAAATTGTTTATAATTTGAGGCTACAACCGTTTCTATAGACGTAATAGTTTACGAGATAATGCTTTTCAAAGTTTATCGATTTTTTCAAAGTCGAAAATTGTTAGCACTATTTTGTTGTTCTGTAATTCTATAAAAGAAAACGAGAGGTGTAAATAATATTCTTAATTAAACTTCAAAACCGTCATTTTATAAAAAGAAATTTTGTTTGACTTCCATCTAAGTATATTTTCCCTTCTTGGACGAGCACGGTTGAGCATCGTCCATTTCCTCACTTGAAAGGTTTGTGGCTGGATTGTCAATATCTTGTGTAACATCTCTCCACAATACATCCTCCACCATTTCTAGATCAGAAAAAAATCAGGGAAAATAAAAAACGGCATCAAATTATTGTAAAGTAAAAATATCCAGCACTGAACTGAACAGAACTAAATCAAACGATTACACTCTTGGATCTTTGACATTAACAGCTAATGATTTAGGATTTAAATAATGTTACTACCACCCTGAAGTTACTTAGAATGGTAGTAGAGATAGAATACTCATTAACGATGATCGGTATTAAAAAGAAAATGCCTATCTCAATGCAAATCAAATGGCAACGCTGGAAAAGGAATATGAAAGGAAAAGATAATCTGATAAACAGGTCAAAATGGCTTGAGGAGGAGTCAAATATTGCATGTGAAATTTTACCAACAACGTCATAACCCTGGTCATAACTATAATGGCACCAATTTTATAACGTAGAGAGAAAAAATGGATTGTGGCATTTTGTTTTAATTTGCGAGTGTGTAAAGTCAATGTCGGGATTTCCCTTTGTGCTAGGACCCAGCTGTATCCTGAGTCTGGTCTTGAAAGTTAATACAATTGAAAATAATGGTAATTATGCGCTAGTATAGTCCGTAATCCGTGCATAGACGCTTTAATATCTACATCCGAAAGCACTGGAAGATTTCACATTATTCAAATTTTGGCAATTATTAATGCTTCATACAACAAACTTTTATAATATAATCAATCTCTTCATGGCAATATTAGAGCTATCGAACTTAATTGATTAATTAACTTTCTTTCAAACTTATATCCCCGATTTCCTGTAAACAAATTCTGGAACATGTTCGCTTCATTCGTATAAGAACGCTAAGACCGGGTACAAGTACAATTATTCGAATTAGATATTTGAAATACGAGTACCTACTACGAAAAGGGAATTTATTGGAATAGGTAATAGATGAATATCGAGTATTTGTTTAGTTGAAGTTTAAGTAAATTAGGTGAACTAATTAGAATTCCATTTAAAGTTTTGCATCGTCCGAAACTAAGGACGTTTTATTCGCATACAAACGCTATTTAGGAGATTCTTGGAGAAGGAACAACATTCAATGTTTTTGAGCTGACGCCGTGACGCGACGTTTCATTAAAACGATTTTAGCACATACGCAACGTGATTCATATTGATCGTACTTTTGAGAAGCTTCTGTCTATCTGTACTGTAGTACGTCTTTTTTTTTTTTTTACAGTATCAAAGAAAATGAATGGCTACTAAGAACATTACTCGGAGGTTATAAGAAATTTAGTAATAGGCAATTCTTACGTGCCTTATGGTAGATAATGTAGAATACTTGAGCCCGTTGGATGTATGAGCGATAACTAAAATGTATAGTATATACAAGACAGTGATTTTTCTCTACTTTCTCGTGGAAATTTGGTAGGGCAAGTTAAATTTATGGGCGTCATAACGCATGAAAGTACCCTGGAATTTTAATCCTAAAAATTTAATAGAACCGGGAGTTTAAATACTAAAAGGGAACGAAAACGATAATTAAAAATTTCTTTTGCATTTTATAAGAGTAATTATCTTTCAGTTGAGCAGGTTATAACAAGTCTCTGGAGCAGGGTGAAAAGGAATACACAATTAAGTAAAAGTTGCTTTTCCAGTGGTAGGTACAAGTATTAAGTCCATTTTTCAATAGCATTAGATAGAAAATTCCGCCGACATTAACGTTAGTATAAAAATCCAAGTTATTGTGTAAGTTTCAGTTCGCCTACTACAAATTTATAGTCCACTAAAATCGGCTAGTGACCCGGAACCGTCCAAATTTTCTAATATATTGTTACGTTTTTTACCATTAATATGTATATCGCATTCTTTCGGTGATAAATTTGAGTATTTTCCTTTGACTATACAGAGGGTATTCTGCTAACTTTTGGGAAAGTTGTTCTCGAACTCTTTCACATTTTTACTTCGGAAGGCTTTTAAACTGCTTCTCAAACAAACTTTACCTTTTAAAAGTTATCTTTCGGAAGGTTAAAAATACTTTTCCAAGTCGGTCAATTTTATTGAAGCGGGCAAATTAAAAATAACACGTTTATTCAAAATAAATATTGGCCGAAGGTTTTTGTACAAGCTTAAACAGAGTAGTGACGCGAATTGAAAGCTACATTTTTAATTAATGCACATTTGTCACGCCATAAATTGTCCATTTACACAAACAACCGCAATTCTTGCCAGAAATTCACAAATCAAATTACTGTAGGCTACGACACTTTTGGTAAAATTACATATTTTTCGATAGTTTAAGCACTTGGAATTGTCGTGGGGCGTGTGCCCATGAAAGTCTCTTTAAAATACAATTTAACATAAGTTACATACACCAAATTACACATTAAATCGAGCCAAAAAATAGTAAAAACGGACTGTGCCCAAGCACGATAAATAAATATCATCTTCCAATTAAAAAATTAAGCTTGCGTGTTATCCATATTTTTCCACTAGATGCGACTTCCGCGGATTTTCTAAGCTTCTCCTCTTTCCAAGCCAAGCGCACGCTGTGATTTTCTGGTCCCCAGTTCGTTGTATTGAAAGTCTCCCATATCATCTAAGCGGAGGGTGACTCAGAGAGCAATTTGTGGCGATGAATACTTACGGCAGGAAACCCAAATTTTCTATTCTTGTAAAAACTCACACCAAAGAACGAGGCAAATATCATCACGCTTACGCAAACAATGGCCCATCCAAGTCCCAAAGCCAAATCGGATATTTCGTACGACCCATAATCTAATCGCGTCAGAGTGGCGAGGGAGTAGATGAAAACGATTATGAGAAACAATGGCGTAATGATGGTCCACGTAATTCTCCAGTAAATTCCCACCTTTTGTTTAGTCATAAACTCGAGGTCGTTGCAAAAGTTTTCAGAACCTACAACGCTCAGTATTATTTCCATGTAGGTATATACTACAGTTGCACTTACCGTAACACCACATAAGAGTAACTATCTCAATAATGGCAAAGACGAAGATTACCATGTTTCCGCCGAAGAAATCCACCACAGTTAAAATGAACTGTCCACCCTAAAATTTTCCAAATTTTTCATATAAGCTCAGTGACTGATAAGTATTACAAGAAGTGAACAGTTAAAATTAAAAACCTTTCATTAAAAACATCTTTTGGATAAATTTGTGTAAGAAAAAATAGTATATTTTCGGCGGCTAAACACAGGCGCGCCATGAAAAGTAATACTCCATACTACTATTTTATAGTAATGTACAAAGCGGAAAATATCAATTTTTAGAGACATCTCTAATCTAATCAATTTTCACAGCATATGTATCTGTTGGTGAAGGACCTCACAACGAACTGATGGAGAAGATGTAAGATGATCCAGACACAATCACCCACCCATCTTACAGGAGTGTGAACTTCCTGTGGCGGAAAGAGTTTCAGGGAGAGAACAAGAGAGAGATAATAAAATTAATTACGTTGACTAATGTGAGCAAGCCGATGTTACTTGAGGGAGAGTATTCCTGAAAACGAATTTTGTCACAAAAGTAGATGGAGAACTCTGTATACCGGGTGGTGCCTAGCGCGACGCAGCATAGGGATTTCAATGGTAATTTCTTTATAGTTAATTACTGGCTCCCCTAATTATTTTAGAGCAAAAGTCTAAATAAGTTTTTTTTAGAGAAACAAATACTGAATCTGTTCATGCTATTATTCATAATTTTCCGTTTGTCAAAACCGTAGAAATCAACAAAGTAAAAAGGTTCATTTTACAATAAATCAGATATGCCTTGGAATTACCTAAAGAAACAGCGATCACGTTTCATTATTTGCCTTTGACGTATATTAACTTTATACTTGTTTATAAATTAGTTAAAGAACTGAAAGAGCAATAACGTTCAAAATGTCCATCAAAACCATCAGGAAAACGACAATACATTCAACGTTTTGGCTGCAGTAGCGGAAAATCCGAATATAAGTTTAGGAACAAATCTGTTTCAAATCAGTTTTTTTTTCTTCGATTATGTAGGTACCTACTCTGATTCTCTCTGATAAACAAATAGTATCTGATGCAGGTGCAGCATACATTCTCTAAAAAAACATTACCCAATTGCCGCTTTTTCTTGCATGTGATAGTTGTAACAGAATTAAATATGAAAATCGTTCGACGTCAAATAACGATAACTTAGATGCGATGCGCTTGTAATTTGTTAAAAGATTCCAAAGCATCACTGATTTATAAAAATGTAATTTTTTATTTTGTCGATTTCTACGGTTTTGAAAAATGGAAAATTATAACTAAAAGTATGAACAGATGCAGTATTTTTTTCTCTAAAAAAAACTTATTTAGACTTTTGCTCTAAAATAATTAGGGGAGCTAGTAATTGACTATAAAGAAATTACCATTGAAATCCCTATGCTGCGTTGCGCTAGGCACCACCCTGTATAGGAACCGAGGTGAACCTTTTTACTCCTAATTGACAGTACGGGTAGAAAGAGGGGGGAGGGGGGAGTCAAAGTTTGTTCGGTGATAAAATTTGCAGCTGCGGATATTCTGAATTTTCTTGAATACTTTCAATAAAATTGTACACAATTTTTTTAGGAACCTATGGTTATTTTGAATATAAGTCAAAGTCCATTATAGCATATTAAGTATGGAGAACGGTAAGGGATTTTTACCGTTCGAATAGACAATTGTTATTGTTATGAGAACGGTAACCCTTAACGTTCGACGTGCTTATATCATTTTTGCGCGACCGGAATTAAATTATGTCACATAATATATAATCACAGATTTAATATTTAAATCTGTGATATAATGCACTGAGAAATTAAGAAGCGGACTAAAGGTAACCAGTTTATTTGTCAAAACTGAAATTAATAATTTCACAAAATTGTGCATGTGTCTGTGTAGTTTGCTAGCTTTTGCACTTCCGTTATGAGCGAGGTGTTCGACGGTGGCCGAATGGTATGTCGAAGATTCCTTTACAGAACAAAATGGAAATTGCAGATAAAATTTTATCCACTGATAGTGACATTAAATTGAAATGTGTTAAGAAAAACGAAAGCACATCTTCAAACACATTCAATTGATCTTTTTTGCTTCAGGTTCAAATGAAGAACGTGTTCTTTTTATAGGAAACAACAGCACAAATTCTACGTCTAATCTTTATTCAATGGTTTAATGTAGTAATAATTAAATTTAAATGTAATGTAAGACTTTGAGTGTTTATTTTGAACTGATTGTTTTTATAGAGACGTCGGTATGTATTTTTACCCGAAATCGTATTTCTTGATTAATATAATAATTCTTGATTAATACCAATCTGTCAATGATGACAGGAGTCATTATAGACATTTAGCAATGTGACAAGTGCGGCCGGTAAAGTGACAGGTGGCAGGAAAAGTAGACTGGTCTGCCTCCGTCATGGAAACTAAAGCCCCATTCACATAGGTGGTAGTGCAGTGCTGTTGCGGTGCGGTGCCTTTGTATAAAAGTTTGAAATACGTATACCCATATGACAATTCACAATGACATGTGCAGTGCAGACGAATTGCAGCCGCGTGCCGAAAGTATGTAAACTTCAAACTTTCTGCACTACCTTAGCAAGCACCAATAGAAGCGCAACATTTGTCGTGGCGATCTGTCAAAGCAAATTTGCTGCTGCTGATTGGTCATACTTATGTAGGCGGGCCAATTTTGCGGTGATTGTGAAAGCAAATGTCAACATGACAGCACCAACCCGCACCGCATAACAAGGCAACAGCATCGCACTACCACCTATCTGAATGGGGCTTAACACTTTCCTGACACAAAGTAGGCATGAAAATGAATGTTTCATGACGATTTTGGGTAAAAATACTTACCGACGCCTTTTTAAAAACAATCAGTTCAAAATCAACAGTCTTACAATACATTTAATCTTTAATTATTGTTACATTAAACCTACAATTTGTGCTGTTGTTTCCTATAGAAAGAAGACGTTTATTCATTTATACCTAAAGGCCCTAAAGCAATAGATATCAATGTGTTTGAAGATGTGCTTTCGTTTTTCTTAACATATTCCAATTACAATTTTGTTCTGTAAAGAATCTTCGACATACCATTCGGCCACCGGCGAATACCTCGCTCATTAAGTCATTATGGAAGTGCAAAGCTAGCAAACTACATCAGAGACATGCACAATTTTATGAAATGATTAATTTCAATTTTGACAAATAAACTGGTTACCTAGTGATGTATTTATTTATTTATTCTGCTCGTTAATTTCTTATAGTGCATATTTATATTAGTTGCATAATTTTAATTTCGATCGCGCAAAAAATGTTATAAGCACGTCGAACGTTAAGGGTTGCCATTCTCAAACAATTGTCTTCGAACGGTAAAAATTCCTTACCTATACTTATACTTAATATACTATTGCCGCCGTCGTAATTATGATATGGTTTTTTGGCTATTTGCCTAACTATAATAATTACACCCTCAGGTCACTACTTTAGATAGAACTCACCGGCGTGATGTACACCAATCCGACCAGAAATCCAAATAGCGCTGTCGCCGCCGAAACCTTCCAAGGTTTAATTGTAGGGAAATTGTCCATGATCATTGTGTTTGCGCATCCGTGAAGTGCTACCAAGCTTCCAATTCCCAAGACGAAAAGCATAATGAAGAAGAGAATTGCAAAAAGCTGAAACGAATTATTGGTTTACCCCACGCCAAACTGGTACCAACAACGTACCCAGGGAACGCTTTGAAATTTTGCAATTGCATCAGGATAGGAAATGAATGCCAAACCCGTGCCTCCCGATTTAACAACGTCCTCAACCGGCACGTTTAGTTCATGTGCCAAGTTGCCCAAGATGCCGAAGATTGTCGTACCCGCCAAAAGAGAAGTAAAGGTATCCAATGTCGTTACGACCAATGCATCTCTGTTGATGTTGTGGTCGAAACTGTTGTAAGACGAGTACATGATAATGCTTCCAAGTCCGACGTTCAGTGAGAAAAAACATTGGGTAACGGCAGCGTACCAAACCTCTGCCCTCGCCAATTTACTCCATTGAGGTGTTACAAAATACAACATTCCCTCAGTGGAGCCCTCTAATGTTACTGCTCGTATTAAAAGCGCACCCATAACAACGTATGGAAACAGGGCGAGAAAGTAGGAGACTTTCCCAGAACTTTTTACTCCCTTGACGGAAACCGCAAAAGTTAAAAACCAGGCTACTAGCAGGCACAGTGTGAGTCTCCATTCGGGAGGACCTACTCCATCATTAATCTGCTCCTTTTCTTTCAACACTTCCTTTCTGAAGCGGAAGGTGTTAGAAAGTCAATGTTTTTGCTACATACTTACGTAAACCACAGTTCGGAAGAACTAATCTTGTTCCGACCAGTCACACTCTCCGTATCCTTGGATGAAACGCATGTGACATTTCTTTGAGAATTTTCCGTTTCCCACTCCACTTTACAGTGTGACCAAGGAAGATCAGAAGTAAATGAACTTACAAGATAGAATAATGTCAACGCCATTAGTGAACAGTAGTAGGTGGCTATACAAGTACTGCCCAGCAGTTGACCATACCCTATTCCTGAAATCCACAATATATGTTATGGAACGATTTCATAATGGTCAACCTTTAATTGCGGGGCTCAAGCTTGAAAATGACTGGACGTTCCCTCTGCTTGTAAACTGTCCTAGTGCCATCTCCAAGTAATACAAAGGACGCCCAATTACTATCAGCACAACAATGTAAGGTATCAGAAAAGCTCCCCCGCCATTTTCATACGCCGTAAACGGAAATCTCCATATGTTCCCCAAACCTACCGACATAGCGATGCACGACATGAGAAACTCCAACCCATTTCCCCATTGCGCTCTTTCAGTTTCGATACCGTCGACTTTGATTTTCTGTAATGAAAAGGGATAATTAAAGTCTACACAGTTAAAGCGGGGTAGGTACACAGTATTTTTAACGAATTCCTCTTAAAATTAAGCGTTCAAGTTAAGAGGATTTAATAAAAAGGAGGAATAAACCTAATGCGATTATTCAAATCTGTTATTTAATGTTCGGAATACTCCGTTCGGCTTAAATAAGATAAATCGCGAAGAAATGGCACTGCTTTTAAAGGTTGTAGTAATTAAACTTTTGCTGCGGCACTTACATGTAATTAACAAATGTAATTTACGTTTCATACTTCACTGCTACGTCCCATGATCGTTCATGTGCGAATCCGTAAAACTTTGAAGTTAATTGAAAGGTCATCAATTGATATTTTTTGTAACAATTTTTAATTGAATTGAGCTTTTACTACTGCTCTTCGACTCCCACGTTAGAGTTGATTAGAACTCAACTGCTGCCTGTCGAAGCACAGTGGAAAAACCATCATACATTTAAACGCTGTTCTCCAAATAGGTAGAATTTCGGAAAAACGTCGAGTGATTTTTATTATATGAGGCTCGAAGGTTAGCTATGGTGTGGAAAACACAAAACGGGGACGATTAATCCTTCGGGCTTAGAAATTGGCGTTGAATATTGGTGTTGGTGGTGTTGCATATTTGTTTCACGCTTAAAAAGGAGTAAACATGGAAAAGGTTTAATTCTGAGACTGTGCTTTGCTGGGGTACACTTTAAATCGAGAGAACGTTCAGCGTATTGTGCTTTATAATCAAAACTATCGAGTATAAAACTCGGTATAAAATTAAAAATTAATTCAAATTTGCAATTCTTAGAATTTTGAGTTTGAGTTACAACTCGGAATGTTAACTATAATGAGTCTTTTTGGACGCCTTCTACACTCTAGTTCGTGTTTGGCAAGAACAACATCGAAGGCTTAAGAAATGTTACATGTGATAAATATCAACCAAAAGGATGTCACGATATCCCTTTTTCGATGGTGGTGGGTAAAGCGCTGTGGGGAATTTTAAAATGCGGTACTCTCATTCGAATGGATGTTGTTTAAGTTGATAGTCCAAGAACTTTTAGTGGAAAAACAAACAAAGCTGTTTCTATTCAAAGCACTACTCTTTATATTTATTTATTAAGTGTGGTAATAACTGTTATAAGTTTTTAAATAATGTATAGGTAGTGGGAAATGTGTCATTCGTAGTTTACGCAAGTAGGTAACACGAAAAATACGTAACTGGCCGCACGTGCTTTTTTCGTGTTTATGTTTCAGGCGTCTACCTTCAATAGTGCGAAGGCTGTCTATCAAGACGCCCTTTAAACTTTTATCAAACCCAAACGTTTGCAAATTTAAATTATGCATACATACCTAACGTCCGCCATACTGGTATACGCAGGGACAAAAGAAACATATATAACGGGGCGACTAAAAGATGAACGTGATGAGAAAATGAAGCTGTTACAAATTGCCGAGTTTACTTATAGCTTACTAAGTTTATAAAGAATTAAAAATGTTTCATTTCAAATTAACCCAGCGATTATTTTCGTTTACGGCCGGAAATAAACTCGGAAATGTAACCTTAAAGCAAAATGTAAAAAGGATCGTTTAGCTTTATCGGTTGGCGGGTTGTTTTACTAAAATATTTAATCACGCCTTAAAATTGTTCTACTTCCGCTAAATGAAATTTGAAAGTTTAAAGCGGCGCGTCCTTTGAACGCGGTGTCTTCTGGATCAACAGTGCTCGAGGAGAGGTTAAATCAATATTGAACTTCAGGACAAATTTTGTTAGTTTTATGCCTTTTTTATTCGATCTGTAAGATTAAGAAATCCCGATGGCAAATATCTACTATACTTTTGAGAGTCTACATTATCCATATATCTCAAACATAAATAAGAACTAGGTACTTCAAACAAAACGGAAAGTATTTTTCCAATAGTCTGACAAGAATCTGTTTCACATTTTTTCGTAAGGAATGTACTAACAGTGGTTTAATCTGAATATTTTGGGCTTGATCTTAAGCAGACAATACTTTAATTTAAATCTAGAAAGTAAAATAAAATATTCGCCACGTGTATTTTAACCAAGATGTGTCGACATTTTTCAGATAACGTACCTTAATGTCCAAGAAAACCGAACTTGATACCTACCTACCTTTCCATGTCCATTTTTAATACGATTTTTATCAAAATCTACTGATTTCATTGGAAAAAAGTGGAAATGATCTTGACGTCCAAGATAACCACCGCGCGCGTTCAGACAAAAAGATGTCAAAAGCTTCTTTCACTAGGTACTTCGTTAGAGAAATCTAGAAACGCTGCATTGATTCTTTGCAAATAGAACACAATTCTCTAATTTCAATACCTGAATACTACGTAGTTGAAATGCATATTACGTAAGTCGATTAGGATTAACTTTTTACATGTTATTTTTTATTTCACTTTTTATTCGGGAATTCCGTTCCCAAGAAGTTGAATAATTCACAAATCATGACAGCACAAAACTTGTTTCATGCAGCAAAAAAGAGCACAAAGTTACGTATAGGCGTTGAAATTCCGTTAATAAATTGAAAAATTAGAGTAACTCAAAAACTCAATACGTTCAAAACGCTTTTATTAGTATCAGCGTTAAAATATGTTACTGTAGCAACTCTTTTTAAATTAATAGCAGAAACTCGTGAATGTACCAAGAGTATATGCAGAACAGCTAATCCTCCCTAACGTTCGCAATGGTAAAAAAAAAACAAGGCGGATGCATTCAACACCAAATACAGCTATTTTCAGATAGCTAAAATCGTTAGTAGACGAAGACATTCCAGATGTTGAAAATAGCTCCGTTGCCCTTTCAATGCCAACTTGTAAATCCGGCTCATTGTTGTGATCTACGTAACTAATTTGTGATGTACATGGTGACTGAATAATACCCCTAACCACAACCAATAAATCATTTCCATTGAGGCGGAGTAAAACAGAAAGCAATCCAGTATAGCAATCGATTGGCAAAGTTTGGTACAGACAGACGTATCTACGATATGAGCATTTCCAAAAGTTCGCCCAAAAAGTTATTGTTCTATAAGCAAGGTCAATTGCTAATTTAATACCAGACACTTAAACAAAAGTAAAAAAGACAGATCCACTTACCGTTTCTGAATCCTTTGTCGCCCTGCCATTTTCTCCGTTTTCGATTTGAAACCCTGGATTATCCTGACCAAATTTCTGAAACACAATTACAATTAATATTTTAATAACTATGATTGCCGTCCATTTGCCTTGGGTACTTAATTACACGGTTCGTGCTGTGTAAAAAAAATTTAAAACCGTTACCCATGACAAGACACTAATATGCAACTGCAAGGTTTCACACTTTCACAACTATAACAAAGAATTAAATATGTAAAGCAATCACCTCCGCGTTTGATGTCATCTCAAATAACCAACAGAATGCAGGTAACGAGTGCAGCTAACGTACGGAATGAATTATATTTGATAGGTAAATAATAGTCGCCTAATGATAAAAACCATGTCGAATTTGCTAATTTCCACCGTAATTGCGACGACGTGGTGGGGTATGGCGAGATAGCATTGCTGTTCCTTTATTTTCCTTACTTATCATCTTAATCACTTTGTTTGTTAAGGTTTAAGTGAAATGTAATGAGAGGGATTTAAGATAAATGGTCCTTGATCGTTTTTTACCAACCCATAATAGTTGTAGATGCCTCTTTGGTATGTCACATCTCAGTTTGAGGTTTGGCTCTCTAACATAATTTAAGATAATTTGATATGGATGCACGTTACAGATCTGTTAAATTACCTATAGTTTTCTGAAATTTCCAAAATTATCTACTTACTAAAGATTATTCTTTTTTATTGTGAGTTATGCGGTTGTTCACAATGGATTCTGCATGTAACGTAATACTTTCGATCCTTAATGCGAGTCTTTTCCTCTTTATTATTTGTCTAAATTACACAAACTAAAAACCAAATCCAAATAATTGTTAATTTGCAGAATTTCATCTGACGCACCAGTACCTATTCTCTTATTTATTTGTAAAATTGAATTAGAATTGAATATAGAAATGAGTGCATAAAAAATGTCGCTGCTTCCTGGACTATAAGGGTATTTTTAAATTGTTCTCGAGGTACATTTAAGTCGTTTTTCCAAGATAACTTATCTATAAATTGAGTTCGAACAATTTCCAAAATTGCTATAAGTTCGTAATATCTAGGCAATAACGCCCCGAAAATGAGGTCTCCTTTTTTCATTTACAAAATATGGCACCCTAATAGCCCTCGACGTTACCCCTAAAAAAAAAAGATTATTTGAAAACATTTTAAGAAATCCCGGCGTTATTGCCTAGCTAAAGCATTCACCTTTCACATAGCGTAGGCGGTACAACTGAAAATCGAGGTAAATGCTGCACTTTGTGACAAAAGCATGAAACTCGGTACACATGTTTATTAGGTCCAAATAAAACTTTTGACCCGCAGCACCCACCGAAATTTTCGTGTGGGTTCAAAATTTGAACACTTTTGTTCAAAAGGGTGTTCAAGGTTTTAAACCTGTAAAAATTGACGAATTTCGGCATTCTAGGGGTCGTTTTTGAATGATTTAGGGTCGCTGGTGCCAATGGCGGCATTAAATAAGTTTCATATCTGACCCTTAGGCCTCAAATTTGGATTATTTTCAAAATAATGGTTAAATTTGTATTTGATAGTTTTAACCCTGCGTGATGTTTCGGATGTCGATTCCAGCTAATTTGGACGTGCACTACACACTAGAAATGTTATATTGAAGTTAAAACAGTTTCTGGTGTGTAAATAGGCCGTTAATCGTTCAATAATTTGTTCAAAATTTGGAAATGCCATACTTGAAGGATATTTTGCCGTTCTTGGTGTCGTTTCCATATAATTTGTGGTTGCTGATGCTGATTTTGTATTCAGAAAACAGATGCGACTCATAGTTGGGCCCTTTTCATACTATTTTACCTATTAAGAGGGAATGTTCGGCGCAGTCATGCCCTTGTTGCCCCGGATTGCAACAACTATTGAATGACAAAGAAAGACGAAAGAGAGGGGCATTTCATTAAGATTCGGAAGTGGACATGTTCTCTGACGGGATATGTCGCCTATGTTTCCATTATTGCCCTCCCGTCATCGTTTGTTGGGAAATCTGTACTTCCAGTCAGTCTTGAGTTCACTCCACGACAAGTAACATCACGCAGCGAGCTAGTTCCGTCCGACTCGTGTCCCTGGAAATGAGGATATTGCAACGATACCGTGAAACGCGATCGATCGCGACGCAGTGCCTGGGCTTTTCCTGAAGTCGCCAAGGCAGCCCCCAAAGTACATCAGACGGCGGGCGATACTATTAGGCCGCGAGTCACAGGCGTTTTAGGCCCTGCGCGTCGCTGTAGGAACTCTGCGAGACCGTTACCACCATGACCTGACTAGCCAGAAGCTGGTGGTTCTGGCGGCGCCAGTCTCACTGGTCAGCGGTGCGCTGGCAAGTGTGTTGTTTATGCCAGAGCAATTCAACAAAAAACTTGTGTGTTCTGCCAGTAATCCAGTGCTTGCGAAGCGTAACACGAGCTATCTATCTCTTGGTACGAACTTGGAGCAGTTACCTATGCAGTACCCTATGCATACACGCTAGAGGCCGGTTATCTGGTGCAACAACTCAACGAATGGAGGGGATTTTAAAGCTGCTTTCATTCATTACCAAGCAAAGTGGCACAAAGCCTGTGCATCGAAGTTCCAAGGGACTAAATTTGATAAACTTTTACTAAAAGTGTAGTCTTCTACCAGTGCTATTGATGTACCTGAAGAGGCACTAGACTGGCGGCCAGAACCAGCTTCTGGATGGTCATGGTGGTAACGGTCTCTCAATATGCGCTTAGAGTTCCTACAGCGACGCGCAGAGCCTAAAACGCCTGTGACTCGCGGCCTAATCGTATGGCAGGCTGTCTGATGTACTTTGGGGTTGCCTCGGCGACTTCAGGGAACGCCCAGGGACTGCGTCGCGATCGATGGTGTTTCACGGTATCGTTGTGATATCCTCGCTTCAAGGCAAGGGCGTCGCCAGAGGGGGCGGGGGAGGGCAGCGGCCCCCGTTTAGAGATGAAAAAAAGTAGCAAAATGCAAAGCAACCAGTCCAAAAACCCAAGTGTCATGGTTTTCTTGACCGATAATTGCTTATTACAATTATTGTGGTTGTAGAGGTAAGACAGTACAAGAGTAAAAGTTTATGTGCTCTGCACTATACCTACAATTAATAATTTTTTTATCCTTCATATGTCAACTTGCCCATTTCTGGGCCATCAGCTGGAGACACTCTTGTTTAAAGGGGCACGAGTCGGACGGAACTTGCTCGCTGCGTGATGTTACTTGTCATGGAGTGAGCTCAAGACTGACTGGAAGCACAGATTTCCCAACAAACGATGACGGGAGGGCAATAATGGAAGCATAGGCGACATATCCCGTCAGAGAACATGTCCACTTCCGAATCTTAATGAAATGCCCCTCTCTTTCGTCTTTCTTTGTCATTCAATAGTTGTTGCAATCCGGGCCAACAAGGGCATGACTGCGCCGAACATTCCCTCTTAATAAGTAAAATAGTATGAAAAGGGCCTAACTATGAGTCGCATCTGTTTTCTGAATACAAAATCAGCATCAGCAACCACAAATTATATGGAAACGACACCAAGAAAGGCAAAATCCTTCAAGTATGGAATTTCCAAATTTTGAATAAATTATTGAACGATTAACGGCCTATTTACACACCAGAAACTGTTTTAACTTCAATATAATATTTCTAGCTAGTAGTGCACGTCCAAATTAGCTGGAATCGACATCCGAAACATCACGCAGGGTTAAAACTATCAAATTCAAAATTTAACCGTTATTTTGAAAATACTCCAAATTTGGGGCCTAAGGGTCAGATATGCAACTTTTTAATGCCTCCATTAGCACCAGCGACCCTAAATCATTCAAAAACGACCCCTAGAATGCCGAAATTCGTCAATTTTTACAGGTTTAAAATCTTGAACACCCTTTTGAACAAAAGTGTTCAAATTTTGAACCCACACGAAAATTTCGATGGGTGCTGCGGGCCAAAAGTTTTATTTGGACCTAATAAACACGTGTACCGAGTTTCATGCTTTTGTCACAAAATGCAGCGAAATAGTACATTATACATATATCAAGGTAGAGAAGTCCACTATTATTGCCTGAGCACCAAGATTACATCTCGAGGCGCTTACGCCGAGGGGTGTAAGGTGCGAAGGCAATAATAGACTTCTCTACCGTGGTATATATACTATTTTTTTCACTACTAGCACCTGAAATCCTCTAAATTAACATATTATATTGATAAGAGAGTTAACGGTTGGACAGAATTGTTTGTTTCTTAATTTAACATGTCAATCAAGTACGTGGAAGTACAAGTCAAACAGGCCGTATTTTGTTCTATCATTGAGATATTTTCAGAGTAATTTCGTTCGAATTTTTTCAAATTGTGATAATTTTAGGTATGTAATTTCTCTGGAAATTGCGAATGGTGGCAATTATTCGTTTTAGAGAACTTGTCTAAACGTTCATTGAGCGAGATTTCGGGTTGAGTTTTCTAAAAGTGACAGCGTGACAGTTCTCATTATTGACTACTAGTTAATAATAAAAAATTATTAACCACTTTGAACAAATGCCGAGAAAGCCTACTTTACAAGTGGAAAAAAGGTTAATAATCATGTCATCAGACGCTAGTAGTGAAAAAAAATTTGTACCGCCTACGCTAACAGGAATATTCGACCTCTTCCGTATCTTCACTCAGAATTCAGATATTCGTGGAACGAAATAAAGCATTTTCGGGCAACGAAATGGGTGTACTGTCCAGCCTTAAGTAAAATATTGAAATAAAAGTCCTTAGGTTATTACTCATTCCTTTTCCTTGTCTGTCAGAATTGATTCTAAAAAAAACCCCATTCAATTAATGATAATTATTTAATTTGAGTTTGCTCATGTGCAAAAACAAATCAAAATACTATCATGAGCGCAAAACAATATATTTTTTTGGGTTCCTGGCATATCATAAAGCCAAATCTCCTCAAACAAATCATATCAAACTTTATTATGTTCTGGTCCCTGTACTACGGCCTTCACACCTATTTTATCTTCTCACTCGCTTAGATGTCCGTCTTCCTAAGAGGAGCATTTAGGAGCAAGAGACCGAAAGAGTGTGACAGAGAAAGAAGCAGTCGCCTCCGTGGGCACTCTCTAAAGGCCACTTTCAACTTTTTTCATTTCATTACTGCTCTTCTAGTATAAAAACAGTCACGTCAATAATCGCCGGTAGCCGCCCACTGCAAAACTGGTCGCTGTGAGGTGTACACAAATATATATTTTCATCTCTAGCTAGTACACCTTAGGATCCCTGAATTCCGTGTATGAACTTCGATTTTTTAATCGAACCCTGAAGGGTAGCTTGCGACCAATATAAAATAGACCAAATGTAACCGGTTTATTGGGTTTCATGTCTTGGAGCAAGAATACCTGAAATTCAAGGATCGGTATCCCTCTGTTTTGGTTTATTCTGTTACCCAACCGATACTTATATAGGTATATCCATACATCCCTCTTGATTATGTGCCATAAAATAAAATAGAAATTTGTCGTTAATTCTAATTGTAATGACTTACCTGTACGTAAAAACCGCTTTTCTGGGAGCATCGCATTGTTTAATGCATTTGGTAAACACACCCAATAAAAGTTATGATCGCATTCGTCTCTGAAAACGCAACGAAACACTGCAGCTACTAAATATGAAATCAATTTAAATACGATTGTGAGGGCTTCCTGCGCTACGATTTCTACAGGGAAATCATGCCAAGGAAATGTCTTGCCGCACCAAATTTTATAGCTGGTAGTAGTATAGTAGGATTTTTTTACTATGCGAGACATAATATGAAACGTTTTATTACATTGATTTTATAATCTAAAGCATTGTAAGAATTATATGCGAGAGAAGGGATGTCTAATTAATTTATGCTATTTGGGATATAACGTGGTTTTTAGGGACTTACCGCCTAAATCTCGAAAATAATTAAAATGTAGGCAGCGGACGACGTGCAAAAACAAACGTTACTCCATTGCATGACTAGGTACTTAATTTAATCAGCTTTAATGGGAGTTACATGGCAATGATTTTATTACGCTTACACGATCACTATCTCATCGACAAGAGGAACTTAATTTTTCGCACGAACCAGCTTTTATTGGTCGAAGTGACTTCTTCAAGTCTCTTCACTTTGAACTGCCTCCAATCCGCTCGAAGATACGAATTCTGCGGTCCCCAAGATTTAAAGCTTAGCGACTCACGTACGGCCTACACAAACGATCAAGTATTAATTGCGGAATTTTTACTGTTTTGACCTTACTTGCTTAAAGCCCATTTTTCTGTTAGTGAATAAAAATATGATCCAATGAAGGACTGGTTGTAAAATCCCCAAAGCGAACAACGACCACCCTACCACTATCAAGAGAAACGTCATGAAACAAAAGAAAATGCCTCGGACATGCACTTACTCATTAACATCTTAGGAACTTCGTATTTTCCATTTTTTAACGGTTGCATACTTAACAAGCAGTACACAAAAACAGCAATCAGTATAAGTGGGGTAATAAGGCTCCAGCAAATTCTCCAATATGATCCTACTCTCCTTTCACACATGAACTCTATATCCAAACATACGTTTTCTACGCCTGTAACATACTGCTTAAAGTGTTTCTCTGCTCAATACTTTACTCACCATACCACCAACATATGGCCAGCATCTCTAGTATTACTAGTGCAAAGGGAAGAAAAGTACCCAAAAAGTAATCAACCGTGACTAGCACAAATTCTCCGCCCTAAAAGGTAGAATAAAATTCCGTTCACAAAGATTTTCATAAGCGCTAGACTGTCTTTCATATGAAAGGAATCTGTTGAGTTATTGAACCTTAGTTTCCTTTCAAGTTTAAAAATATATCGATCGTTTGACATCTGAGGTATGGTACAATAAGTAAATGAGACAACGTTTCCCCTTTAAGATACAAATTTATTCCTTGTTGGTAATTTTCATAGATCAAGACTACCTTCAACAAAAATTTATAGCAATTTCTTATACAAATCAAAATGATTACGGTGCGATATTTTCTAGAATCAGGGCTTCCTTTCTTGAATAGATAGCGCCTTAGAGCTGGACAATTTATAAACTACAAAATTGGATCCATTGGGGGAAATACAGTTCAAACTTTCTTCAATCTTCCTCGTACTATTACGTTTTATTGTATAGAAATAATTGTGCAATGATTTTTTAATCTCTAATCGAATAATGCACAGGGTGTTCCATTTACAGTAATCAAATTTTGGTGTGCCACGTGTTTATAACCCACCCTGTGCAATTGAAATTATCAGCGACCCTGGCAACACGTACCTGCATATTAATTTACAAGCAGCAATACATCGTCGTCGATATGTAACATTAAGTATTGTTGTAACAACTTCAGTGTTGCCAACATAAATGAAACACTCGATTCTTTAGAAAAAGACACTTGTGAACGGAATATAGGCTGAACACTTACCGGTGTGACGTACACTAAACCGAATAGAAACCCCACCAAGCATATCGCCGCGGACACGTACCAATCTTCAACCATTGGGTACACGTCTTTAATTGCCGATAGGGCGCATACGTTTGTGCCAATCAAGCTACCGATCCCAAGCACGAAGAGCATGGCGAAGAACAGGATGGCGAAAAGCTGCGAACAAAATTGCTAGGTTGCGGCCACGATTCCTAAGTACTCTACCAACCCATGGAACATGTTTAAAGCGGGAAATGGCATCGGGGTAGGAGACAAAGGCGAGCTTCGCCCCACCACCTGAGACGACGTCGTTCACTTCAACTTTGAGAGTGTGTGCGAGGTTTCCGAGAACTCCAAAAATGGTTATTCCGGATATTAGGGACGTGATCGTGTCGATGGTTGTAACTATCATGGCGTCTCTGTAGACGTTATGCGTAAAGCAGTTGTACGATGCGTACATTACTAAGTTTCCGCTTGCGATGGCCAGCGAGAAGAAGCACTGGGTAATTGCGTTGTACCACACTTTCGGTTCGACGAGCATCTTCCATTGCGGTTTGAGGAAATATAGGATACCATTAACCGATCCTTCGAGAGTGACGGTTCGGATTAAAAGAGTGCACATAATGACGCATGGGAAGAGTGCCAAGAAATATGCTGCTTTCCCCGAGCTGCGTATGCCTTTGATGGTTATCAGAAAGAGCACACTCCAGGTGACTAGTAAAAATATTGAAAGTTGTAAGTCGGGCAAACCTATTCCATTATTGATATCGGTCGTCTGTTTCAATACCGCATTCCTGAAAAGCACTTTGAACCAACATATATTTTTGGGTAATACTT